GGTGTCATTATGATATCGGGTGAGGACTTCAAATGTGCTCGGGCTCAGCACCCATCAGTGGTGAGAGCAGCTTCATTGTTCTCACTAGGGACCAGCAAAGGTTTTACCTACCCCTCACCCAACAACTCATATGGCATCAGATGTTGGGCTGGTGGGCATGGCTCCAGGGAAATGGCATCCTGTGCCTCATTAGCCCTGCCTGTTAGAGGTTCCCCACTGCTGGCTTAGAGCAGGGGTGCCAACCTAAATAAAATATGGAGGGAACAGGTAATCCCCACCCTACATAATCAATCACAAGACGTGCCACACACAGCCCATTTGAACAGCAATGCCCATCAGCTTTGGGGTGGCCCAGCCCCCTCAAATATTTTATTGGAGGGGCAAAGGCATTGTGCCCCCCCAGGAATTGGCTCCTATGGCTTAGAGCAGTGATGGCCAAACTTGGCCCTCCAGCTGTTTTGGGACTACAATTCCCACCATCCCTGACCACTGGTTGTGTTAGCTAGGGATGATGGGAGTTGTAGTCCCAAAACAGCTGGAGGGCCAGGTTTGGCCATCACTGGCTTAGAGGAACCACTTGATGCCTGCTGACGCTGTTCTCAAAGTGCCAGGAGATACAGAGGCAGAACCTGCTTCCTCCCTGCCTTGTGAAAGCAAAGTTATTTCAATAAATAATAAATAAAGTGCTTTTGCTGTGTCCAGCACCCATGGATTGGGGGGAGTGTTTTTAGTTCATTCCCTTGTGTGGAACTTCTGGGGGCTGCGTGCCAATGATGATGTACAGTAGGCTATATACCAGCCTTGCAAAAACAAGAGGGTTCTGTATATACAATCCCACCTTCACCCTGGCTAGCAAGAGGCATGGCCACAGTTGAGGGACACCTTCCAGGCAAGCAAATGTGCTCAAGGAAGGCTTGGAGCAGGGCCACAGAGGGGCACAGTTTGGGGAGTGGGAAAGGCCCTGGGAGTGTCCTGAGGGCCAGACAAGGAGGTCTGGAGGAATATATTTGGCCCCTGAGCCTGAGGTTCCCCACCAGTTTAAACAAAACGTAGTTTGGCCACCTCATGAGAAGAGAAGACTCCCTGGAAAGAACCCTGATGTTGGGAAAGATGGAGGGCACAAGGAGAAGGGGACGACAGAGGATGAGATGGTTGGACAGTGTTCTCGAAGCTACCAGCATGAGTTTGACCAAACTGCAGGAGGCAGTGGAAGACAGGAGTGCCTGGCATGCTCTGGTCCATGGGGTCACGAAGAGTCAGACACAACTAAACGACTAAACAACAACAACAACAGTTTGAAGATAATGGAGCAAGAACAGGTCAAGCCATGGCCACCCCTGAATGCCAGACTCTGGAAATGGATAAAGAAAGCATCTTGAAGAAAAGAAAAGAAAAGCTATATAAAACCATGGCTGGTGTCTTAGAATGTCTGTGCATAAAGGGTTCTATAGCAATACTCCATTCTTATTATACTTCTAGTAAATAATGAAACAAGAACAACTCATCTGAGAGAAGCCCAGATCTCCCACAAGGTTGCACAGATGGGGAACTGAGCGCTAATATTCCCCCCCTGCTATGCTCCAAATGGTGGTTCAGAGTGATGATGATTCCTTTAATCTATCAATTTGTTTTGTAATGGATAATAAAAGACGGGGGTGGAGTGGGAATAATGATCAACCACACTTTTTTGATTCAAATGCATAATTCTATTTAAGACTCTGTCAAGAACTGCTATGATCTTAGTTGACATATATATGTGTATTTATTGTTTTTATCATAGCTATGCTCTCCTTTCTATGTATATGTGTGTATTAGTTTTGTAAACTGTCTTACGCATTCTTGGGGAGTCTGGCTTGCTTGTTTTGCAAGGTTATGACCATAAGTAGGGTGACATTTTCAAATCAAGGGGTGATCTGCTGTGCAAACTAGATACATTCTAGCCGATCCTGCCATAATTCCCCCAAAATTCATGTCTAGATGAAGGTCATAACCGCACTAAACATAAGCTGTTTCCTAGTTCTGCTGGATCTCTCAGCGGCCTTTGATACCATCAACCATGACATCCTTCTGGACCGTCTAGAGGGGCTGGGAGCATTGTTATACAGTGGTTCCACTCCTTCCTCCTGGGCCATGTCCAGAAAGTGGTGGTGGGGGATGAGTATTCGGACTCCTGGGCTCTCACTTGTAGGGTGCCTCAGGGTTCCGTCCTCTTCCCCATGCTTTTTAACATCTATATGAAACTGCTGGGAGAGATCATCAGGGGGTTTGGGCTGGGTGTTCATCAGTATGCAGATGATACCCAGCTCTACCCTTCTTTTAAATCAGAACCAGTGAAGGCAGTGAAGGTCCTGTGTGAGTGTCTGGAAGTGGTTGGAGGATGGATGGCAGCTAACAGATTGAGGTTGAATCATGACAAGACAGAAGTACTGTTTTGGGGGACAGGGGGTGGACTGCTGTGGAGGACTCCCTGGTCCTGAATGGGGTAACTGTGCCCCTGAAGGACCAGGTGCGCAGCCTGGGAGTCATTTTGGACTTATAGCGGTCCACGGAGGTGCAGGTCAATTCTGTGTCCAGGGCAGCTGTCTACCAGCTCCACCTGGTACGCAGGCTGAGACCCTACCTGCCTGCAAACTGTCCAGAATGGTACATACTCTGGTTATCTCCCACTTGGACTACTGCAATGTGCTCTATGTGGGGCTACTTTTGAAGGTGACCCAGAAACTACAACTAATCCAGAATGTGGCAGCTAGACTGGTGACTGGGAGTGGCCACCAAGACCATATAACACCGGTCCTGAAAGTCCTACATTGCCCTCCCAGTACGTTTCCAAGCACAATTCAAAGTGCTGGTGCTGACATTTAAAGCCCTAAACGGCCTCAGCCCAGTATACCTGAAGGAGTGTCTCCACCCCCATTGTCCAGCCTGGACACTGAGGTCCAGCACCATGGGCCTTCTGACGGTTCCCTCCCTGCGAGAAGTGAGGTTACAGGGAACCAGGCAGAGGGCCTTCTCGGTAGTGGTGCCCACCCTGTGGAATGCCCTCCCATCAGATGTCAAGGAAATTAACAATTACCTGACTTTTAGAAAACATTTTTAATGTTTGATTCTATTTTTAATATTCTGTTGGGAGCTGCCCAGAGTGGCTGGGGAAGCCCAGCCAGATGAGCAGGGTATAAACAATAAATTATTATTATTATTATTATTATTATTATTATTATTATTATTATTACTACTACTACTACTACTACAGCACTGTTATACCACTGCAGTCATCACTTCTCCCAAAGAATCTTGGGAACTGTAGTTTGTTAAGAGTAGTTGTTAGGGGAGCCCCCGGCCTAGTCCCCTCACAGAGCTACAATTCTCAATTTCTCTTCCCTGTGAATTCTGGGAATTGCAATTCTGTGAGGAGAACTTGGGGCCTGGTGCTTTTGTTACATATCTTCAGGTGCCAAGCAAATACCTTCCTCTTCATCCAGGCCTTTGGTTAATTAACCAATCTATGGCCTTCTCAACTGTGTGTTGGGGGGCAGGGTATTTTGTGGGCTTGTTACTACATTATGTATTTCTGTGCTTTTCTGTTGTGAACCACCCTGTGACCCTTGGGTGAAGTGCAGCATGGAAATTCAATAAATAACTTCAGATGGACAGCACAGCCTTCGGAACAGCAGAAGCTGCCTTTGGTCTAGTTGGCTCTCCACCTTGGTCAGACCATACCTGGAGTCCTATGTCCAGTTCCGGGCACCACAATTTAAGAAGGATATTGATAAGCTGGAATGTGTGCAAAGGAGGGCGACCAAGATGATCAAGGATCTGGAAAACAAGTCTTATGGGGAACGACTGAGGGAATTGGTTATATTTAGCTTGGGAAAGAGGAGACTGAGAGGCGATATGACAGTCGTCTTTGATCAGCGATGCAGCAAGCTTGTTTCCCCCTGCTTTGGAGGATAGGACCTGTACCAATGAATTGCACTTGCTGATCAGAAGGTTGGCGGTTCAAATGCCTGTGATGGGTTTAACTCCCGTTGCTCTGTCCCAGCTTCTGCCAACCTAGCAGTTCGAAAGCGCACCAGTGCAAGTAGATAAATAGGCACCACTGCGGTGGGAAGGGAAACGGCGTTTCTGTGCACTCTGGTTTCTGTCACGGTGTTCCGTTGCACCAGAAGTGGTTTAGTCCTGCTGGCCACATGACCCGGAAAGCTGTCTGTGGACAAACGCCGGCTCCCTCGGCCTGAAAGCGAGATGAGTGCCATAACCCCACAGGCACCTTTGACTGGACTTAACCGTCCAGGGGTCCTTTACCTTTTACCTTTACCAATGGATTCAAGTTACAGTGGTACCTCAGGTTACATACGCTTCAGGTTACATACGCTTCAGGTTACAGACTCCACTAACCCAGAAATAGTACCTTGGGTTAAGAACTTTGCTTCAGGATGAGAACAGAAATTGTGTTCTGGCGGCGCGACGGCAGCAGGAGGCCCCATTAGCTAAAGTGGTGCTTCAGGTTAAGAACAGTTTCAGGTTAAGAACGGACCTCCGGAACGAATTAAGTACTTAACCCGAGGTACCACTGTACAAGAAAAGAGATTCCAACTAAATATCAGGAAGAATTTTGTGATGGTAGGAGCTGCTTGACAGGGGAACAGACTTCTTTGGTAGTTAGTGGACTCTTCTCTGGAGGTTTGTAAGCAGAGTTTGGATGGCTGTCTGTCATGTGGAATCGAGTTGAGGTTTTTGCATTGCAGGGGTTTGTACTAGACGACCCTCGGGGTCCCTTCCAAACTCTATAGGGTTTAAAGAGCCCTGTCTGGAGCAGTCAGGGCTCGATCCATCTGCCCGCAGGACACGTGTTTTGCGCGGAGCCTTCGCCCTCGCGGGCTCGCCCTGCGCTCGCCTGCTGGGTTGGCCCGTGTCCCGGCCAGCCTCTCTCCGTCCCTCCCAGCGCCGGGGCGCCCGCCACTCGCAGCCCTTCCGCCCCCGACGGTGCGAGCCAGCCGCCCACGGGGCATAAGCGCCTCCCCGTCGCGGCCGAGCCCCCTGCCACCCCCGGGCCGAGTTGTCCCAGCGAGGAGCGCCTGGTCCGTCGGGCGTCGCGATGCAGGGCCAGGCAGCGGGCAGCCGGGCGCTGTGCTGCGCGCTGGCTGCCGTCGGGTTGCTGTCGGCGCTCAGCGCCGCGGGCACCGTCTTCTTGCTGGGCCAGTGGCGGGAGCTGAGCGCCGCGCTGCAGGCGACCCAGGAGGAGGTGGCGCAGCTGCGGCAGCCCCAGGTTCCGCCGAGCGCACTGCGGCACCTCCGCGATAGCGGCGCCCCGTCGGACGGCGGCCTCGCCCAAGCGCCGGGCGGCCGCGACAAGAGGAGCCAGCGGAGGCGCGCCCTCGCCAAGAGCCACATCCGCGCCGAGGACGAGGACATGCTCATGATGATGACCTACTCCATGGTGCCGGTAGGGGGCGCTCTGGCCTGTCGAGGGGGGGAGGGGTCGGGGTCGAGACTGGGTTCCTCCCTAGAGATCCAGAGAGAAATCTGCACTTGGAAAGCTCCAGTTACCTGCCCCCAAAGTCAGGCTTGCTACCCAACACTCCCCACTGGCACAGCTCCTGTGCTGCCTGCCAGCGGAAATCCAACAGGTGCAGCTTGCGCTATGGAGAGGGGCAGAAAATCAGTCCCCCCCGGTTGTACCCTTTTAGGGTAAAAGAGTATTGGGAAATGATCCACAATGAACTGGAAAAAACCAAAGTCCTTTCTGTTGGGGATAATTCAGACTGAAATTCCCAGGCGTCAAAAAAGCTAATTGATGTATGCCACTACTGCAGCCCGTGTTTCGTTAGCCCCAAAATGGAAAACGAGCAAGGTCCCAACTAAAGAAGAATGGAAACTTAAGTTGACAGAATATGCACAACTCGCAGACTTAACATATAGAATAAGAGAACATAATTGTGTACAGCTGAAAACGCTGGCAGCATTAAGATAAATTCAACAGTGTAAACCAAGTTTTGATGGGTGCAGTAATGGGATACTGAATGGTATAGTTTTTGTAAAATATGCTGGGATTTACGATATGTAAAATGAACCATGGAAAGAGAAGAAGGGAAGTCACTGATATCTGAAGGATGTAAAATGAGTATTTTGAATTGTAAAACAGAAAATGCATAAAAGAAGAAGAAGAAAGAAAGTTCCCCCTGTTTGATTTCAGCTGCTCTTCTTGGCACCAGAGCGAGGCCAGCAGATCAAGATGGCAAGGGGGAATGAAGGCCCTGATATTTGGTGAAGGTGGGGGGCCTGAAATATCCAGGGTTAGCATCACCCCCTGTGTCAAAGGCTCCTGTGTGCTTGACAGCTACGGCTTTCCCTGTCTCTGCATGGCCGCGCTTCAGAAAGGCACCACCTGTTGAATTTTGCGATCTGGAGCCTGTTAGAGGATTTCTCCATTCACATGCCAAAAACTGTGCTCAGGTTGGGTCTAAGCAACCTGGGTATGTGCAGGATACCAGCCAAAGAGTGTATATTTAAGTGCCTTAATAATAACTGTTGAATTGTGTGCAGCCATAAGCAGGGTATCATTTTTTCAAAAAACAAAAACCCTATTGATTTAATTGGCCAGAAATTCCCAGGTTCAGTCCCTGGCATCTCCAGGTAGGATAATGTACTCATGTTGAGTTGGAAGGGACCCAAAGGTCATCTAGCCCAACCCCTGGAATGCAGGACGGAGAAAGACTTCTATTCTGAAACCGCAAAGGGTCACTGCCAGTCAGTATAGACACAAGCTAAATGGTCCGATTCAGTAGAATGCAACTTCCCATGTTCTTCTTTTTGTTGTGCTGTGCAAGACCTCCAAGTGTGCTACACAGCAGGGGCTGGAGGAGAGGGCTAGGGAAGGCAGCAGGTTGCAGATGCTGCAACTCCCTCTCCCTAGGTTTAAATGGGAAGAGTCAATCTGCAGGTTGTGATCTTGGTGGTATTTTGGACAGCTTGTTCTGCACTCCCAAGGTGAGCCAAAACATCAGCTGAACAGCAGTACTTAAAACATCAACACCTCTTAATTTCTCTGTAAGGTGGCACTGTGGTCCAAATCACTGAGCCTCTTGTGCTTGCTCTCGTTGCTCTGTCCCAGCTCCTGCCAACCTAGCAGTTTGAAAGCACACCAGTGGAAGTAGATAAATAGGTACCACTTTGGCGGGAAGGTAAACAGCATTTCCGGGTGCTTTGATTTCCGTCATGGTGTTCCGTTGCACCAGAAGTGGTTTAGTCCTGCTGGCCACATGACCCAGAAAGCTGTCTGTGAACAAACACTGGCTCCCTTGGCCTGAAAGCGAGATGAGTGCCACAACCCTACAGTCACCTTTGACTGGACTTAACCGCCCAGGGGTCCTTTACCTTTACCTTTTTACTTAAAACGGCAACACCTCTTAATTTTTCTTTACAGCCCTGTAGCTTTGAGCACCTCCAAACCCTCTGATTTGTTGGAGGAATCAACAGCCTTAGCAAACTATCCGAAAATCCACACTCTGCCTTTATACCACTCTCATCCATACTTTTGCTTGACCTGTATTTCGATGATATTGTGTACCGATTGATTCCTCTGGGTCCAAGAACTTTTCTGGTTGTTCTGCAGCTGTGTCTTGCAAAGCTCCAGTCTTATCTGCTGAATTTGATCTTATCAGTTGCACAGAAAATCCAAAGAAAGATTTTGCTTTACGAAGCTTTGATTTGGTGGGTTAGATCAGATTTTCATGAGGCACAGCTGCATAACCACGAGAAAAGCCCCTCCTGTATTGCAGGGGGTTGGAACAGATTTGTGATTATATGATAACTTATGTGCACACTCAGGGAGATGGCTTGACAGTGATAGAATTTATGATCCGTTTGATGTTTCCCCCATAAAATACTTTATCTGTAGCATTGACAGTTGCTGTGTGATATTTTGTATCCTAAGACAGAACCACAAACGCTATCTAATCCTATACTGCATTGCAGTAAAAACAAAACCAGAACTTTCTTCCAGTTGTCTGAGCGATTATATAGTTGTCTGAGCGATTATATAGTCACAACGTGTCTACAGCTGACACTCAGTTTAGAGAGTTGTCAACTGGCCCAGGCTTCTGTGCCTTTAATGATCTGCAACACTTGGAAGCTTGCCGTAAGAACATAGGAAGACAGTTCGGAAACTTCAGCTGGTGCAGAATTCAGCGGCCAGGCTGCTCACCCGAGCAAGACGGTTTGAGCATATTACACCAATCCTGGTCTGATTGCACTGGCTACCAATTAGTTTCCAGGCCCAATTCAAAGTGCTGGTTTTGACCTATAAAGCCTTAAATGGCTCAGGACTGCAATACCTCAAGGACTGCCTCTTTCCATATGAACCTGCACAGACCCTGAGATCACCTTCTGAGGCCTTCCTTCGTGTGCCTCCTCCTCGAGACGTCTGGAGGGTGGCAACATGAGAACGGGGCCTTCTCTGCAGTGGTTCCCCGTCTGTAGAATGCTCTCCCCAGGGAAGTTCACCTGGCGCCTTCATTATACACCTTTTTAAGCAGGCCTTTGATTGACCTGATTGACATCCTATGCCCTTTTAAAATGTGGCTCTTTTGGGGGTGGGGTGGGGGTTGTGTTATTGGGTTTATTTTGATTTTATATATTGTGATCTTTTCTGTTAACCGCCCTGAGACCTCCGGGTATAGGGCAGTACATAAATTCAATCAATAAAATAATAATAATAATAATAATAATAATAATAATAATAATAATAATAGGAGGAGCTTGACTGCTGAATCAGGCCAAAGCCCCATCTAGTCCAGCATTCTGCTTTCACCTTGGCCAACCAGATGACTATGAGAAGCTTGCAAGCAAGACCCAAGCAGAACAGCACTATAATAATAATAATAATAATAATAATAATAATAATAATAATAATAATAGTAATAGTAATAATTTATTTATATCCTGCCCTCCCAAGCCAAAGCTGGGCTCATAGCGGCTAACAACAGTAAAAATAGCACAATTTACATAAAATCACAGTCAATTAATTGAAATACATTCTAAAATCAGTTCAGAATCAAATTAATGGCAACTCTAATTGGGTTAGAGTTCTATGAGGATTACAGAAGGAGAGAGGGGGTCAGACTGTGCCTTGGCCAAAGGCCTGGTGGAACAGCTCTGTCTTGCAGGCCTTGCAGAAAGATGTCAAGTCCTGCAGGGCCCTAGTCTCTTGTGACAAAGCGTTCCACCAGATCGGGGCCACGGCTGAAAAAGCCCTGGCTCTGGTTGAAGCCAGCCTAACCTCCCTGTGGCCCGGGATCTCCAATATGTTTTTATTTGAAGATTGTAAGGTCCTCCGTGGGACACACCAGGAGAGGCAGTCCCATAGGTACGAGGGTCCTAGGCTGTATAGGGCTTTAAAGGTTAAAACCAGCATCTTAAACCTGATCCTGTACTCCGCTGGGAGCCAGTGCAGCTGGTACAGCACTGAGTGGATGTGATCCCGCGGCGAGGACCCCATAAGGAGTCTCACTACAGCATTCTGCACCCGCTGGAGTTTTTGGGTCAGTTTCAAGGGCAGGCCCACGTAGAGTGATGCTGGTATTCAGAAGCATAATGTCTCTGACTATGGAGGTAGAAAACAGCCATCAGGGCTAGTGGCCATTGATAGTCTTGCTAATGTCCAAGGAGCATCTTCACATTCCAATTGCTGCAGACTAAGTGATGTGGGTTAAACCACAGAGCCTAGGACTTGCCGATCAGAAGGTCGGCAGTTCGAATCCCTGTGACGGGGTGAGCTCCCATTGCTCGGTCCCTGCTCCTGCCAACCTAACAGTTAGAAAGCACGCCAAAGTGCAAGTAGATAAATAGGTACCGCTCCAGCAGGAAGGTAAACGGCGTTTCCGTGCGCTGCTCTGGTTCGCCAGAAGCGGCTTAGTCATGCTGGCCACATGACCTGGAAGCTGTACGCCGGCTCCCTCGGCCAATAAAGCGAGATGAGCCCCGCAATCCCAGAGTCGGTCACGACTGGACCTAATAGTCAGGGGTCCCCTTTACCTTTACCTAAGTGATGGTTAAAGGTGCAGGAGCCAGATCTGGGTGTAAAGCTGGCGACTCTTTCTGTATTTAATTGCCAATATGTAACAAAAAATGTTTTCAGGGTGGTTTAAGGTGAAATGCAAAATGAAATCTGAACCCAGAATAAAACTGGCAGCGAAGAATGACATCTGTACCAGCAGATCTTTAAAAATGCAAGAAAGGAAAAGGGGTGGGAATACAATTGAGTGGCAATTTTATCCATTCATTACTTTAATTTTAAAGGTGGGTATAAATAGGATGGAAGAACTTCTATTGCACATGTCTTGCTTAGTGGAGCTTCTGTCCAGACTCAAGTATAAAGTACCATTGAGCCAGGTGCTTGTATTATGTGTTCTGAGATCTAAGTCTTCACACAATATGTATTTTGAATTATTTTTTGTTCCTCCATCATGCCAGCCTCTACAAGGCATGCTTACTTTCTATGCTTGCTGCTTTCTCTTGCCTCCTTACCCTGTGAGTGCCAGAGAAGCCAGAAGAGCCTGCATAAATTACCCACGGCTGTGTGGCTCCATAAGATCTCACCTGTTCAGACCCTTTCATTAGATCAGGGTTGCTAAAGGGCTGCAGCTCAGTGGTTAGAGCATCTCCTTTGCATGCAGAAAGTCCTAGGTTCTATTGGTGGCAGGTCCAGGGAGTCTGGAAGACAGCCTGGAGAGCCACTTTCAGTCAGTGTAGACAACAGTGAACTAGTCTGGTTCTGTGTAAGGCAGTTTCCTCATGCACATTTCTTGAGTCACGTGTGAAGGCTGTCAGATGAGCCAGTGTTTCGCTGCTTTTGCTTCATCTTCCTTCCCCAAGAGTGAGAGAACAGATCAAGCTCTCAAAATTTCAAAGGTAATGTCATCTGTTCTGCAGATGTTCTTGCAAAAGGTAAGAAATGGAAAGGATGGGGGAAAACAAACAGAAGATGATTTGGTTTTTGTTATGTACTGAGTTGAATAGGATCCAAAAGGCAGCAGTCTGATTGGCCCCAGAACAATAGGATCCAGAATGCAGCAGTCTGATTGGTCCACAGGAGCCACCCAATCCAGCTCCCAGTGGAAGTGAATCCGCAACCTGATTGGCCTACAGGTGACTCCCGGAATTAGCCAATCACGTGGGGCCCATTGTGTAAACAATGTATATAAAGCAGAAATTCTGGGGGAACTTCTATTCCTCCTCGCCACTATGAGCTGAATAAAGAGCATGAAATCCACTCTCAACTCCGAGTATATTTCAGTTTTAGTTGCTCTCTAGCTAGCTGTCCTCCTGCCAACCTAGCAGTTTGAAAGCACATCAAAGTGCAAGTAGATAAATAGGTACCACTCCGGTGGGAAGCTAAACAGCGTTTCCGTGCGCTGCTCTGGTTCGCCAGAAGCGGCTTAGTCATGCTGGCCACAGGACCCGGAAGCTGTACTCTGGCTCCATCGGCCAATAAAGCGAGATGAGCGCCGCAACCCCAGAGTCGGTCAGGGGTCCCTTTACCTTTACCTTAGCTGGCCGTCAGTGTTCCCCTGAAGCTGTTTCCCAGTGTTTGTGTAGATCCTGGGAGTGGGTGGGAAATCTCAGTTAGTTTGTGTCTACACGTATTAAGTTGCTGGAGTGGCTTCACAATCAAACCATCTTCCCAGGGAACTCTGGGAATTGTAGGAGTGTGTGTGTGTGTCCTGACAACCCTTGGCCTCCTGAAAAAACTACAGCTCTCATAATTCTTTGTGGGAAGCCATGACTGTTTAAAAGTGCCATAATAGTGTTTTACATGTATCCTGTAGGTGTGGACTGAGTGTGGGGGGTCCATTGCAAGCCTCTATCCTGTCCTATACCAGCCCCCCTGTCTCATACTCTGGTTTTTCTTCAGATCATATAAATCTTCTGCCTTTATGCTATATCCCCCTGTCTTTTGCTTGGCAACAGTGGTGTGGAAATTCTATGTCTTCAGTAGCTCCCGATCTAGAGACAAGTATTGCAACAACGAAAAATCAGTGGCCATTTTTCCATCCCTCGATTCATTCTTTTGTGTCAAAACAAATTGCAGGACAAATTCCTCCTCCCCCACCCCCCACCCCTCTCGCTCTCTCTTAATAGACTCTCGCTATGATTATGCCAGTTGACAAAGTGTTTTAGTTGAAGAAGCTCTACAAAGAGTGAGCAATCAGTCGCCCGACTTTGTGAACAAAAGTGTGGAAATGAAAGCAAAATAAGCAAAAAGGAGAGGGCAAGGAATCTGGAACGCAGTCGTGATATTCTGGCATGGCTATAGACTGGACGACGGTGCAAAACAAAGAAGCCCAAATCTGTAGTAAATGACTCATTCTCAGTTTGGTGAAAAGCGCCGCGTGGAATGTGAGAGGAGCACTTTGATGCGCGTCCAAAATTCCTTGCTCATCAACCCTATTTGTATTATGTCGCTGAGCAGAGTTTGCTCGTGTTCCAGATAGGGCTTGCTAATAATCTCACATTCTTTTCTCAAGCCCGTCCAAAGGCAAAGGCTCAAAATGTTTCCCAAAAGCAAACATGGGTCGTGTGTCTAGATGCAGATGAGAACCGGATTCTTCAGTACCTTTTAAACTGGGGGTGGGGTAAGCCTCTAGCTCCTGAGATGTTGCTGGATTACACTTTCCATCAGCAGCGGCCATTGGCCATGCTGGCTGGGGCTGATGGGAGTCCAACATCATCTTGGATAGCTCAGTTGGTTAGAGCATGGTGCTGATAATGCCAAGGTTGCAGGTTTGATCCCCATATGAGACAGCTGCACGTTCCTGCATTGTTGGGGGTTGGGCAGGATGATCCTCAGGGTCTCTCTGCAATTCTATGAATCATCTGGAGGGCCGCAGGTGCCCCATCCCTGTTTTCAGTGGTTGTACAGAATATGGAATTATGTTATTGCTATGCAGGATGTTAAGTTGTGGGTGAACATATCAGACGACACAGCGATTCTTCCAATAGCTCTTGTTTATTCACAGGCCCAGAACAGAACAGCCAACCTGCTTATATAGAGCTCAAATACAAAGCAACAGTAACACTTTCTGTAACTATCCAATCACTTTCACTTCCTTATTTGCATATGTGGACCAGAGTGAAAACTATCTACAGTATCCCCCTGCTGACCCAGGGTGAAAACTTCAGTACATAACACAGGATAAACTCCTAGGTGATATGAACAGTTTGGAAATGCCTGCTTATTGATCCTTCTCTGGGCTGTTTTAAAGGTAAAGGTAAAGGTACCCCTGCCCATACGGGCCAGTCTTGACAGACTCTAGGGTTGTGCGCCCATCTCACTCAAGAGGCCGGGGGCCAGCGCTGTCCGGAGACACTTCCGGGTCACGTGGCCAGCGTGACATCGCTGCTCTGGCGAGCCAGAGCCACACACGGAAACGCTGTTTACCTTCCCGCTAGTAAGCGGTCCCTATTTATCTACTTGCACTCGGAGGTGCTTTCGAACTGCTAGGTTGGCAGGCCATGACTGGACTGCACCTTTAAGGAGAAGCGGGAAATTCCGGGGTCAAATAAGAAACAGGGACAGCTTCTGTAAATCCGGGACTGACCCTGGAAAACAGGGGCACTTGGAGGTTCTGAGATTTGCAGCAGCAAAGGAGTGGGGTTAGGATGGAGGGCACACACTGCTCCCAGCCACAATATCACAAGTCATAACATTGGAGAGTTGCTGGGAGTTCACTCTGGTGCTTATATTTTGAATGAGAGAGAGCATGGTACCCAATTCTTCTGATGCCTGATTAAAAAACATAGACCCCCACCCCATGGCCTTAGCAGTTAAGGCCAATGTGTTCTTTCAAAAATGAGCTTAGGTTGCATTTTGACGCTTGTCCTAACATTGCCCTCCTTTGGAACACTACATTCCCTAGTTTGTCAGCAGTGATGTCTGTACAAAAAGTAACCAGCATTCATCCTTTTAAATTATTTCCTTGGTGCGGTGGGCCACTATACCCCCCACCCCCAAGCTCTCTTCTGTCCTCCGTCCAGCTTATCACAGTTCAAATATATTGGGAGTACAGCCTGGGAGGGGGTTCCAAGGGCCACATAGAAAGGATCGGAGGGCCACGATTTGCCTGCAGTCCTGAGGTTTATCACCACTGCTGTAGGAAAGAAGTCATGAATTAATAGTTAATAAAAGATCATGGATCCACTTCAAATTGGAAACTGGATTTTTGTTCCTGTTAGGCTTTCAAACAGAGGCTGGTTTGCCACCCAAGAGGGATGCTGTATCAGTAGATCACGGGCACGGGTTGGGCTAGAGAGCCTTTGAGATCCCTTCCAGCTTACTATATAATTGCAAGCAGAGGGGCAGTCCAACTGGGTACTTGTACACTCAAAAATGTTTGGTCTGACACACTTGGAAAGCAAAACTTTAAGACTGTATTTGCGCCTCAAGTTATAAAGGACAACTTGCCTTTGGTGGCCTCCTCACGCTTGCTGGGCTTCAGCATGAATTGCAGATCTAGACTTGTCTCCTGATTGGCAGGTTTACCTTGAACAGTGACTCGAGCAGAGACACAACAGGGATCTTCCAGCAACAATGTAGAATTACTCTGTATCTCTTCATTTGGTGTGATTGGATTACTGTAACACTTAAGACACAGAGATGCAGCAGAACCATCTCCTCCTGCAGCAGCAGAGGCTGGTTGGAAGGTGGCAAAGTTGGGCTTTTTGACATGCAGAGACACAATGGGCAGCCACCTCTGAAGATCATGCTTAGTCTATGCCTTGGGAGTGGTTGAGTGACCATTCATTCCTGATGCAGAAGGATGCTGAATTCTCCAACTCCCTGCCCCAAGAAATAATGATCGGAAGAACTCAGAGTATTTAAGCATGCAGAGATGCAGCGGGCAACCTCTTAGGAACATAAGATGAGTTTTGCTGGATCATGCCTATCTAACCTCTGGATTCCTACAGGAACAAGCTAAGCATGTAGACATCCAGATTGCCTCTCACCCTGGAAATGTCATAAATCCATTTTGACCAACAGCAACCGATAGAGCTGGGATCCATGGATTTGTGCTTTGGAGCTGAGAGCAGCCTTTCTGCGTTTAATTGATTTATTTATCTCGAGTCGTGGCACACTATGTTTTAAAGCATTATTCTGATGTGCTAGAATGGTAGGAAGCTGTCTAAATCTCACATCCTGCCTTATAAAGATACCGTGTTTTGTGATTTCAGGTCCGGGTGATGATCGAGATCTGCAACAGCACAAAGGGAGTGTGCTTGACAGGTATGCTGGAGAATTTGTGATCGGGCAAACTGGGGACTTTTTTCTGTCTGTGCCTATTTTATTGCTGCTAAACCAGTGGGAGAAATTTGCCACCAGTATCACTACCCAAAGCTGCTCTAAACCAGGGTCTTCTAGGAGCATGTCTATGTGTGGAAATACAGCTGATTTTTTTAAAAACAACAACAACAACAACAACAACTGGTGGCTTTTATATGGTCAGAGGGAGAGGAACTGTTCCTGCTCCTCTTCTGAATGCCTTGCTGCAGCCTGCTTGCATTGGCATGCTCTAACCCAACTTTCTGCAACCTGTTCTTAAAAGGTAAAGGGACCCCTGACCAGTAGGTCCAGTCGTGGCCAACTCTGGGGTTGCAGCGCTCATCTCGCTTTATTGGCCGAGGGAGCCGGCATACAGCTTCCGGGTCATGTGGCCAGCATGACTAAGCTGCTTCTGGCAAACCAGAGCAGCGCATGGAAACGCCGTTCACCTTCCCGCTGGAGCGGTACCCATTTAGCTACTTGCACTCTGACGTGCTTCCGAACTGCTAGGTTGGTAGGAGCTGGGACTGAGCAATGGGAGCTCACCCCGTCGCGGGGATTCGAACTGCCGACCTTCTGATCGGCAAGTCCTAGGCTCTGTGGTTTAACCCACAGTGCCACCTGCGTCCCAAACCCATCATCCCTGACCACTGGCTATGCTGGCTGGGACTTCTGGGAATTAGAGTCCGAAACACCTTGAGGCCAGCAAGTTGGGGGAAAGGAGCTGCTAACTTAAGCGAGTTTGCAATATTTCAGGTTGGTCCTGATAAAGAATGGCACTACTGGTGCTTTTGGATTGCTTTCCTAATGGCAACACGGCTAATGGAAACCTTTGGCATCCATTAGCTTTGGCTTCCATGTTCTTCATTTATCCTTGGTCTCCCAATAGTCAGGGGTAATGGGAGCCACAATCCAGTGTACTGTAGATAACCACAGGTTCCCCATCCCTGGTCTAAATGGAACTTGCTGGCTATAAAGAACCAGCACAGTCCATCAAGTGCATTTTTGGCCTAGGACCTCAGGGATAAACAATGACTTGATGTCTGTTTTTCTAGATCAGGTGTGGGGAACTGTTGTCCTTCCAGATGTTGCTGAACCAGCATGGTGAATAGCCAGGGATGATGGCAGCATCTGGAAGGTCCAATTTCTCATACCTGGACTAGATACAGTGGTGCCCCACAAGACGAATGCCTCGCAAGACGAAAAACCCGCTAGACGAAAGGGTTTTCCGTTTTTGAGTTGCTTCGCAAGACAATTTTCCCTATGGGCTTGCTTCGCAAGACGAAAACGTCTTGCGAGTCTTGTGATTTTTTTCCGCTTTCCCCCCCTTTTTCTAAGCCGCTAAGCCGCTAATAGCCTTTTAGCCGCTAAGCCTTTAATAGCCGCTAAGCCGCTAAACCGCTAATAGCGCTAATCCGCTAATCTGCTAATAGGGTTGCTTCGCAAGACAAAAAAACCGCTAGACGAAGAGACTCGCGAAACGGATTAATTTCATCTTGCGAGGCACCACTGTACAATGGGGACGAGTCGCTGCTACGTAATTCTACACATCTTGCATGCAAAGGCTGATGAATTTGCACAAGGACTTAAAAAAACAACAACCCACAAACTGATTTGGAGATGTGGAGAATTGAATTTAAGATTGGATGAAATGAGAAACGGTTAGAAACAGAAATTGATCAGTTTGCCCATTGCTAGTTTCAGGTTCCCAACAGTCAAGCAGGAATGAGAAAGCCTTAAAGCAGGATCTTCGCCACCATTTAATCCAGCTCCATTGTTTCATTTTGGCACGGGCCTCAGATCCCATGCGCCATTTTCATGTGCGCTGCAAGCCGAGATGCTGAGAGCTTCTTGGGAGGCACCAAAAAATACAAAGGTGTAAAGGACTGGATTACGTTGGCTGGCAGGAGTGAAAAAGCGAGTGCGCCACAATCCTCTGCAATGAGACAACCCTGAGGAATGCATGCCTTGTCAAAAGAGCAATTGGCTGAAATTTAAGCGGGTGCTGGGCTTGGAACAGAGAAGGAAGTTTGTTTGCTTGTTTTGAAAGATTAGTCACCAGTGAACTGAACTGGGTGGTGGTAGAGGGAAGGATTATGTTTCTGTATTTTTCAAAGTATTATGTTGTGCGTATTGTGAGCAGTTTCCCACATAAATATAGCAGCAACCAATGCTTCCTTCTTGAGTAGGCGGGGCAAACATTTTTCGCAAGGTTAATCCACCATTTTTGTTTCACCTTTGAGCACATTTATTTATTTAGCATTCCCGGCCTTTATTTATTTAGAGCATTTGCACCCTGCTCTTCAGGCTGCCAACCTCCCATCTTCATAGCTGCCAACTTTTCCCTTTTCTTGCGAGGAATCCTATTCGGAATAAGGGAATTTCCCTTAAAAAAAGGGAAACGTTGACAGTTATGTTCTTATGTTCAGCCGATGTACATGTGTAAACTCAGAGACTGGGGCACATGTAGCAGAATTATGGAGGAGGGTGTGGACTGCTGGCTGCCTAAAACCTGTAGAGATGGAAAACCTGTGGCTTTCCACCAGTTGGACTCCAAGTTCCATCAGCCCCTGTCAGCATGGTCAATGGTCAGGGCTGATGGGAGTTGTAGTCAAACTGGCATAGTTTACCCATCTTTGTTTCAAAGCAGGGATTGGGAACCTCAGGCTTGGGGGCCCAATGCAGCTCTCTGTCTCTCCCCTGGGACTCTCCCAAGGCACATCCTCTCACCCCAGGCCATATCCCCCTGAGGTTTCATTTCACACCTTCCTTGAGTGTTCTCACCTGGCTGGAAGGTGTCCTTGAGATGGATGGAGGACAGAGAGGGGGGTTGTGACAGTGTCAGTGTGTGCAGCAACTAGCCTGCTGTACAGAGGTAAATTTACATTCATTTATCTTCTTTTTAAAATTATTGTTATTAATTTCCCAAATTATTACAAATCAAACCAAATTACTTTAATTTAATGCAATTTCTTAAAATCAGGTTTCCCGCTCCTGTGGCAAACATATGTCAATGTGTTTGTCAAATTTCGTCAAAATTTGTCAAAATATGCCAAATTTCCTCCTGCAGCTGCATCTTCTTTTGTTTAATGTCCAGTTTCACTTGTCGTTAGTTCATTCCTGCAGCTGACCACATTATTATTATTACAGTGGAAACTTGGAAGCTGAACGCCTTTAAACTCAAAGGTTTTGGCTCCTGAATGATCAAAAACTGAAAACGTTTTTTGGAAGATGAATGTCTGACATGACTTCCACAGCTCCTGCAGCCAATTGGAAGCCGCACCTTGGTTCTTGAACCATTTCAAGAGTTGAATGGACTCCTGGAATGTATTAAATTCGAGAACCAAGCTATAACTGTATTATTATTATTATTATTATTATTATTATTATTATTATTATTATTACTTCCTACTTACAAATAGTGCCTCTGTTACATCTTATAAATATTAAATCCATTTCATGTGTGTAGTCCTTTTTGTACATTGTCGTTTCAGACCTGGTGTGCTGGGATAATTAATTAATATCTTCCCATTTTACATTCATTTAGCTATCCACTTTTGCTTCACATGTGACACCGCCTCCCTCCCCCCCCCAAAAAAAAGCTGCCCAGAAGGGAACGTGTCACTTTAGGCTGAAATATTTTCTCCATCCCTACCTAAATGATTACATATATCCTTTGTTTGTTTCAATGTAATTTTCAGTGTGATACAGTGGTACCTCAGCTTAAGAACAGCCAGGGCTGTTTAAGAACGATTCGGTTTACAAACTCCACAAAACCAGAAGCAGTGTCCTGGTTTGCGAACTTTACCTCTGTCTACGAACGGAAGCCGAACGGTGGAAGGGCACCGGCAGCGGGAGGCCTCATTAGGGAAAGCACACCTCATTTTAAGAACGGTTTCGGTTTAAGAACAGACTTCCGGAATGGATTAAGTTCGTAAACCGAGGTACCACTGTACTGGGATATTCATTGGAGTGTTAGTTCCAGTTTTGGAACTGAGTTTGGAATGCACTGACTATTCTCTCTGTCTCTCTCTGTATGTCTCTAGGACCACCAGGAATACCAGGTAATATCCCGTCTCCTGTATGTTCCCATAGCGCGATGCAACGGATCCTGTCTCTAAGCTTAAGCACTAGCTGAAATAGCTGCTTTTACTGTCCTTCCCTGTTTATCTCCTGCCTCCCCTTCCCCCTGTTTGTATACTACTGTAGACTAAAAATTGTATACTATCATAGCATGGTAGATAGATAATGTAAGGATATGTATAATTTTATAACATGCAGAGAATAATATGTGCTGAGATATCAGAGAGAGGAGCTGAGAGAAGTCTCTGGGAGGGAGGAGGGAGGGTTTGAAGGGGGGTGGGGGGAAAGGAAAAAAAATAATGACTATGATATGTTTTGATAATTTTGTTACATTGAAATTGTTAATACAAACTTTTTTAAAAAAGAAAAAAAGAAAGAAAAACAAAATGGATTCTGCCAACCAACCAACCAACCAACCAAATAAATAAATAAATAAATAAATAAATAGTATACTAGCACATGATACTAGCCGGCGTTTGTCCACAGACAGCTTTCTGGGTCATGTGGCCAGCAGTGGTACCTATTTATCTACTTGCACTGGTGCTTTTGAACAGCTAGGTTGGCAGGAGCTGGGACAGAGTTATGGGAGCTCACCCCGTTGCGCAGATTTAAGCCGCTGACTTTCTGATTGGCAAGCCCAAGAGGCTCAGTGGTTAGACCACAGCGCCACCCACTGGGTTGTAAAAGCACACATCTCAAGGGTCAAAGGCCACTTCTGTGGGGAGGGAGTTCCACAATATAGGACTAAGTCTCGGCAGGCTTCTGAAGTCTCCTCCAGGAGTCTATGTGCTGAAGCAGGTGCTAACAACCTCCAGAAAACCCGGATGGGCGACTATGTGAGAGTGCGACAGAGGCAGCAATGGAACTGTGTTGCCTCCAGTCTTGTGCAATGAGAGTCAACAGGCTCCAATTCCCATTTAAATCAGTGGGGGCTTCTTCCAAATAAACAGGCGCTGTGCTGATCTGCACAACTTTTTGTCTCAGTTGCAATTGAGAGGTTCGGCCTTCCCTCTTGCTAAAGGACCCCGGCTGTCTTTGTGAACAAATAGCACAAGTCTATGCAGGTTTGCTCGGCACTGAAGCCTCACTGTGTTCCGTGGGTCTTACTCCCTTGTGGATTATGGAAACCTTTAAATTTTCCATAGGAACCCCCCAAAGTTTGGTATTGATGCAGCATATTTCTGGAATGTTGTTGCCAGCATCTCAATATTCTCTTCCGCTAGCTGCATTATTGCACCATCAAAAACTGCTAACTTTCCTCGTTCCAAGCCATTGGAAGGCAAACACAATGGCTTAGGCCTGTTTTTAATTTCTAGTCCATAGTGTCTTTCCTCCCTTCCATATGTTCCACATGTTATCAGTTAAATTTCTGGATATTATGAAACTGATGACACAGTTGTCATTATGCTGTAGAAGAAAGCAGCATTTTCTTCTGTGTTTCTTACGAGACTGTTAACTTCAAAATAAAACTTTCCAAATTAAAAAGAGGGGGGAAAGAATTAGGGGGGCACATATGATGCTAATTTAGCTTTAGATGTACTTCTGATGTTCATTTGGCATGAGATGTCCTTTGTTTATTTACCACTCAGGAACCTTTCCTTGAATGTTATTAATAAAAATGAGGGGGATGCAATTAATTCCCTTTATAAATTTATAAATCCAGAAATTCTGCAGCTTAGCAGGTCTGGGAAGAAGGGTGAGAGGTAAATGCAATTTGAAAAGTAATGGAATAAATACTTTTTGATGATATGTAATATCCTGTGCAGGGGGTGGGACTCCCTGAAATGTATTTCTTTGATTTTGTCAGGTCCTCCTGGGCTTGATGGACTGCCTGGTCTTAACGGATCAGATGGCGATCCTGGCATCCCTGGTCAGAAGGGAGAAATTGGAAAAAGAGGGAAACCAGGTATATTTTTGGACTTGAGAATGACATATGCAGCTGACCCTTTATTGTATCTTCTCTCCCCACCTCGATCCTTGGAGGAAGTTCTGAAGAAGTTCAAACAAATCATGTGGTGCTGTTCTCTTGCGGTGACTGTACCACTTCAGATTGGAGGTGGGAAACTGCATGTCTGAACACTGTCTCTGAAATATACTTGGAGTTGGGAGTGGATTTCATGCTCTTTATTCAGCTCATAGTGGTGATGAGGAATGGAAGTTCCCCCAGAATGTCTGCTTTATATACATTATTTACACAATGGGCGACACATGATTGGCTAATTCCGGGATTCACCTGTAGGCCAATCAGGTTGCGGATTCACTTCCACCTGGAGCTGGATTGGGTGGCTCCTGTGGACCAATCAGACTGCTGCATTCTGGATCCTATTGTTCTGGGACCAATCAGACTGCTGCATTCTGGATCCTATTGTTCTAGGACCAATCAGACTGCTGCATTTTGGATCCTATTCAACTCAGTACATAACAGTCTCATTTCAAAATCCCTCTCCATGTGGGAGATAGCTAGGTCTGTAGCACAAGGGCTGCAAGAATGGCAAAGTTTTGCTGTTGTTAAAAAGGGAAACAAACAACTTCCCCTTGTCTTTAAAAGTAAGCCCATCCCACCTGATAGCTCTTTGACTGGGCCTGGCCCTCCCCAAAGATTTGCCAACATCCCTCCAACTTTATTTTTTTATTATTTATTTGCTTTTGAAAGGGATGAAAGGGTGTCCAAAAATGAGGTTTTGTGCATGTATGTGGTCCAGCCTGAAGTGAGATTAGGGATTTGTTGCCCCTGTCAGGAATCAGATCTAGAATGTCTGAGGTAAACCGTGGTTACCGTATTTTTCGCTCTATAACACGCACCCGACCATAACACGCACATAGTTTTTAGAGGAGGAAAATCCGTAGGCATGCCACCTGTAGGCATTCCCTCCATAACACTCACAGACATTTTCCCTTACTTTCTAGGAGGAAAAAAGTGAGTGTTATGGTGCAAAAATTATGGTACCTCATGCTTTCTGAACATGCCCATCGTTCATTTCCTTCTTCACTGGACGTAAAGCTCAAGGCAGAGTTGAGCCCCACGCTATTTCTTTTGAGAAAATTACTTCAAATAAGCTCAAACCCACTGGGAAAACATGATGGATTGAACTTGAAAAACAAAGCATTGTTCTGGAATGTCCACAGAGGGTACTCGATTCTATGATATTCCCTTCTGGGTGTAGTTAATCACATCTCAAGAATGGTATTGAATGTTCCCTCTTTTCTACCAGGATTGAAAGGAGAACCTGGAGAGAAAGGCGAAAAAGGGGATCCTGGTGAAATTGGCTTGCCTGGGAAAGAGGGAGAGCGAGGAGAAAAGGGATCGAGGGGTCCCAAGGGGGACAAAGGTGATGCAAACAATGAACTCATGGCAGAAGGTGAGCTAACAGGCGCTCTAAGAATGTATAACTCATAGAAAAACATTATATCAACGTTACTTGAAGCAATGGCCACAACCACCCCATATACATTTAAAGCACGCTGAAATTGTACAGTTTTTCACAAAAAGAATCTTGGGAACTCTAGTTTTTTAAGGGTCTTGGGAATTGTTGCTCTGTGAGGAGTTCCAAGGATTCCTGAAGGGAAACCACGTGTTTCAAAATGTGCTTTAAAGCGGTGTGATCAAGTGTTCTCCTTGGCAGGGTTTTCTTCCTATATACATAAAAATGTAAGACTGTCGCCACGCAGCTCCCACTGGATGATTCATTGCACTGTGTCACTGGTGGCTTTCTAGTTGGATGAAAGGAATGCTTAGCCACGACAACGTTTTAGGAGGAGGAAGATGCAAGAGGTTACCATGGGGGTGGTTTGTGTGCAATGGGGGGTTGCACAAAAGGAGACGGGGGAGGCATGGACACGGGGTGAAGGTGAAAATGGGTGCAAAGTGGAGCTGCGGAATTGAGGACCCTCGATTAGCTGGTTAAGATCAGTCGTTCTGAAAACTAGCCTCCCTGCAGCCTGGCGCCACCTCCCTGTAGATGTTGTTGGACTCCTATCACCCGATCATTGGCCATGCTAGCTGAGGCTGATGGAATTTGGAGTCCAACAACATCTGGAGGGCACCAGGTTAGGGAGATCTGCTGCAAGTGATGCTGTTCAGACTCTGCAGGTCCTCAGATTATGGTGTTGGGCATCCCAAAATAGGACATAAAGTAAAGGTAAAGGGACCCCTGACCATTAGGTCCAGTCGTGGCCGACTCTGGGGTTGTGGCGCTCATCTCACTTTATTGGCCAAGGGAGCCAGCGTACAGCTTCCAGGTCATGTGGCCAGCATGACTAAGCTGCTTCTGGCGAACCAGAGCAGCGCACGAAAATGCCATTTACCTTCCCGCCGGAGTGGTACCTATTAATCTACTTGCACTTTGATGTGCTTTCGAACTGCTAGGTTGGCAGGAGCAGGGACCGAGCAACGGGAACTCACCCCGTTGCAGGGATCCGAACCGCCAACCTTCTGATCAGCAAGTCCTAGGCTATGTAGTTTAACCCACAGCGCCACCCGTGTCCCTAAAATAGGACATGGCGGTGTTTAAATTTGGACCTTGGGTCTGGTAAGCTACAGTCATACCTCATGTTGTGAAGGCTGCGGGTTACGTCTTTTCAGGTTGCGTCCTGCGGCGACCTGGAAGTACTGGAAAGGGTTATTTCCAGGTTTTGCCGCTCGTGCAAAATGACACCATGCGCATGCGCGGAAGTGGTGAATCGCAACCCGCGCATGCACAGACGTGGGTTGCGTTCTGTTCAGGTTGCGAATAGGGCTCCGGAACGGATCCCATTCGCAACATGAGGTATGACTGTATAACCTTCTGTCCTCCCGTGAATCTACTTGATAGCATCTCTCAAAGGGATATGTGCCAAACCTGCAAATGTACCGGCCAAAGGTAACTCCTCTGCTTTGATGTTCTCTTAGGTGCAAAAGGTGAGCCAGGACCTCCAGGGCCCTCTGGTCCCCCAGGGCCTCCAGGACCTCCAGGGCCACCTGGGAAGCGGAAAGCTAAGGCCCAGGTTCAGGAGAAAATGTTGAGTTCAGAGTGTACAGGTGAGTGCTTTGTGATGCTGTAACATATTGAGCTAAAATGTCGAGCTGCGGATCGGGGAGTCCCCAGTTCGAATCATGCCTTTGTCATGAACTCATGAGCTGGCCTTAAGCATGCCCCTTCCTCTCAGCCTCGGTGCCCCCATCTGCAGTAGAGGGGACAATAATAGTAGCTTACCTTACAGGGTTGTGCTAAAGGTAACATACTAGATAATGCGCGAGAATCGCTTCGAACACTCGAAACTGCAATGGAAATGTTCGTTATTTTTATTAACAATATGAACTTTCCATCTTTACCATGGGCAGACTTTGAGTTTAAAAGGTCTACAGTGGTACCTCAGGTTACATACGCTTCAGGTTACATACGCTTCAAGTTACAGACTCCACTAACCCAGAAATAGTGCTTCAGGTTAAGAACTTTGCTTCAGGATTGGAACAGAAATCGTGCTCCGGCAGCGCAGCGGCAGCAGGAGGCCCCATTAGCTAAAGTGGTGCTTCAGGTTAAGAACAGTTTCAGGTTAAGTACGGACCTCCGGAACGAATTAAGTACTTAACCCGAGGTACCACTGTACTTTCTGCTAGAACCCTGACATCCATCGATCTGAGCAGGGGCTACAGAAGCTTAAGAAACCTCGAAATAAACTTGCCGTGTCTCAAGCTTGGCACTTAGGGTTGCGTCCAATTGTGGCACAGCCTTGCCCCACCAGATGCCCCTCATATGTTCTGGAACACATGAAATACATGCCAACATGTTAACAATGATAATCATGGGCCCCTCGAGTGGAACCTCGAGTTGCGGACGTAATCCGTCCCGGAGGCACGTCCACAACTCGAAGCATTCGCATAAGAAGTGGCACATCTGCGCACACGCACGGCACAATTTAGCGCTTCTGCACATGTACAAAGCGCAATTTAGCACTTCTGCGCATGCACGAATGGCGAAACCTGGAAGTAACCCGTTCTGGTACTTCCGGGTTGCCGCGGGACGCAAGACGAAAACACGCAACTTGAAGTGGACGCAACATGAGGTATGACTGTACATTTGAAGCAGGATCATGACACTTTGAACAATGATGGCTTCCCCCAAAGAATGCTGAGAGCTGTGGATTTTTAAGGGTGCTGAGGATTGCTAGGAGACCCCCCCTTTACACCCCTCACTGAGCTACAATTCCCCAAGCTCACTAGGAAGAGGGGTTGATGGTTTAAGAGCTCTGCAAAATGTAGGTCAGTAAGGGGAACAGAGGGGCGCGGGTGGCGCTGTGGGTTAAACCACAGAGCCTAGGACTTGCCGATAGGAAGGTCAGCAGTTCAAATCCCCATGACGGGGTGAGCTCCCGTTGCTTGGTCCCTGCTCCTGCCCACCTAGCAGTTCGAAAGCACGTCAAAGTGGAAGTAGATAAATAGGTACCACTCCGGCAGGAAGGTAAACGGCATTTCCGTGCGCTGCTCTGGTTCGCCAGAAGCGACTTAGTCATGCTGGCCACATGACCCAGAAGCTGTACGCCAGCTCCCTCGGCCAATAAAGCAAGATGAGCGCTGCAACACAGAGTGGGTCACGACTGGACCTAATGGTCTGGGGTCCCTTTACCCTTTACCTTTAAGGTGAACAGAGGTCCTTCTGGCATCACTCCCTGCACCTTTAACAGGCTATATTTCCCAGAATTCTTTGTGGGATGCTTTAGCTGAGATTCCTGCATTGCAGGGGCTGGACTAGATGACCATTGGGGGGGATCACTCCCAATTCTACAATTCTACGATTCTAGGACTTTTCAATGTGACATGATGCTGCTTTAAGCATTCAGTGCCGATTGAGACGATGGCTTCTCTGAAGATGAAAAGATCTCACAAAGGGTTATTGGCTTCCTTTCATTTCCCTCCTCCATCACTCCTTCAACCTGGAATCCCTTTACTGTGGCTGAAGTGAGCTTGTCAGAGGCAATGGCCAATCCTGTGGACATACTTGAATAGATAAGGGAGGAAGGGCAGATAATGCTGCCTTGTCCAGAGAAAAAAAGAAGCCTTTGAAAGTGAAACTTTGCTTTCATTATTGCAACGAGAGACCAGGAACTGCCAAGGTTGCATTTAAATTAAAAACTCCATCGGTGGTCCCTGGAAAGCTCGGCCTCACAAATGTGGTGCTTTTATCTTGACTTCTGATGGAAATGGAGCCCTGTTGCTGCATTTAGGTGGTGATGATGGATTCCTGCTCATTTTGCTGAGCGGGGTCCTTGACCTCTGGCTCAAAGTCCTGCCCTGGTACTTTACCAGCTTCACAGACTTTCAGCTCATCCTCTTGGACCACAAGCCATTTTGAGCAACCTAGACATTTGGTCTAGTCATCATTTTTGATGTGTTTTTTTCCCCTGATGAGTTCTCCCCAGTACATTAGTTCGTTGTGTTGCTTCTCCCTCTTCTGTTTCTGGATTGGAGTCATCAAGGCTTGGTGAGTAAGAGGTGACATGAGAGAAGTTTATAATGGTGAATTTTGGACATGATGGAGATGTAAAAGATTTGGATTATTATAAAAGATGTAGGAGGAAATGATAAACAACAGGACCCACAAAGGGGAGGAGAGGGAAGTCCAGGAGATCCTTTGTAATCTTGCTTTTATGTTGGATATGTGATTGCAAAACTTTAATCTGAAAAAACGAATAAATAATTATTTTCAAAGAGAAGTTTATAAAATTATGCATGGTATGGAGAAATTAGTATTAGTATTAGCATACCACCCTATACCCTCGGGTCTCAGGGTAGCAACATAAAATCACAATATAAAAACACAAAACCCATAATAAAATAATAAATAATAATAAAAACAAAAACAACTTAATAATGCCCCCCCGCTCCCTGCACATTTTAAAAGGGCATTGGACGTCAGTCAGCCAAAGCAGATAAAGAAAAGTTCCCCTCCTCTCATTTGTGGGCACCCAATGGAGCTGAGTGCTGGAAGATTCCGGACCAGGAAAAGAAAATCCCATATTTTCCCATGTATAAGACTGGGTTGTTGTTGTTTTTACCAACAAATTAGGTTTAAAATTGGGGCTCGTCTTATACACGGGTAGTGCTGAGGGGTGTTTTCTTAACTTGGAGTCCCCCCAAATAGTCTTATACATAGAGTGCGTCTTATACACTGAAAAATACTACATCATGCAATGCACCATGGCCAGATGTTTCTAAAAAGCAGCTGCTGGGAACCACAGGAAGGGAGAAGGCTCTTGTGCTCGCATCCTGCTTACCAGTTTGCTATAGGCAGCTGGCTGGACCCTGGACTAGACGGCCCATTGGCCTGATCCAATGAGCTCTTCTTATGTTCCTACATTCTTCTCAAGCAATGTCCCGTAAAGAACCTATTTCCCATTGTGCTATTTCTGGAGTGTCTCACCTTTCCTTTTAACACGGACCCTCGTAATGAGCCTGTGAAGTGGGAACGTGGTCCTCCTCCAGTCCTCGGAACAGGCTGTGCCACTTCAAGGATGGCAGAGGAGAACATTGCTCTTGCCCTCTTCTCCTTGTGCTATTTTGGGGGCTGCTTGATTAGCTCACACTAGGAACTAGCACCCCACAGATTCCATCCCATGCTGTGTCTAGCTTCTGTCTTATCTGGAACAAGAAGGAGGAGGGGGAGAAAGGGAGATTATGAGTGGTAGGGATATGAACAGCTGTTTGCAAGGTAAACCTTGGCATGTGAGTGGGGAGCCTCCGGCGAACCCATGCTGATGCCTAAATCCATCCATTTCTCTCCTTGCTGTGACTCTGCTGGCAAGGCTAGAATTGGCGAGGGATGGAAGGGATCTCAGTCTCGCAATTTAAGCAGCCTCTGCTTAAATACCCCCCAGTGAAGCAAAACTCACCTCTTCCTCAGTTAGATTGTTCTTTGGCAATTAGCTCTCAGGCATAGATACTTCTGATTTTCAGACAGTTGCCATCTATATATCTCCAGGCCTTGGATGAACTGGAAACACAGTCGTCCTTAGACTTTCTTGTTTCCTTTCGTCAAAGCTTGTTCCCAAATGCAAATCCTGCTCTTGGTACATTGGGAATGCCAGCCTGGGCCTTGACTGTTCTACCCAAAAAGATAAAATGCTGTTTCAGAATGTTATGGGGCCTTGTTGAGAATGTGAACTGGGGGAAATGGATAGAGAAAGAGGGCATTCTCTCCTCGTGTAGCAACTCAGCACAACTTTGTAAGGTTGGCGGTTAGGCATTGGCTCAATGTTTTGTGGAGGGGAAGTGGTTGGCCTGTCCTTCCAATTGCTGCTGCTAGGGAATTCCGTTAAAGGAATCCAGGGGCTCGCCTTGCTTTTGTCTGAACCCTGTCAAGGGGCTCGGGCCACGCCAGAGCCCCTGGGAGCAGCTGGGGTGAGCTGTGAGACTGAAGCCAGCTTCTCACTCACCCAGGATGCTTCCCCTTACTGACCTCTGGTGGTGCCCAGTTGTCAGTCCTGCTCCTGCCACAGTGCAGGTTCAGGTAGTCTGGAACCATGCCTAAGCAACCACTCACATGCTGTAATCAATAAAGTTGTGGCCAAAATTATTGCCAAAAGCCTTAACCAAATTTCTGTGTCTATTGTGTCTTTAATTTTGGGCTCTTCACACACAAATTGCCATGGCTGAAACACATGGTTAGATCAATGAGAGACACGCATGAACCAAGGGGCTTTTTATGTGCTAATGCATGTCTTGGTTTCACAAACATCTTGGAGAGATGATGAATTTATTTCCCCTCTTTGGCAGCCCTGAAAATATGGAAGTCATAACAAAACCCCTGCAGAAGCAAAACAGTGTTTTGAAAAGCCTTTGTAAATAGTGGCTTTCCCTTAGCCATTCCTCCATTTAATTCTTGTTTTTTGTTGTTGTGTAGATGGACTTGTCTCCAGCTAAGTAGGCCCACTATAATATTGCCATGTTCATTCACTTCAGATGGTCTCCTCTTGAGGAGGACTGGTATTGGATGCAACCCAGGAATAGTTCATGCAACGTTAGATTGCGTGTCAAAATAATAACAGATCTCTCTGTGTGTTCCTCTCCTTCTGTGCACCGCTTAGGGGAAACCTGTGCTATCCCAAATGACGATACCCTGGTGGAGAAAGCAAAAGAGAAGGGACACCTTCGTCAGCACAGAAAACCAGGTAGCCTGTGCTAAAAATGATCGCTTTGCTTACTTAAGGCTGGCCAGTGGGGCTGATTTTGTTTCTCTCCTTCTCCCCATCAGAATGCATCATTAAATCAATTGGAAACCCAGCTGAGATTATACAATTAAGACAGAGCTACGGAGCGTGGATGATGGATCTCGCCAACAGAAGTGATGAAAAAATTTGGATCGCTGAACATTTTACAGGTGAGGATAGGGTCCAAATCCTCACTCAGCAATGCAGCAGGATGGGTGACCGTGGACTGCTTACACACACACACTCAATCTAACCCATCTATACCTGAAGGAGCGTCTCCACCCCCATCTGCAGAGAAGGACCTGTTCTCATGTTGCCACCCTCTGGACCTCTCAAGGAGGGGGCACGTCAAGTAGGGCCTCAGAATATGATCTCAGGGTCCAGGTAGGTTCATATGGAAAGAGGTGTTCCTTGCAGTAATGTGGTCCCGAGCCATTTAAGGCTTTATAGGTCAAAACCAGCACTTTGAATTGGGCACTTTGAAACTAATTGGTAGCCAGTGCAGTCAGACCAGGGTCAGTGTAATATGCTCAAACCGTCTTGCTCCACTAAATTCTGCACCCGCTGAAGTTTCCGAGCCATCTTCAGAGGCAGCCCTACACGTTGCAGTAATCTAACCTATAAATGTAATAAACAAACCAACTTCTTCCATGCCTTCCTCCCCTGAACAGGCCACATGATTAAAGAATACGAGGACATCTCTGCGCTGTGGAACAACAGCTACAGCACCATCGAGCTCCCTTGGCAATATTACGGCTGCGGACATGCCATCTATAACAACACCTTGTACTATCAGCGTGTCGGACGCAACATTATTGTGAAGTAAGTAGCTGAGGGGGCAGCAAAGGGGCTTCTGCGCTACGTCAGGGAGAGGGAACCTGGTGACCTCTGCTGAATGGCACTAAGGTAGCTAAGCGGTAGAGGATCTGCCACCCTGGCATCTCCCAATTCTGGAGCCCTGGAGAGCCGCTGCCAGGAATCACAGACCACACTGGGCTCCACGGGCCGATGGGGCGAGTCTTTGTAAAGCTATTTCCTTTGTTTCTCGTTGCTGCCATTCAACAAAGACTCGCTTTGAACAGCTTGCTTCGCCCAGGGCTTAGCTTATGGGACGAGTGTGTATCGTGAGGCTCCGTTGTGTGGGAGCTGGGATTGCAGCCTTGGCGTTATTGGGTGACTGGATGCTATTTCGAGAGCAAGCGAAAGATTCCCTCTGCTCTTTTGCCCTTTCCAGCATCACCCTTGATGCTGAAGCCAACAAAAACATTTGCCTTTGAGAAGCAGGTGTGAGCGCCTCCTTGACCTTTCTCCCTAGGGAAGCAGGCAGAGAAATGGGAGAGGTTCCCTGGATCGTAATTTGCTCTGTTCGAGACATTCCCGGTTTCTTGGCAAGGGGGTTTAGAGACGCCAGGCCTCTTCCAACAATGGCCTTTCATCTCAGCAGTGGAAGCGGCTGAAGTGGGAGGAATATAATGTCTTAACTGTCCATGATTAACACTCAGAGGGAGATTGATGTTGCTAGCGGCCGTTTGAAGGCTTTGGGGAGTTTGGTTCCTCTGACAAAAGACTTGTAAACCAGGCAAGAGGCAGACTGCAGACCTGATAGCATCAGGCAGTATCTTATGTTCCAAGACACGTGCATAAGGTTTTCATGCTTGGTAGTGGCACTCAGATTGCAGAACTGCCCCCCAAAAGTGGTTTGGTTGGCCCCATCTCTTTTGAGTTTTAGGAGTGAGGCATATATTTTTCTCTTTGGCTGTGCCTTTGATCTGTTTTGTCTTCCTGCTTTGGCAATGTACTGTATTTTGAAACTGACCCATGGTGCAATTCTATGGGTGTGTGGGGGGTGTGTGTGTGTATAATCAAATGCAGTTCATCCACCTTGCAGGCTCTTGTTCTTTTCCACTACTACTTCAAATGGTCATTTATGGTCCCGTCTTGCTGTCCCTATGGAACGCAATTGGTGCTGTGGTCTAAACCACTGAGCCTCTTGGGCTTGCTGATTGTCCTTTATTTCATCATGGTCAAATATTGTCAGATATTAAATGAATCTTAAGAATTGCCTTGTGGCCAAGCGGCAAAGTAAGCCTTAGCTATTGACCGTCGGTTGTATATCCAGGGAGATGCATGTTTCAAATGGAACAGAGTGGTGTAAATTTGGCAGAAGAGGTGAGTCACAAAAGCATTGACTTTGCTGCCTACCTAACTGCATTCAGAAGGGATGCAGGTGGTGCTGTGGTCTAAACCACTGAGCCTCTTGGGCTTGCTGATCGGAAGGTCAGTGGTTCAAATCCCGTTGCCCTGTCCTAGCTCCTGCCAACCTAGCAGTTTGAAAGCATGCCAGTGCAAGTAGATAAATAAGTACCACTATGGTGGGAAAATGGCATTTCTGTGTGCTCTGGTTTCCATCACTGTGTCCTATTGCACCAGAAGTGGTTTAGTCCTGCTGGCCACATGACCTAGAAAGCTATCTGTGGACAAACGCCAGCTCCCTTGGCCTGAAAGCTAGATGAGTGCCGCAACCCCATAGTCGCCTTTGACTGGACTTAACCGTCCAGGGCTCCTTCACCTGTACCTTTTTACCTTGTTTCCCTAAACCATGGTTAACACGAAACCCAGGTTGGTTCAGTGATGGTTAATTGAAAACGGAAGTGAACTCCTCAATGCCTTCTTTGCCTCAGTCTTCTCCGATAAAGAAAACAATGCCCAACCTGAAGAATTTGGAGCAAATGATTCAGCAAAGGAAACACAGCCCAGAATAACTAAGGAGATAGTACAAGAATACTTGGCTAGTTTAGATGTATTCAAGTCTCCAGGGCCAGATGAACTGCATCCAAGAGTATTAAAAGAACTGGCAGATGTGATCTCAGAACCACTGGCAGTCATCTTTGAGAATTCCTGGAGAACAGGCGAAGTCCCGGCAGATTGGAGGAGGGCAAATGTTGTCCCTATTTTCAAAAAGGGGAAAAGAGAGGACCCAAATAATTACCGCCCAGTCAGTCTGACATCAATACCAGGGAAGATTCTGGAGCAGATCATTAAGCAAACAGTCTGTGAGCACCTAGAAAGGAATGCTGTGATCACCAATAGTCAGCATGGATTTCTGAAAAATAAGTCATGTCAGACTAACCTGATCTCATTTTTTGACAGAATTACAAGCCTGGTAGATGAAGGGAACGCAGTGGATGTAGCCTACCTTGATTTCAGCAAGGCATTTGACAAGGTGCCCCATGATATTCTTGTAAAGAAGCTGGTAAAATGCGGTCTTGACTATGCTACCACTCAGTGGATTTGTAACTGGCTGACTGACCGAACCCAAAGGGTGCTCATCAATGGTTCCTCTTCATCCTGGAGAAGAGTGACTAGTGGGGTGCCACAGGGTTCTGTCTTGGGCCCGGTCTTATTCAACATCTTTATCAACGACTTGGATGATGGACTCAAGGGCATCCTGATCAAATTTGCAGATGACACCAAACTGGGAGGGGTGGCAAACACCCCAGAGGACAGGATCACACTTCAAAACGACCTTGACAGTTTAGAGAACTGGGCAAAAACAAACAAGATGAATTTTAACAGGGAGAAATGTAAAGTATTGCACTTGGGCAAAAAAAATGAGAGGCACAAATACAAAATGGGGGACACCTGGCTTGAGAGCAGTACATGTGAAAAGGATCTAGGAGTCTTGGTTGACCACAAACTTGACATGAGCCAACAGTGTGACGCGGCAGCTAAAAAAGCCAATGCAATTCTAGGCTGCATCAATAGGAGTATAGCATCTAGATCAAGGGAAGTAATAGTGCCACTGTATTCTGCTCTGGTCAGACCTCACCTGGAGTACTGTGTCCAGTTCTGGGCACCACAATTCAAGAAGGACACTGACAAACTGGAACGTGTCCAGAGGAGGGCAACCAAAATGATCAAAGGCCTGGAAACGATGCCTTATGAGGAACGGCTAAGGGAGCTGGGCATGTTTAGCCTGGAGAAGAGGAGGTTAAGGGGTGATATGATAGCCATGTTCAAATATATAAAGGGATGTCACATAGAGGAGGGAGAAAGGTTGTTTTCTGCTGCTCCAGAGAAGCGGACACGGAGCAATGGATCCAAACTACAAGAAAGAAGATTCCACCTAAACATTAGGAAGAACTTCCTGACAGTAAGAGCTGTTCGACAGTGGAATTTGCTGCCAAGGAGTGTGGTGGAGTCTCCTTCTTTGGAGGTCTTTAAGCAGAGGCTTGACAACCATATGTCAGGAGTGCTCTGATGGTGTTTCCTGCTTGGCAGGGGGTTGGACTCGATGGCCCTTGTGGTCTCTTCCAACTCTATGATTCTATGATTCTATGATTCTAAACCTTGCAGCCTTGTTGTGGCTGTACCACAGGAGAATCAGAAACTGAGCAGACTGCACTCCCATGACCCTGCAGTTCCAAACTGTAGTTTAGTGTTACATACGAACACAACCATTGGCTCTCTAGGGGGCAATGATAAGAGAGACAGGTGCATTCTGCTATTCCCTCTTAACTCTTAAGTGGCATGTTCTGTACTTTGAGGAACAAAAGGGAACATCATTTTTAAGAGCTTCTTTGCCTTGCTTGCTTTGAATGCTGAACTGTCCTCAGAACGACCTTTTCCTTCAGCAAACTTTGTGGCAGACTTGCTTCTCAGCCGTGTGGTCCCAATCTTAGGGTGCATGCTCATCATTTTGGACCCTTAAACCACAGTCAAAGCTTCTTTCCTTCAAATAAATCTGGGCACGGTGGCTGACTCCCCACAGAGTTTTAATTCTCAGCAATCCTTAATAAACTACAGTTCCCAGAATTCTTTGAGGGGAAAGCTTGCCACGAAGGTGCTTTAAAGGTATAGCATATGAAGCCTGTGGTAGCATCATTAAGGTAGAGCTCATTTCCTTTGGGATGTGTCTTGCGGTCAACTCAACTTTTGGAAGATTCTCAACAAACTGTATCAGCCCGTGGAAAAATGCCCATTGGGCACTTTTTGAATTACGTTTCAGGGCTTCCTGATCACTGTGGCTCAGTTCTCCAAACATTTCCAGTATTATTATTTTTAAAACAATGCTTTTGTACTTCAGAGAGTTGCTCATCCCGGCTCTGAGAGGGCAAGAACAAGGCCAGAATGCTTGCTCAATCTCCTTGCTTGGAAACAATTTTTGCTTTTATTTCCTGGTCGCAGTTTATTTGATTGGACTTCAGAATTTGCCACCCAAGTCATTAGAACCTAAGAAGATTCCCAATGGCCCATCTAGGCTGTCATCCTGTTTAGGGAAGTTTTTAATGTTTGGTGTTTTAATGTGTTTTTAATATTCTGTTGGGAGCCGCCCAGAGTGGCTGGGGAAACCAAGCCAGATGGGCGGGGTATAAATAATAAATTATTATTATTATTATTATTATTATTATTATTATTATTACTACTACTACTACTACTACTACTACTACTTCAGCACCACAGCAGTCATCACTTCTCCCAAAGAATCTTGGGAACTGTAGTTTGTTAAGAGTAGTTGTTAGGGGAGCCCCCGGCCTAGTCCCCTCACAGAGCTACAATTCTCAATTTCTCTTCCCTGGGAATTCTGGGAATTATCATCATCATCACCACCATCATTATCACAGCAACCAATCGGATGCTTGTGGGAAGCCCAGAATCAAGACACGAGTGCAAATCTCCTCTTGTGATTTCCAGAAAACACATTCAGAGGCATGCTCCAGTTTAGCCACTGATTTCCATGGAAATCAGTCCAGTCTTCTGCTGCCTGTAAATTGGACATTTGCCGTCCAAATGGCATCTAATTTGCAGGCATTCTTCTAATCCCTCAGAACATAAAACCTACTGGAATTTTGACAGATTGAACAAAGGACTCCATTTTTATTGGCAACTGAAATGATGCACACATGGATCCAAACTTGTATGAGCTTTCCAATCTGCCTGTTTCAATGTTCTCTCCTCCTCTTCTCCCCAGAAAACCTTTTTTGGTGATCTCTAACAGAGGCCCCATCCACACTGTGCATTTAAAGCAGTATCATCCCGCTTTAAACTACACTTTTCTGGGAAGGGTAGTTTGTTAAGGGTGCTTTGTGTGGTTCAAAGACTCCTATTCCCATCACAGAGCTACAATCCCTCTTCCCAGGGAACTCTGGCGATGATTGCACTACAAGGGGAAGTACAGTATGCACGGAGGTGTAAAAACTAGTCTACTTCCGTATAAATTTATATTCATTTCTTCCTCCTGTTTCCCCCTGGCCCAGTCCACCACTGTTCACAATGTTTTCAACATTGTGATACATCACCAGCTGAACCACAATATACTAATATGTCACGATGTCTGAAATAAGGATGGAGCTCTGTGGAGGCATCGGCTGGCATAATAATAATAATAATAATAATAATAATAATAATAATAATTTTTATTTATATCCCGCCCTCCCCAGCCGAAGCCGGGCTCAGAGCGGCTAACAACATTAAAATGATACAACAGTCTAAAATCATTTTATTCTAAAATCAATTCAAATCAGATTAATGGCAACCATTGGGCTAGAGTTCTGTGAGGATTGCCAAAGGCTGCGCCCTGACCAAAGGCCTGGTGGAACAGCTCTGTCTTGCAGGCCCTGCGGAAAGATGTCAAGTCCTGCAGGGCCCTAGTCTCTTGTGACAGAGCGTTCCACCAGATTGGAGCCACAGCCGAAAAAGCCCTGGCTCTGGTTGAGGCCAGCCTAACCTCTCTGTGGCCTGGGACCTCCAAGATGTTTTTGTTTGAAGACCTTAAGGTCCTCTGTGGGACATACTATGGTTTTTCCTGCATCGTGATTTTTGCTGGCGCCTGCTCTTGTGATTCGTTGCCCCTTGCAGATGGCAGGAGAGAATTGAGCCGGCCAAATTAAAAGGGGCTGCAGGAATCGAGAGAAGCATTGGCTGGCTTCATGGTTTTTTCTGCATCGTGGTTTTTGCATAGCACACACATTGTGATTCGCAATATATTGCCAGGTCCAAAATTTTAATAAGGAATGGGGAAAATGCATAACTTTTCTTAAAGACCATTGTAAACAGCTAAAATCATTAGTAGGACTGGAATAGCACTTGTAGTTTAGGGTTGATTCTGGACATAATGGAAGAGGTAAAGGTCTTGTATTAGCATAAAAGATGTGGGAGGAATTGATTAATAATAGGACCCACAAAGGGGAGGATGGAAGTCCAGGAGATTCCTTGGAATCTTGTTTTTATGATTTCTGTTTGCTATAGCTCTGTAAAGTTGAAAAACCAAATAAATAAATTTAAAATATATATATTATGCAAGCAATATCATGATACGGACTTCGGTTTTCGATGATATAGCTCTGGTAGGTTACTCAGAAGGGAATGTGGACTTGGAATTAAAGAGGTTCCTAATCTGGATTCATGTTCTTCCATTCCTTTCAGTATAAAACACATGGAAACAAATAGGGTGTGTTAATTTTGTTTTATAAACCCCAGCCCTCCTGCACCTTGAGCCGCCCTGAAGTATTTTGCTTCAAACCCTCTCCTTTGATAGAAAGGACTGACAGAAACCGAGACCAGGGAGAAGAGATGGTGGATGAAGATTGGAAGAAAGTTTAAAAATTTATTTAGAGAAATATTGTAAAATTAATGAGTGTTAGAAAAATGTTGGAATGAAATTATACGGCTTTAGTAGAAATGTTATAAGGAGTTAAGAATAAATAAGTTTTAGGGTTTTAATGGTAAGATAAGGTTAAAATAAATTAAGACAATTAAATGACAAAAAACAGTGAAAGATGGAAAGGATTTGCTGAAATAATTAATAACTAGAATACAAAAAAGGGAGGTGTGAGGAGGTCGACGAAACAAGTTAATGAAAGATAAAGATATGGAAATATTGGAGGTGTTTTTAATTGTTTTTGCTTTTGTTTTTGTTTTGATGTATTGTGTTCTTTGTTCTTTTTTTATATGTATTGTAATGTATTGATTTGTATTGTTTACTTTTTCTCTTTCTTTTTTATTTCTTTCTGTAATCTCAAACTTTTAATAAATATTATTATTATTATTATTTTTAAAAAACCCTCTCCGCAGGTATGACTTCGCGACACAGTCCTCGCAGACACTCTCCATGAAAAACGCCTGGTACTTTGAGCGCAAGTACCTCTTCGGCGCTTCCAAATCCTACTTCAGCGTCGCCGTGGACGAGAACGGGCTTTGGGTGCTCTACCTCTCGAGGCCAGACGAGCACATCATGGTGGCGCATGTAGACGAGGACACCTTCTCGGTGTTGCGGTACATCAACACCACATACCCGCAGTCCAAAGCCGGCAACGCCTTCGTCGCCTGCGGGGTGTTGTACATCACCGACAAGAACCACACGCATGTCGCCTTTGCTTATGATCTCTGGAGGGAAAGGCAGCTGGACACCAGTTTTGAGTTGAAACTGTCGCTATCCGACGCAGGCTTTGCTTCCAAAGTTTCCCCAGCCAAGCAGGACGATTCGTCGTTTGTGCCCGTCCTAGCTATGCTTTCCTATAACCAAGGGGACAAGCGCCTCTACACATGGGAACATGGCTTCCTGATGCAATACCCTGTCCATTTTGTTGGCTGAATGCGCTTAGTACCAATCCACAAGGGCCATCTTTGCCTGTCGTCCATATTGGAGATTCGGCTCTCCAAACCTTTCGGCGAAAACAATTGCACACCTCCCATTTGAGGAGAGTCGCAAAGCAATGTGCGTACAGACAGGGCGGCTTGTTCTCATCCCCCCTTTGTGTCCCCAGCGTAGATGTTTAGATTACGTAGGCTTCTGTGGCTTTGCAGAACAAAGGCCGCTCAATGTCGGAGCGAGTGGTGCATTCCGGCAGAAGCCCAGTGAGGCTTTTGTTTCGCAGAGAGGCTGTGGTGTGGGAGGAAGACCTTTTCGAATGCCATGTGCTTCGAGCACGAACGGAGGCATGTGGCACCTCTCGTCAAAGGACCCCAGGAACATGTCTAAAAGCCTGCAGATCCCATGTGGTGCTCCTTCTCACGACCTGGGTCACAATGGCACCATACATTTAAAGCATGCTTGGACCACTTTCGTGTTGGAACGGTAGTTTTTGTTAAGGGTCCTGTGGATCAGAGGTCTTGGGTTGTCTTCTAGCAACCCCCGACACCCTTTAACCGACTGCAGTTGCCAGATTTATTTTGGGGGGAGCCAGAGCTGTAAAAGTGGTGCAAGCATCCTTTTAAATGTATGGCTGGGGTCCACGCCAGCCATTTTTAAACTTGCGAGGGGTGTGCCCGGTGTTCCCTGCCCACTAGCAGGTGGGAGATTTTAATGTTGTGGAACGGTGGCATCTAATGCAACAGAAACAGCGACCCATCTGCAGGTAACGAAGTCCTCCTGCCACAAAGCTTCTTACCAGCAGAAGTATACCACTAAGTGACAAACGTCGGGATGCAACCTTCAGTTTATTGGTCTGTTGGTTGCGTGTGGCTGCTTAGGTGATCATACATATTGCTCTAAATCAGCCTTTCTCAACTTGTGGGTCCCCAGATGTTGTTGAACTACAACTCCCATCACCGCTAGCTAGCAAGGCCAGAGCTCAGGGATGATGGGCGTTGTAGTCCAACAACATCCGGGGACCCACAGGTTGAGAACCGCTGCTCTAAATGGTCTTATGGGCCATCTCATCGAACCCTGATCTCATTCTAGGATCTTGCAACTCTCACAGCAGGCTTGCGGCAGCTTTGGCCCTCCAGAAGTTGCCAGACGATGACTCCTGTCATTCCTAGCTTCCTGAGGCTGATAGGAGCTGTTGTTCAGGGCCATATGGAGGGCCACAGGTTCCTCACACCTGCCTTACAGCTTCTGCTCGAATATCTCATGACAAAGAGGCCACAATTGCCCTGAAGCAGCCTCTTCTCCTGTCAAAACAGCTATTTGCGTGGCGTTTTTGCCAGAATAGGATGCCCTCCCATTTCAACTGGCTGTTGTTTTATGCTCTGGAGCAAAAGAGGGAGATGTATGTGGAACATACTGGGGGGGGGGAATGCTTCTTAAAACACCCCCTTCAGCTCTCTTTAACATGATAGTCTTCAGCCCTGCTCTGACCACTGAAATGTGTCCTTGAATCCGAGATATCATTTTCAATTCTCCGTTGAAGTCATCCCCCCACTCCCAGCACCTTTTAGCTGTAATCTTGGCTGAATGTCTCTCTCTCTGTGTATATATTTCTCAACTGGGGCATAAAGATGCATGTATGAGAATCTTGGCAAATAAAGGGGACATTGGCCCAACTGGCATGGACTCCCTGACTCCTGTTGCAGCCGAACACGGCTGTTTTGGAAGGATGTGTCGAACGGTGATGGGAATGGCAGAGAAATGTTTCTCAAAGTGGGAAGTCTGCAAAAGTAATCCGTCAGAGGGCAACCTCTGGGAATGATCTGGGGTCAAACAAATGCCAGAAACAGCTACAGCTTCACCTACCACCGTGAAGCCAAAACTAACTTTATATGCATCCTTGCATTTAATGTGCAAGGCTTTTTCTTTTTAAAAATAGATAAATTAAAATAGCATTAGCAGGTAAGTGTGTGAAAGAGAATTCTACTCTGCGGAGGAATGTAAGCCTTCCCTTTCATTTTTGACACTGCTCCTGAGGAAAATCCCTCTTCAAATAATGGGGGGGGGGGACCAAATGGAAGATGTAGACCCCCCTTTTTATACACACAGAATTGCGTGCAAGGAATAGGAGCCCAGCATTGCTGCAAGACGGCTGTGTGCAAGACATGGGATCTGGGGAGTGGGGCAATATTATTATTATGATGCCTCTGCAGTAGATTGGAGGGGCATGAAGAGAGAGGAAGGTGTGTCCTCTCTGTGTTCTAGGGTGCACCTGAAAGTTCACACATTATAAAATCTAAAATAGCACTCCGTTTTTTCTTCATGAAGCTTTTAAGAACACCATGGGACGCGGGTGGTGCTGTGGTCTAAGCCACTGAGCCTCTTAGGCTTACCAATCGGAAGGTCGGCGGTTCGAAACCCTGTGACGGGGTGAGTTCCTGCTGCTCCGTCCCAGCTCCTGCCCACCTAGCAGTTTGAAAGCACGCCAGTGAAAGTAAATAGGTAAACGATGTCTCCATGCGCTCTGGTTTCCGTCACGGTGTTCCGTTGTACCAGAAGCGGCTTAGTTATGCTGTCCACATGACGAGGAAAGCTGTCAGTGGACAAACGCCGGCTCCCTCGGCCTGAAAACAAGATGAGCGCCGCAAAGCCATAGTAGTCTTTGACTGGGCTTAACCGTCCAGGGGTCCTTTACCTTTTTTTAAATAAGAACACCAAGCTTTAGAACAGAGATGGGGAAATGCGGCCCCAGGGGCCACTTTCTCTGGCCCCATTTTGTACCCCCCTTGAGTATATTTGCCTGGCCGTAAGGTGCCCTTGGGGACGCAGGTGGCGCTGTGGGTAAAACCTCAGTGCCTAGGACTTGCTGATCGTATGGTCGGCGGTTCAAATCCCCGCGACGGGGTGAGCTCCCGTCTTTTGGTCCCAGCTCCTGCCCACCTAGCAGTTCGAAAGCACCCCTAAGTGCAAGTAAATAAATAGGTACCGCTTTATAGCAGGAACCTTTATTCCATCATCATTGTCATCAATATTATTATTATTATTATTATTATTATTATTATTATTATTATTATTATTATACCCCACCCATCTGACTGGGTTACCCCAGCCATTCTAATATATATAAAAATATTATAAAACATTAAACATTAAAAAACTTCCCTATACTGGGCTGCCTTCAGATGTCTTCTAAACATTGTATAGTTACTTATCTGCTTGGCTCAGGGGTTGCATAATTCCATACCCTCCAACATTTCTCTGAAGAAAATAGGGATGTCCTAAGGAGAAGTGGAGGGAGGTGGGTGGCACTGTGGGTTAAACCACAGAGCCTAGGACTTGCCGATCAGAAGGTCGGCAGTTCAAATCCCCACGACGGGGTGAGCTCCCGTTGCTCGGTCCCTGCTCCTGCCAACCTAGCAGTTCAAAAGCACATCAAAGTGCAAGTAGATAAATAGGTACCACTCTGGTGGAAGGTAAACGGCATTTCCGTGCGCTGCTCTAGTTTGCCAGAAGTGGCTTAGTCATGCTGGCCACATGACCCGGAAGCTGTACGCCGGCTCCCTCGGCCAATAAAGCGAGATGAGCGCCGCAACCCCAGAGTCGGTCACGACTGGATCTAATGGTCAGGGGTCCCTTTAAGGTGGCCTTGAACTCATTCTTGCCTGGATGGAAAGTAGAGAGGGGGGGGAATGAAGTAACTAACCTGCTGTATTGTGCCCCCCACTTTTGCCTCTGGCCCCACCCACTGGCATGTGGCCCCTGGAAAGTTGCCCCGAAGGGAAAGCAGCCCTCTGGATGAAAGGAGGTTTGCCAGCTGAGCTGGGATAGCTCAGCTGGTAGAGCATGAGACTCTTAATCTCAGGGTTGTGGGTTGGAGCCCCACACTGGGCAAAAGATTCCTGTCTTGCAGAGGGTTGGACTAGATGACCCTTGGGGTCCCTTCCAATTCTACAATTGAAAGTTCTGGTTTTGACTCTAAAGTGCCTTAAACAGCTCAGGACCGCAATACCTCAAGGACTGCCTCTTTCCATATGAACCTACCTGGACCCTGATATCATCTTCTAAGGCCCTCCTTCATGTGTCTCCTCCTCAAGAGGTCCAGAGGGTGGCAACAAGAGAACGGGGCCTTCTCTGCAGTGGCTCCCCATCTGTGGAATGTTCTCCCCAGGGAAGTTTGCCTGGCACCTTCATTATACACCTTTAGGCGCCAGGCAAAAACGTTCCTTTTTAACCAGTCTTTTGGTAGACCTGATGAACATCCCATACCCTTTTAAAATGTGGCTCTTTTGGGGGGTGTATTATTGGATTATTGCTTTTATTTTTATTTTATATACTGTGATATTTTTTTTATGTGAACCGCCCTGAGACCTCATATATTCCATATTAAACACCTGGGGGCAACTGTTGCTATCACGCCTTACAAAGTCTCACACTACCACGACGACAAGGACTGTAGGGCATTCCGTGAAATAAAAGGAATTTATTTAACTTACAAAGGTAAAACTAACAAAGGACATTTGCTTTCTTTTCATATATATATATACTTTGCAGCTTGCACTTAAAATTGCCTTTAGACAAAGGTGCATTTTACTCCATCTCATTCATATATATATATTTCTCATATATATATATATTTCTGATTTAGAATACAGCACAGACACATAAATTCTCACTGGAGGGGGAAAAAATACAATTTGTTAAACATTTAAATACACAGACATCAGCTCCGTTATATCTTGGTAAAGAACGTGTCTTCCTGTTTTACAACAGAGAAAAATACATCTAAGTATGACAAACAATAGCTGGTATATTACAAGCAAACAATATTGACCTCTGCATAGTTTATACAATATGCTGTGGAAACAGTTCAAGATTACCAATTTTGTCAACTATTTACTAGCTGGCCACATGTAAGCCTGACATTCATCTGAAATGTGGCATGGGTCTATATCAGTAGTTTCTTCTACAGCTTTGCTTTAAGAAAGATCAATCTGTATGGTTTTTTCCCCCTTCCTTCTTTTGCTTTTTTTTTTTTTGCCCTACGTAAAAATAAAACTCAGAACTCAAAAGGATGACTAGAAAGAGGTTTCCTGTTCACAACAAACACTTAGTGCTCACAAATTACATTCCTAATGCAAAAGGCAGGACTCAAAATAATGGCAGGGGGAAGGAGTAAGGTGGAATCTGATATTAGGAAAATCACGGCGCCTCGGATGAAAACAGAGACCTGTGTTGCATTCTCTCTCACCCTCACCTCTCAGTAGTGACTTGAACTGATGTCATAATGTGGCTTGGTTTCCTGCCCTGTCCGGCCAGTGGTCTGGATTGGAATGTGGAGAAAGAAATGCAACAAATCGTATCGGGACAGTGGTCAGCCGTACCAAACGTTAGGAAAGGGAAAGGGGGAGAATGCCACAGGGCCTCCGTTTCGGTGGGCGGCCTGGTTCGTTTCAAAACGGCTTCAGCACAAACAGACAGAAAATCAAAAGTGGCATACGATTCCAAGGAAAATCCCACAGGTTCCGAGAAATGTTATTCTGTGCAAATTACAGTACTCCAGCGGTGCATTAATGCTAATTCTGGGAGGGGGAACATAATAGGGGGGTCTCAGCATCAAATAATATACACATCAGCCCACAGTACATTCCCCATTGCACACAGCTTCACGGATTGTGTGGTAGTCACATTTTCATAGTGGCATGACCCAAAATAATAATTACAATAATAATAAATAACGACATCGACAATGTAAAATCACGCTCACTTCGAATACCCTTCATTATAGCAAATCATTTTCAAAATTGGAGGGGGGGGGCGGCTTGCAGACATGCTTCAACTTAGCGGCAGTGATTTGGAAGAGAATATCCTGAAAAGTACATCAAAAATAGCTTACTTTTAGGGATTTTGCTGCAACTGCAGGCGAATAAGCATCTTTTTGCTTACTTTAAGTAAACAATCTCATGGGTCACAGAGCACAAGCCCATCGGTCACTGTGCAAGGGACGTCGGCGCCCGTACAGTGCATGCATTCCCAGCCCATCAATTCATAAACACAGTGCTTTAAACGAGAAAAAAATAAAATAAAGGTGTGTGGGGGGGTGTTGAAACACCGCTCTTCCTCTTAACTCAACTATATAGCAACTAAAGGCTGCAATAATTAACTCTCGATTATGAAGCGTGGCAGCACCCCTTCTTAAATGCTCGCTACGCCACGGTGCCGGTTCCAGCCACGTTTCTCGGACAGGGAATGGCGGCGGCGGCAGCAAAGTCTACAGAATGTCGCAGAGGCCCGAAGGGATGCTGAAAGCGTTAGGTAGAACTCGCATCTTCAGGGTACCATCCGCTCCACAGGAGAAGATGCGGTTGCCTTGTGCCATCTCAATCTGCATGACTCCGGTGCTGAGGTTTCGGAAGATGGACTGCTTGGCGTGTTCGTGCTTAAACGAGTGGATCAGACCGTAGCCTGTCAGCCTCCACACCTGCAGGAAGAGAGGGCGGACAAGGACCTTGTCAGTCGATTTTGGGGACCCGGGTGATCTCATTTTTCTCTTTTAGTGGAAGGAAGGGACAACAGCTCGGTGGTAGAGCTCGTGTTTCGTATGCAGGTGTTCCTAGGTTCAATTCATGCCATTTCCAGTTAGTAAATACCAGGTAACAGGTGATGGTAAAGGTGTCTCTCCCGGAGACCTTGGAAAGGTAAAGGTCCCCTAGACGGTTATGTCCAGTCAAAGGTGACTATGGGATTGCAGCGCTCATCTTGCTTTCAGGCCGAGGGAGCCGGCGTTTGTCCGCAGACAGCTTTTGGGTCATGCGGCCAGCATGACTAAACTGCGTATGTTGCAATGGGACACTGTGACGGAAACCAGAGCGCATGGAAACGTTGTTTACCTTCCCACCACAGCGCTACCTATTTATCTACTTGCACTGGTGTGCTTTCGAAATGCTAGGTTGGCAGGAGTTGGGACAGAGAAATGGGAGCTCACCCCGTTGCGTGGATTCGAACCACCGACCTTCTGATCGGCAAGCCCAAGAGGCTCAGTGATTTAGACCACAGCTGCTAGGTAAGAGAGACAATATTGGGCCTGGGTGTATAAATGGTCTAGACCTGGTTTAAGCCAGTTTCCTAGGCTCCAATCCTAGGACTAGATGCTCAGAAGGTCCCTATCCTAGGACTGAATCCATATAATGTGGGGCAAGACCCCCGGGAGAGGGGCATGCTTCAGCACACATAAACGCTGGGTCTTAGACAGCACATAAGCAGAGCACAGCCATTGTGGCTGGCAGGCACAGACAGGCTTAGCTTCCATGAATCTGCCTAATCCTCTTTCTTTTTAATTTTATTTATACTTTTCAGGTCTATACATTTCACTAATTTTACAATCATTTTAACCTTTCAAAACTTGATTTCCTTTCCCCGTCTTTCGGCGGTTCTTTAAATTGACTTTTAATATCTTCCGCCTATCCAAATTAACTAAATTTGCTCATTTATTCATCTACTTTAAATATATACCCTTGTAAAACTGCAGGTTATGACAATAATCCTGCCAATGTTTTTATCTGTCTACAATTTATATGTAAATATTCAATGAACCATTTCCATTCTTTTATTTAAAAAGTTTGTTTATCTTGATTTCTTATTCTTCCGGCAAGTTACCTGCCTAATCCCTCTTTCAAAGCCTCCGAGTTGGTGGCCGGCCCTGCTTCCTGTGGCAGTGAGTTCCATAGTTTTAACTATGCACTGCATGAAGAAGTACCGTATTTTTCACTCCATAAGATGCACTTTTTCCTCTTAAAAAGTAAGGGGAAATGTCTGTGTGTCTTATGGGGAGAATGTGTGATCGATCGCTGGCTCCCTTTCCGGCCCCGCCCCTTTGCCCAGGCCTCCATTGTTGAATGTTCTGCAAGGTGGCTGTTTGTTTCCCCAGCGACATGTGACTGGCTGATGAGATTATCTGTCTGGAAACTGCAGAAACGGCTCCCTTTCCTTTCCTAAAGAAGCTGCAGAACTGTGAGTTGAACCCCATAAAAACAGGATTTCCCCCCCTTTGCAACGTAAGCTCAACAACTTTGAGCCGATACTCAAAAAAGGGGCTTTCCCCCTTTACAAAAGAAGTTGCGCTACCGTGAGCTGATCCCCCCGAAAACGGGGCTTTCCCCCTTTCCTCCTCTAGGTGTGTCTTATGGTCAGGCGCGTCTTATGGAGCGAAAAATACGGTACTTTCTTTTGTCTGCCCAGAGTATTCATAGAATCGTAGAGTTGGAAAGGGACTCCAAGGGTCATCTAGTCCAACCTCCTGCAATGCAGGGATCTTTTTGCCTAGTGTGGGGCTCAAACGCACGACCCTGAGATCACGAGGCTCATGCTCTACCGACAGAGCTATCCGGACGAAGGTGGTGGATGGAAGTCACTGCATGCACCTCAATTTTGAGGAGCGGAGCAGTCAGCCTTGCAGAGTGGGGCAACACCTGCACCATTTTTCTACGCAGTGCACACAAAACGTATTTTGCCAGCCTGTATCGGAGGTTATGGGACGCGGGTGGCGCTGTGGGTAAAAGCCTTAGCGCCTAGGGCTTGCCGATTGAAAGGTCGGCGGTTCAAATCCCCGCGGCGGGGTGCGCTCCTGTTGTTCGGTCCCAGCGCCTGCCAACCTAGCAGTTCGAAATCACCCTCGGGTAGATAAATAGGGACCGCTTACTGGCGGGAAGGTAAACGGCGTTTCCGTGTGCAGCTCTGGCTCGCCAGATGCAGCTTGTCACGCTGGCCACGTGACCCGGAAGTATCTCCGGACAGCGCTGGCCCCCGGCCTCTTGAGTGAGATGGGCGCACAACCCCAGAATCTGTCAAGACTGGCCCGTACAGGCAGGGGTACCTTTACCTTTTATCAGAGGTTACAGAGCACAAGTTCGCCTGAATTTCCGCTTACCTTCACATTGCCTTCTGCGGAGCCCGTGCAAAAGCACTCTTCGGAAGAGTCGAGGGCGAGCGCTTTGATCGAAGAGTCGTGGGCTTGGAAGGTGTGCAGGGCCTGCCTCTGCCGGATGTCGAAGATGGAGATGTGCCCTTTCCTGCCTCCCGAAATCAGCAGCTGGTGCTTGGGTGCGTACTGTAGCACGGTGGCACCGTGATCGTGACAAGTGAAGGCTGAGTGAGGAAACAAACGGCCAAGCAAGCTTTTAGTACAGGGCTACCTCGGTTTTCGAACAGCTTGGCTCCTGAACAACTCGGAACCCGAATGCTGCAAACCCAGAAGTAGGTGTTCCAGTTTTCGAATTTTGCCCCGGAAGCCGAACGTGCTCCTGAGCGTCCGTTTTTACTGTTTTGCAGCAGATTTTTTTTTATATTTTTTTTATTAAACCTTTATTTTTATTCCAACAATTAAAACCATATGTACATCATCCATAAAAACAAAACAGAAAAAAAAACCGGAATCAGATTCCATAATATTTAGGTACTAAATCGCTATACAGATCTGTTACATTGTTTGACTTCCCATCACCACGACGTGAGCTGTAACTAAGTAATATATTCAGCAGTGTCTTTTACTAATCGTTATATCAACCTCGCAGTTTTTATATTGTACCTACTGTGATTTTGATGTTTCCTAAAACCGTCTCCATATATGAGAGAAATTTATTCCAATCGCTAATAAATTTGGTGTTTTTCTGTTGCCTGATCTTCTGTGTCATCATTGCTAGGTCAATATATTCAATTAACTTGTTTTGCCAATCTCTGATTGTTGGGATGTTAGGTGTTTTCCAATTTTGGGCTAACAGTATCCTAGCGGCTACCGTAGCATACTGAAATAGGGTTTGGTCATCTTTCTTAATTTCGTCCCCCACCATTCCTAGAAGGAATGCCTCGGGCTTTTTAGGGAAGGTGTACTTTAGGATCTTTTTTAGTTCATCATAGACAGAGCCCCAGAACCTTTTTACTTCCTCGCAGGTCCACCACATGTGGTGAAAGTCTCCCTCTTTCTTCTTACACTTCCAGCAGGTCTTATCCCCGGTCTTATACATTTTTGCTAATTTTGTTGGGGTGATATACCAGCGGTACATCATCTTTTCCATGTTCTCTCGGAGTCCGACGCAGGCTGAAAATTTCATATCCTTGTTCCATAGTTTTATCCATCTTTCATAGTCTAGAGGGTAACCTAGGTCTATAGCCCACTTAATCATAACCTCTTTGACCTCCTCGTCCATCGTATCCCAGTCTAATAGTTGGTTATACATTTTGGTTAAGAGTTTGGTCTTCCCTTCAATTATTTCTAGCTGAAATTTAGACTTGTTCTTACTCATTCCCACTTTTTTATGTTCATTCCATAAGGAATTAATTTGGTGGAATTGTAACCACCCCGTTAGTTTATCTTTTAATTCTTCGTAGGGCCTAATTTCCCATCCTTTATCAGATCTTATCAAAAGGTCAGCATATGTCCACCTTTTACCTTCCATGTTTAGTTTCTTAATTGTTAGGATGTCAATGGGTGACAGCCACCATGGGGTGTCCTTTTCTACCAATCTCTTACATCTATTCCATACTTCTAGCAGCGCCCCTCTTATAATGTGATTGGAGAATCCTTTATGTACTCTCCCCTTATCGTGCCATAAGTATGCATGCCACCCGAATCTGGCATTAAAGCCCTCCAAGTCCAGTAGGTCGGTGTTATCCAAAACTATCCATTCTTTAATCCAGCAGAGGCACAAGGCCTCGTAGTATAATTGCAAATTCGGGACCGCAAACCCTCCTCTATCTCTTCTGTCGGTGAGCAGCTTGTATTTAATTCTGGCCCTTTTGCCCTGCCAGATGAATCTAGACAGGGTCCTCTGCCAGTCCTTAAACATTGTTGTGCCCCTGACTACTGGGATGTTTTGAAATAAGAATATCATTTTTGGAAGGATACTCATTTTAATGGCAGCCATTCTCCCCTCCCACGAGAGCTGTAATCTACTCCAGCTGTCCAGGTCTTTTTTGCACTCTCTCCAAATTTTATCATAATTATCTTCCACTAAATTTATATTTTTTGGGGAGACCCAGATGCCCAAATATTTAACCTTTTTCGATATCTTTATCCCCGATTCGGACTCGATTTTGTTTTTTGATTGCTCATCCACATTTTTTACCAACATCTTTGTTTTAACTTTATTTAGTCTAAACCCGGATAACCTTCCAAATTCCTCCATTAACTCAATAACTGTATTTATCCCTTTTGTAGGGTCTTCTACTGAAATTACTAGATCATCGGCGTATGCCTTTAGTTTATATTCTTTTGTGCCAATTTTGATCCCTCTTATTTCCGATGTTTCTCTTATTTTGTTCAATATAACTTCCAGGACCATGATAAATAGCAGGGGTGATAGAGGACACCCCTGTCTTGTGCCTTTTGAGATCATAAATGATTTTGTCAGGTTACTATTAATAATTAGCTTCGCCCTTTGATCTGAATAAATCGCCCTTATGCCTTTTAAGAATGGCCCTTTCATTCCTACCTTTTCCATACATTTTATTAAGAAGTGCCAAGAAACGTTATCAAAAGCCTTTTCGGCGTCTATAAACATTAGGGCAGCCGGGATGTCATTCCTTAGTTCCAGATATTCAATTATATTGACTACATGTCTTACATTGTCTTTTATCTGCCTACCGGGCAGGAATCCGGCTTGATCTTTATGAATCGCTCTATTCAGATATTTCTTTAATCTATTCGCCATTATTCCTGCAAAGATCTTATAGTCGTTATTGAGCAATGATATTGGTCTATAGTTTTTTATATCGAGTCTATCTGAGTCTGCTTTGGGTATTACTGTAATGTATGCCTCTCTCCACGAATCAGGTATTTCCCCTCCTTCCAAAATGTTGTTAATTACATTACAAAGTACCGGGGCCAGGTACTCCTCTAAAGTTTTGTAGTATTTTTGAGAAAGGCCATCTGGGCCTGGGGCCTTCCCAGGTTTCAATTTCTTGATTGCATCTCTAACCTCTTCCACCGTTATTGGTTCATTTAGGAGTGCCTTTTCTTCCTCTGTCAGCTGTTCCCCTCCATTCCTTTCCAGATACCTTCCTATCTCGTTTATATCCTCATCCTCCCTCTTTTTGTATAGGGTTTCATAAAACTGGAGGAACTTTCTCTTTATCTCATTGGGGTCTTCTATTATTTGTTCTTCTAATTTGATTTTATTAATCACACTTTGTTTTTTCCTTTTTCTCAGTTGCCATGCTAGCAACTTACCCGTTTTATTTGCCGACTCAAAATATTTTTGTTTCATCATTTTTATTCCCCATTCTATTTCTTGATTTAGCAGTATTGAGTATTGGGTTTGTAATAATTTGCAGATTTGTTTGGTCCTCTCATCCCCAGGATTTATTGTTAATTTTCCCTCTGCTTCCTTTAATTGTTTAATTATTTCTTCCTTCTTTGCCTCTCTTAAATTCTTTCTGTATTTATTCTGTTGGATCAAAAAACCTCTAAGTACTGCCTTACTCGCGTCCCAGACCACATCAATTTTAGTTTCTTTGTTTAGGTTTAGGTCAAAGTACTCTTTCAAGATGTTTTTTGCCTTACCAATGGTCTCATCTTGTTCCATTAGGTGATCGTTCATTCTCCATCTGTATGGTCCTAATGACTTACACTTTATTTCCAGCAAGATTGGGTTGTGGTCCGAGACTGTTCTAGGCTCTATTTCACATTTCACCGATCTTGTCGAGAGCTCTCTAGAGACCCAGATCTGGTCTATTCTACCCCAACTTTGGTGTACTCCTGAGAAATGTGTAAACTTCTTTTCTGTTGGATTTTTAAACCTCCAGATGTCAATCAGGTCTAAGTTTTCTTGGAGATCATCAAAAGTTTTTGGGAGTTTCCCTTGCTTCCCTTTCCTTCTTTTTTCGCTTCTATCTATCTCAGGTTTTGCAGCAGATTTGAGTCCCCCGCACAGTAATTCAGGCTTTTTTGCTCCTGTTTTACCCTTAAGCAGCAAATTTATCCCCCATCATAATTAAGGCTTTTTTGTGCTTTTTTTTTTTTACAACAACAGTAGTAGTAGTAGTAGTAGTAATAATAATAATAATAATAATAATAATAATAATAATAATATAAAAGGTTCATCCCCCCCATCCACTGGCCATGTTGGCTGGCACCCATGGGCATCAGTGTCTAAAACCAGCAATTTGTATCTGAGTTGACAATACCTCAGTGGTGGCAGGCATCTGTGAGGTTAGTGGGGCAGAAGGCAGCGAACCCAAACGGTAGGTGGAGCCAGAACCAATGTCAAGCACAGCTGCCCTGTGATTGGCTGTAGGTATGACAGCTGGCAAGCGGTGGCTGGTAGAGGGCAGGCTGCGATCGGTGGGGCAGTGCCCCATTTGCCTTAATGGACCAGCCTCCACTGCTGTACCTGGCATGACTGCCAGCGGCAAACATCTGGGCCCCTCCAACAAAAATATGAGCTTGTGGAGCACATGATCACTAGCAAAAGGGCAGTACACACCACCATCCGCAGGACTAAGCAAGACTCCTGACCACAACTTCCAGGAATACAGGAACGCATCTCAAATCACTTGCACATCACAGAGCTAATACAAAGATGTATTGCAATAAACCTACCATGTATGAGGCTGTTGGATGGTGAGACTAAGGTGTCCCACAAACACACGTTTCTGGGAAGAAGAAAAGACACACAAAAATAAAATTAGTATTGCTTATTCTCCAAGTGTACCGATCACTCCTTCCTCCCGTTTTTTTGCCCTTTGGACAGACCTGTTGTCACTGGACTGCCCAGAGGTGGCTACTAGACTCGAAGAGGTAATGAATGCAAAGTCACTTGTGGTTTTGCTGTGGCACTGCCAGCTCTGAAAAAGAAGAGACACAGAAATGCTATTAGCCGAGAGGTACAAAAGGGCTCGCGCCAACTTCAGAAGGTTCTGCGACATCATCATCACAAGCAAAACAGTCGGGAACACAAATGTTATAGCTACAGATGAACAGCGTAATGGCAGCTTGAAAACGAACAGGAAATGGAACTCAGCAAGCAATCAACCCTCTCATTTATAACTGCCATTTCTCTTTCTGCAATTGCTGAGAAGATAAACAATAATGAAAAATGTGAAAGCCTTAAAGGACATTGCACTCATAAATTAAGGGTTTCCTGTGCCTTGCAAAGTTCAAAAACCAAACCATGGTTAACCATCTAGTGCAGGCAGGGCCATAACCCAAGAAACATGGGTTTGCTTCTTTTGTTTGAAGCACTTTGAAAACCACCGTTCATCGTGATGGATTCTAGGGCGATGTACAGCAATATAAATAGAACAGAATAAAACATCACAACTGCCATCCTTCCTTAAGAGAGTAAAATGAAGGGGCAACAGAACACTTAAACTATAAAACATACGAAGCCAGGAGGCACCATAAGACAAATATAAACGCCTGGGCGAAGACGAATGTCTTGCTCTGATACTGCAAATGTTGGTTCCTTGGGAGGGTGTTCCAAAGAGCACTCCCCCCAAAAGGCTTCCCCCTTTCTCTTGGCATAACCACACAGTTGCTCTATGTTTATTTTTATTTAAGCATTTCTTTAAGGAGCTCAAGGTGTACAGAGTTCCATGTCCCCATTTTATCCTCACATCAACAACCCTGTCAGGCAAGTTAGGCTGAAAGTGAGTGTGTGGCTGGCCCAAGGTCACCCAGTGATCGGGTGGGGATTTGAACCCTGGTCCTTCGGGCGTTATTCCAACACTCCAACCATCACACCACTCTGGCTGTATGTGTTGATTGCAAAGGGATAGTAGATTATTTACACTCTGCATCCCAAGCTATTATCGTATTTTTCGCCCCATATGGCACACCTCCCCATAGGACGCAACTAGTTTTTTTTTTGGGGGGGGGAAATAAAGGGGGAAAAAATTATTCCCCCCCAGGCACGGGGCTGGAGCGGGGGAAGCCCGAGCTTCTCCCGACCCAGCCCCCAGAACAGCCTGCTATCCGCAAGCCTAGGGAGCCACGCCGGGCTCCCTAGGGTTGTGCAGAGCTGTGGGAAGCCTGGGAGCGCAGGCAGCTCTGCGCAGCCCTTGGGAGCCCGGCGCGGCTTTGCACCGGGCTCCCTAGGGTTGCGCAGAGCTGCCTGAAGCCTGGAGAGCGAGAGGGGTCGGTGCGCACCGACCCCTCTCGCTCTCCAGGCTTCAGCGAAAGCCTGCATTCACCCCATAGGATGCACACACATTTCCCCTTCATTTTTGGAGGGGGAAAAGTGCGTCCTATAGGGCGAAAAATACGGTAGTTGCCTCCCCACACCCACAACTGAGAACAATCTTTAAACACAGAACGATAAATCTCCCTCTGCTTTTTGCCTGACTTCCCTTGGGAAGAAATATATATGAATTTTTATTATTACGGTCACAGACCAGTTCCAGCTCACTTACAATATCAGGAAAATCATAAAACACAACAGGAATACATTGAATTGCAGTTGGGTATAACAGAGACAATTCAGATACAGCGGGAGTTAAAAATATATATTAAATCTTGATCACTAAAATATAACCTAAAATTGTCATTTAAAACCTTAATCATTTTGGTAGTACAGCTTGTTCCCTAAGTTTTATGGCAGTTGCACAGAATTTGGCCACCCTTAGCGTGATCTCTAGACCCTTGTCCTCTAGAAGAAATATATATACTTATCTGAATAAGTGTGCATGCACGCAATAGCTTATACCCAGAACAAACTTAGTTGGTCTCTAAGGTGCTACTGGACATTTTATATATAATTTTTATATATTTTGACTGCATCAGACCAACATGGCTACCTACCTGAATCTATTCCCTTAGGAAGGTCCATGTCACCTCCTGGGAATCAGAGTTCAAAAATCAAGTTCAAATCTGCATGCATTTAACACTGCCCTTTACAGAGGCTGCTCTCCAGGTGCTGCAGAACTTGCAACTTCCATCAGCCCCAGACGATGGTCAGGAATGAGGAAGGTTGAAATCCAAGGCATTTGGAGGCCATTAGGTTGGGGACGCGGGTGGCGCTGTGGGTAAAAGCCTCAACGCCTAGGGCTTGCCGATCGAAAGGTCGGCGGTTCGAATCCCCGCGGCGGGGTGCGCTCCCGTTGTTCGGTCCCAGCGCCTACCAACCTAGCAGTTCGAAAGCACTCCCGGGTGCAAGTAGATAAATAGGGGCCGCTTACCAGCGGGAAGGTAAACGGCGTTTCCATGTGCAGCTCTGGCTTGCCAGAGCAGCGATGTCACGCTGGCCACGTGACCCAGAAGTGTCTGCGGACAGCGCTGGCCCCTGGCCTCTTGAGTGAGATGGGCGCACAACCCTAGAGTCTGTCAAGACTGGCCCGTACGGGCAGGGGTACCTTTACCTTTACCTTAGGTTGGGGAAGACTGCTGACGGTACACCGAAGAGCCAATTCGAAACTTGCAACCAAATTGACTCCTTGGATTTCCTACTTTGAATTCTCCTAAAACTCAGGGAGTGGGACTAGAAACGAGGTGACTCAAAATAAAAACTTGGCTTGATTTACGTACCAGATAAGGTTTAGGATTAGTTGCAGTTTGGTTTACTTGCCAGATACTTAGGAATCCCTCTCCATCAGCCACACCACACTGCAAGAGACAGACACCACTCATTTCATAACAGAATTCACTATGAAAACGTGTCAAGAGCAGCTATTTTTCAGTAACCAGGGCCTATATTGCTACTGTTATTCCAGGCTACTGTCATGGAGTGGTTGGATGCAGAGGAATGGTGGGAGGAACCAGTTGGGGAACTACCAAGAGACTGGGGAGTGGTGGTAGGACAACAGTGAGTGGTCAGAGGAAGAAGACTGGGAGGAGGTGGTGCTGGAAGCTGAAGGGGAACAGGACTTAGTGAGCAGGGAGAGTCTGTGGCAGAGAGAAGTTCAGAATCAGAGGCGGAAGTGGAAGCAGGAGAGGAGGGAGGCCAACAGGCAGAGATGATTCAGATTGGTGAAGTGTCACAGGTGTCTCCCTGTCCTACTGCGACAAGCTCCCCTCTCCACTTGTCTCCCAGAACCAGAAGAGGCATAAAAAGGGCAGAGGAGAGGTTGGCTTCGCACAGATGTTTGGGAGAATTCCCGGAAAGGAGGGGACTTAGGCAGATGTGGGGAGGCAGGGGCCTTCAGTCTCAGCAATTGATCCAAGGGGAAGACCTACTGTGCTCATGGCACGCTGCCAGTCTGTGCAGATCATATTTTTGCTAATAAAGAGTTAACCCCAACTTGCACAGTGTGATTCACTGCTGGCTCGCTCCGGACAGCTATGCACTTAACGTTTGCTTAAATTCCAGTGGCAATTTTTTGCAGCTGTTAAGATGGCATAGTTTATTAGAAACCAGGAACCATCACTCTAAGCCAGAAATGGGGACACTTGTGGCCCTTCAGGTGTTGTTGAGACTACAACTCCCAGCATCCAATGACATTTGGATGGCCACAGATGCCTCATCCCTAGATGGGCATACAGTCTGAGGTTGCAGAAGGCAGCTCCCTATTTCCCTTTGATCACAGCTCTGTGGTCAGCACAATTTTGTGTTCGTTCTCTTTTTTAGAAAATGCTTGTGACCAAAGTTTTGCAATGGACTTTTCAGCAATGCTCGTTAACAAACTCTTAACACAGCTTGTTGCTGTATTTATGCTTCTTCCATTCAACATCTTTTACCTCTACTGGTGTGACTGGTCCTATTCTAATGACTGCAGAACACTGTCCTTTAAGGAAAGGATCTGCAGAACAACAAACAATCCAGTCCTACTAAGCACTAAGCCCCATGAAGTTCCATGGGCTTTAATCCCAGGTAAGCAGGCCAGAGGAAGCCTGAGTGCTGATTCAGAAGTACAAATGGGACCACTCACCTTATTGCCCTGAGAATTAAAATACAATCTAGTAACTCGTGCATTGCCTGCTTGTCGGAAGCACACCAATTGTTGTGGCCTTGTCCATTCAAACATCCGGACGCTACCATCCTGGGCTCCTGTAAGGTCTGAGAAACACACCCACAAGAGACCAAGTTAACACTTCACTAAACGAAAGAAGAAAATGCGCTAGATCGCAATTACTATACCCCTATTTCCTGCTCCTATGAAATATGCTCCAACTACCGTATTTTTTGCTCTATAAGACTCACTTTTTCCCTCCTAAAAAGTAAGGGGAAATGTGTGTGCGTCTTATGGAGCGAACGCAGGCTGCGCAGCTATCCCAGAAGCCAGAACAGCAAGAGGGATCGCTGCTTTCGCTGCGCAGCGATCCCTCTTGCTGTTCTGGCTTCTGGGATTCAGAATTTTTTTCTTCTTGTTTTTCTCCTCCAAAAACTAGGTGCGTCTTATGGTCTGGTGCGTCTTATAGAGCGAAAAATACGGTGCTTTCTCCCTGTTTCCTAACTTTTTATCCCTAATCTTTAATCTGCTAAAAAAAAGGAAATCAGCAGGAAAATTCATATGCATTTCTGCACATATTTCTCCTAACAAATGCGGTTTTTGGTAAACAAATCTGCCCAATATGCATGGTTTTGAAAGCGATTTCCCCCAAAATACAAAAATACTTTATCTTACTTTCGATGATAGACACATTTTTGTGTGTACTTTGCCCCCCACATGCACAACTTTTGTATTCCTTTTTTGGTTGGAGAACTGCGCAGCAAGACTCAGAGAAGGAAATCAAAAGATGGCTGCATCTCAGTTTGTGTACTGGGCCACGAATTGCAGATTAGTTAGGCTCCCACGAAATTGCAAACATATTACATTTCTCCTCCCCCTCCCCACCCCCGTTATTTCTCCCGCAGTTAGAACTGCTGCACAGAAATTACTCACAATACTGATGGACTGGATGAGAAGTCATCCTCTTAACGTTATTCAAATTCCGCTTGATGAGCTTCATGCAAAAGAAATTGAAATCATAATCAATCCACTTTTTCTACAAGTCTGGACAATAAAACATACTCAAGAGTAAGAGATTACAGTGGCACCTCAGGTTACATACACTTTAGGTTACATACGCTTCAGGTTACAGACCCAGAAATAGTACCTTGGGTTAAGAACTTTGCTTCAGGATGAGAACAGAAACCGTGCTCCGGTGGCGTGGCAGCAGCAGGAGGCCCCATAAGCTAAAGTGGTTCTTCAGGTTAAGAACGGACCTCCGGAACAAATTAAGTACCCGAGGTACCACTGTATGTGGGTTCTGGTGTTTTTTCCTATTTAGATGTCCTAACCCTCCCTGCACTGATCTGGAAGCATCTCTCAGTGAACTTGGTGCGATTTATATCTGAGTGGATCAGAGCAAAATCTCACATTTCAGCTCAGAGGCTGTATGTCTCTGCATGTTATGGCTGCAGGTTCAAAACTACCATAAGTGTCAGCTATCGCCATGTAGTCATCCCTTTATGCATGAGAGCTTATCATGTGGATCAAGCTGTTTCATTTATGCCACCTCAGAAATGTAAAAAGAAAGAAGGTTCTTTTTATCATAAGTGGTGGTCTTGTGGTAAGGTTAAAGCTTACCGGGAAATGATATATAATAAATTGAAAAGGATGTTCAAAATAACCTTTGTAAAAACAACAACCCAGAAGTTGTTGTTTTTTTTGGGGGGGGAGGAATTATAGGGACAGAACTACCTAAACTGTATAGAAACTTATTCATGTATGCGACTACAGCAGCAAGAATGCTACTTGCCCCAAAGTGGAAAGAAGCAGAAGTCCCAGCAGACGAAGAATGGATACAAAAACTTATGGAATATGCAGAAATGGCAAAACTTACTGGAAGAATAAAAAATCAAGATAACAAACGTTTTATAAAATAATGGAAATGGTATATTGAATATTTACAGATAAATTGCAAACAGATAAAAACATCGGCAGGATTATTGCAATAACCTGCAGTTTCATAAGAGTATATATATATATGGTAGCAAATTAAATGAATTTGGAGATGCAGAAGATATTAAAAAATAAATTTAAGGAACTGCAGAAAGAGGGGAAGGAAGTCAAACTTGGAAGTGTTAAAATGATTGTAAAATAAATGAAATGTATAAACCTGAAAAGTGTAAATAAAAACTTTAAAAACATTTGTGCCACCTCAGATCTTTTTGAATTTTTTTCTTGGGGGGGGGGGGGAGAGAGATGTCTCTCTGTGTGTTGGGGACGACGACCATTTGCACTGGTGTGAAGCAAGCAGCTTGATCCATGAGCTGAGAAGCTGCACATGGCTATTTTGACAAAGGGAGCAATTTCAAAGCAGCCATTGTGCCCTGGTTGTACAAAGCATGGTTTGCCAGCCCTAACTTCTCAGCAGCAAAGATAAAATAAAATTAAAAAATTGAACATGTTGGTCATTTTATCCTGCACACAGTGGTGCAGATCTCTCCCACCTCCAAACATTCTTGGCGCATCCTGCTATGTGAAAGAAAATGCAAACTGCATTATGCATCCTGGAGTTAAACAGCACGTGGTTTTTCTATGATCAGGACATCCTTTGCGATGGGGTAAAACGTGCAATTAATTTGGCATGTGTTGCCATCTAGTGGCCATTGCACCATCTCATATCTTTTACAGAAATAAGGGGGAGGTGGGACAAAGGGTTGTATCCAAAGCTCTCTATCTGCTAGCACACCAGGAGACAGATAGAATAATAGAACTGTACAGCTGGAAGGGACACCGAGGGCCATCTAGTCCAATCCCTGCAATGCAGGAATCTCAGCTAATGAATCCATGACAGATGGCCATGACAAGTGAGTTTCAATTGTTGAGCAACAGAGAAATCCAGTGGAGAAACTTGGGCAACAAATTGCACAACTATTGTGCAAACAAGTTATCAGCTACCTGCTTATTTAAGTAAAAAGGTAAAGGACCCTTGGATGGTTAAGGCCAGTCAAAGGCGACTATGGGGTGCAGCGCTCATCTCGCTTTTAGGCCGAGGGAGCCGGCGTTTGTCCACAGACAGCTTTCCGGGTCATGTGGCCAGCAGGACTAAACCGCTTCTGGCACAACGGAACACCATGACGGAAACCAGAGAGCACGGAAATGCCGTTTACCTTCCTGCTGGAGCGGTACCTATTTATCTACTTCCACTGGCGTGCTTTCAAACTGCTAGGTGGGCAGGAGCTGGGACAGAGCAACAGGAGCTCACCCTGTCGCGGGGATTCAAACTGCTGACCTTCCGATCGGCAAGCTCAAGAGGCTCAGTGGCTCAGACCACAGCGCCACCTGCGTCCCTACCTGCTTATGTACTGTCTTGCCACAGCAATGTTCCACAATGCTTGCTCTCCATGGTTGCTAGATATGATGACTAGTGCTTTGCCTCCACTGCTGGAGGCTGAATGCAGGGAGCGGGGAGGGTTCTTAATGCTTGGGTCCTGTTTGCGGGTTTCCCCAGTATGTTTCCGAGCACAATTCAAAGTGTCTCCACCCCCATCGTTCAGCCCGGACACTGAGGTCCAGCGCTGAGGGCCTTCTGGTGGTTTCCTCCCTGCGAGAAGTGAAGCTACAGGGAACCAGGCAGAGGGCCTTTTCGGTAGTGGCACCCACCCTGTGGAACGCCCTCAAAGAGATAAACAAATACAATGGTACCTCGGGTTAAGTACTTAATTCGTTCCAGAGGTCCGTTCTTAACCTGAAGCACCACTTTAGCTAATGGGGCCACTGCACCGCCGGAGCACGATTTCTGTTCTCATCCTGAAGCAAAGTTCTTAACCTGAAGCACTATTTCTGGGTTAGCGGATTCTGTAACCTGAAGCGTATGTAACCTGAGGTACCACTGTACCTGACATTTAGAAGACTTCTGTTCAGGAAAGTTTTTAATGTGTGACATTTTGATGTATTTTTAATCGTTGTTGAAAGCCACCAGAGTGGCTGGGGGAACCCAGCCAGATGGGCGGGGTACAAATAATAAATTTATTATTATTATTATTATTATTATTAGCCACTGTGTGAACAGGATGCTGGACTAGACTGGCCACTGGTCTGACCCGGCAGCCTCTTCTCACGTTCTTAAAGTGGCTTTAACTTAGAGCTGGAATGAGTGCAACCCAGGCTTGTTGAAAACCTGTGGTGTGGCGGATTAGAACAGCCACACGGAGACACAGAAGAAGAGAAGAAGAGTTTGGATTTGATATCCCGCCTTTCACTCCCCTTCAGGAGTCTCAAAGCGGCTAACATTCTCCTTTCCCTTCCTCCCCCACAACAAACACTCTGTGAGGTGAGTGGGGCTGAGAGACTTCAGAGAAGTGTGACTGGCCCAAGGTCACCCAGCAGCTGCATGTGGAGGAGCGGAGACGCCAACCCGGTTCCCCAGATTACGAGACTACCGCTCTTAACCACTACACCACACTGGCTCTCTTACCACGCCAGCTCCAGTACTTGTTTGCCCGCTGCCCAACCATGGCATAGATGAAGTTGATGAAGAGGAGACAGGCTGCATCTGAGCCACCGCAAAGGACGCCGTGCTCGACTGCGTGAGCGTCGTGGTGGAGCCGCGGAAGTCGAGGTCGTCCGAACTGAAAAGGTGAAAAACAGAGCATTAAGATCCAGTTACTTTGTCTTAAGAGAAAGTTGGCGCGACACTGGCTGCACCTAAGCTTTTCACTACGGATAATGCAGTATATGTCAGGGGACTGCCATCAAGAGAGGGGAGGGAGGCAGGAACGTACAGGCAGCCTCCCCCTTTGCTGAGCAGCAGCACCTCGTCAGACTGGTGAAGCCGAAGCCTCAGGAGAAACGGAGGAAGAGAGAAGGCGGGGGGCGGTGAAGCAAAGGCTCACACAGGCTGAGGTGAGCCACAACACCGCTCCCAGGGAAACAGAAAGGGAGACTGACATGCCACTTCCATCGCATAGTTTTTGCCAGGGAATTAAACATAAGGAAAAGAGGGGGAGGGGGTTGCCCCGGCTTTTGTGCTGGAGGGGAAACCGGAAGAAAGCACTCTCAGAATCTGCTAGTGATTGAGGCAGAAATGGATTTTGGACTTCTGCACTGTACATAGTTTTGCAGCAATAAAACCTGTAAAAGGCAGGTTGGAGTCCTGGCTGTTTACTTCGTGAGCAACCATACGCATTCCTGACAGTATATCTGCAGGGCAATCCTACCGTTTATTCAGTCGGGGTTGGGAGTGGGGAGATGCAGAGGCAGAACAACTGTCATGGGCACTGCCCTGATCGTTCGCTACAGGCAAGACAGTAGGTAGTGTTGGAAAGCTTCTTCCTCCCATTATCAGTATGAAGTAATCTAGGAAGCTTACTTGTGTAATAGCACTGTATTACCCACACTAACTGACAGCAGTTTTCCAGGGTTTCAGACAAGGGACATTTCCACCGCTAACTGGAGATGCTGGATATTGAACCTGAGACCTGAGCGTGCAGACACCGATCTGGAACCTCTCCTGATTCAGATCTTACAATGAAGTAGAGCTGTGTGCTATCAGTGTAAAGGGACCCTGACCATTAGGTCCAGTCGTGACCGACTCTGGGGTTGTGGCGCTCATCTCACTTTACTGGCCTAGGGAGCTGGCGTACAGCTTCCGGGTCATGTGGCCAGCATGACTAAGCCGCTTCTGGCGAACCAGAGCAGCGCATGGGAACGCCGTTTACCTTCCCGCCGGAGCGGTACCTATTTGTCTACTTGCACTCTGACGTGCTTTCAAACTGCTAGGTTGGCAGGAGCAGGGACGGAGCAACGGGAGCTCACCCCGTCATGGGGATTTGAACCGCTGACCTTCTGATCGGCAAGTCCTAGGCTCTGTGGTTTAACCCACAGCGCCACCCGCGTCCCGTATGCCATCAGTGTACTTGGTGGCTATTCCAAAATGCCTTATGACTGCTCCCAATGGTTTCATATAAATGTTAAATAGCACTAGGGAGAGGATAATAGGCTGAGGAATCCCATAGAAAAAGTGCCAGGGGTCCGAGGAACACTCACCCAGGCTACTCTTTGGACACAGCCCTGGAGATATGGACAGAACCACCGTCATACGGTGCCTCTAGTACACATCCCATGTCATGTCCAATGGTCTCAAAAGCCACTGAGAAACCATGCAGAACTAACAGGGTTGTACTCCTCCTGTCCCTCTCCTGAGAAAGGTCATCCGACTGGGCAACCAAGGCCAATTCAATTCCAAAATTGTGTGTGAACCCAATTTGTAGTGGATCTAGATAATCTGTCTCTTCCAGGAACACCTGCAGTTGCCTGTAACCAAATAAAATACTGGAGGATACAGGCAGGGTATGGAAGAAACACATTGTCTGTATGCCTGTCTGATCCTAACCCCCATTTTCGCTGGCCAGGTTTAATTCAAGTCCATCAAACCTCCTTTGAGGAAGGTTCTCAGGCAGGGTGGAAGGAGAAAGAACTTGCTCATGTGAAGACCACCTGGCGGAAACCCTTACACACATGGTTCTTAATTGTAAACTATATGCTGATCTCCGTCAGCAATTTCTAGATCAACTCTGTATACCCAAATGGAAACCAGAGTTGGAGGTCATACATTTTACTGGGGAATGATCAGGAGCTCACCAAGTTAGTGGCTAAATATCTCTATTTGGTTTTTTGTCATGAAATACACTGCAGATGCCTGACCTCCCTGGAGACCTAGAGATGCAACGATAGACTGCTCTGCCTCCTTTCTTTTAGCAAATGTTTTGTGCCACTGGGGGAGTGGTCATTCTGTATTGATTTGTTTTGGATGTTTGTATGTGATGCCAATAAAAGGTTTGATGATAATGATGATAAACTGCTTTTGATCAGAAAAATGAAAGATCAGGAGTAGCTGGGCCTATAGATCAGGCCTGTGGAGGGACGCAGGTCACATGGAAAGCCTGCTCATTCACAGAAGATCAAAGTATATGCAATGCGTTCCCAAGTTATGCAGAACACAAGGGGCATCCCCCCTCCCCAGCATGTCCATAAAGAGCCTCTGTGAATAATGCAGTCTTGCCAATGCATTCTGCACCAGCTACCACTTCTGTATCAGACACAACAGCATATTTTAGGTATTTATTATGCATTCAACTCTCCAGTTAAATAGAACCGCAAGGCATGAATAGCCAACCTTTTAGATTCTCGGTCAAACTCCTCTCCAATCCATATGTAAGACTGAGCAGCCAGGAGGGCTGTGACATCAAGTTCCTGAACATCATGCGTAGAAGCTAACACTATTTCGTTGATGTTTGCCTGCACAGCACAAAAGAGAAAAGCGAGACGCTTTAAGCCCTGGGCCCTACGGCAAGCACAAGGACATATGAAAAGCAGCAACTTTACTTAATAATGTTTATTTGTTGCACTTGCATCCCACATACTTGGTTCTTCAGCCACATCCGCACCCAATTAATCCCCACAATAACCCTGCGAGGTAGATTAGGCTAAGAGGCAATGACGCCCGTGAGCTTCATGGCCAAATGAAGATTTGAACCCTGGTCTCCCAGCTCTTAGTCTGACACTGAACCACAACACCACACTGGCTTTAAAGCAGTGGTTCCCTACTGAGCAGTCACATTCAGGGGGAAATTCCACAACTGTTGACTGAGCACTCCCAGAGCGCTAATCCCCCTGAATGTGCCCAGCGCATTTTCTGTTTAGATAACCTTTTCTGTTTAGATAACCCTTCTATGGTCACCAGCTGACCGCCATGTACATTCTGATTTTAATTTTTAAAATGTGTATGTCACAATACATATTATATACTGTATATGAGTCCCCTAGAATCATAAGAAATGCAAAAAATCACTGTTAATAACTCATTCTCAAATTGCCCCCTTGTGGGGCGTGAGCCCCACATTGGGAACCACGGCTTTAAGGAGGCCAGGAGAGGAAGGACTTTACCTTATTGACTGCAAAGGCCATGATCATATCAGACTCCTTGTGTATAATTTTTGCTCTTCCTCCAGGGTAGCCAAGCTCTGCTTCGACCTACAAAACATTATAATGGGTTTTTTAAAAGAAACAGGTTCACTGAACTGTTTTGCAGTGCTGTGAATCAACTGAAAAGATAAGACGCAAAAGAAGCATGCAAAAGAAGTTTAATAGCTGTGTGGTTTTGGAGGAAACTCGTCCTTGGGCTTCCATGTACTCTCCAGAGCGTTCCAGGAGCCAAAAGATGTTATGTTTCCAATCCTGACACACAAAACCAGCGTGCAAGCGAGTGACCCAAGGTGTTATGCAGCATATCTCAGCATTAGTAAACAGGTTTGGGTCCCAACGGAGAGATTGCACAGATCTGTGTTGTTATTGTCACTTTAGCAAGTGGGAGTAAGGAAAGGCAGCCCCAGAGAAGCTTCAAAAGTGCAGCGAAAGGTTCGGGAGGTGGGATACTACTACCTTGTGTTTGTAATCGTCCGCTACGCTGTTGTGAATGACCTGCTTCCTGCGATCTTCTACAGACTATACGGCACCACAGTCACAAACACAAAACACATGCACAAACAAATACAAAAGGGAGAAGAATGAAAACGTCCCAAGCTGGTGTTTAAAACGACACCAGCTAACCATTACACAAATGCTTTTAAGGGCAGGGGGGCTGAAACAAATTCACTTGGAAAGCAACGCCTCCATGATGAATGCAAACACATATGGCATAGTGAGCAAATAATAATGAAATGAAATAAATGCACACACACACACACACAAGCTTCTTACTAGCAAGGCTTTCTTACTAGTTAGAAGTTTCGTAGCCCGTAGTATGAAAGAGGGAGGCAGACTTAACACAAAGAACTGAAATAGGAAATAGGGTGGGCTTGGTCCAGGTGAAATGTACCTGATTATTAAACCATGGCTTGGCAGCAGGGAATACTATGGGTGTGCTTTCGAACTGCTAGGTTGGCAGGAGCTGGGACAGAGCAATTGGAGCTCACCCCGTCATGGGGATTCGAACCACTGACCTTCTGATCGGCAAGCCCAAGAGGTTCAGTGGTTTAGACCACAGTGCCACCCGCGTCCCTATCAGCTATAGTAGGCATGCCCAATGGCCAGGAATAATGGGAGTGGCAGTTCAGCAACATCCCAAGGGCCAAAGGTTCCCCACACCTGCTTTACACTGACACTAATATCCTGCAAAAGTCAGCTAATGCGTGTCATCATCATTTACATAAGACAATTTGTATTGCTCTTATGGTATTTTGTGTTCTATTGCATTTGTACTTATTGATGTACAATGACGTGATATGCTTGATATGAATGGGCAATACAAATATGTATATGTGTGTGTGTGTGTGTATTTATAAATGAAAAATGAAAAACACAGTGCATAGTCAGGCTCACTTTAACACACCGCTAAAGCTAATTGAGGACAAAAAACCCAGTCATTATAACACTAAAACCAGCAAATGATTTCAAGGCAGAAGAAAACATAACTTCAATGAGGATCATTTGAGTCTTTCTTCTTTTGCACATTACCTCACTTTGCTTTCTTTTCTTGGTGAACGTGTATCGGAGGAAAGTATCTTGCAGTAATTCTTGCTTCACCAGAAAATGCCACAGCCTTTTGGCTGGCTGTGCTGAATAATCTTTTGATCTAGGAGGTGGGGGGGGGGAGAAGGGTGTTACTGTAGAATTCTCTCTTTCTTTTTTAAAAAAAATGCAAGGAAGGATAAAACTGGAAGAAGATAAAAAAGAGCCAAATAAAATACTAGAGGATACAGGCAGGGTTCGAAAGAAACACATTGCTTGTGTGCCGTTCTTAATCCTAAGGACCTGTCAACTGCTTTTGATCAGGAAAATGAAAGACCAGGCGTAGCTGGGCCTATAGATCAGGGTTGTGGAGGGACGCAGGTCACATGGAAAGCCTGTTCATTCACAGAAGAGCAAAGTATATACAGTCTGTTCTCAAGTTTAGCAGAACACAAGAGGCATCTCCCCAAAGAGAGTCCACAAGGAGCCTCTGTGAATAATGCGTTTCATGGAGTCTCATCCTATTAAAAGCCCACGCAAAACCAAAACAGAAAAAACTGCTGAAAGAAGCAAATAAATCAACAAAGCACCACCATATACCATAATGTAAACCTAAAATAAAGGCCACAGACATTTCAAGCTTTATTCTGTAATGGCTTTGGTGACTGCAATCGTCTAAGGAGCAATAAATAAGTATCTTGGAGAACAGGTGACTAGAGGTCACCTGCAGACTAGAGGTGGGGAAATATCCCCATCTTCAAAAAGTGGGGGAAAGAAAAGAAAAGTCCTAGAACAGATAATTAAACAGTCAGTCTGAGAGCACCCGGAAAAGGATGCTGTGATTACTAAGACCCAGCTGTGCTGCCTGGGATTGATGGAATTTTGAGTACAACATCTGGAGGGCCATGAGTTCCCTATCCCTAATTGAGATGATCATGCCTGTTAATAAAATTAGTTCACTTTCCACTAGAGCCCACAGTACTACTTCCATTTCTGCAGGGGCGGGGGGAGAACCTACTTGAATGGTGTGTTTTCAGGGTCAACCATTGCTTTTATTCGGGCGGCAGCTGCTCCCGGTCCTATTCCCACTTCAGTGAAACAGGTATTGATATAATTGGGCGGTGGGCCTTCAAACTGGTCCATTCTTTCTTGAAGGATTTGCTCCCAATTTTCCAAATTTTTAATCACAGCGATACCCAGCGGCGAGGTGACTGGAAGATCTAAAACAGCAATGTGAAATTCAGCAACTATTCACACAAAATTGTATGCATTGGCAACAACAACACCATGCCCCACCTCCCTGGCAGAAGGACTCAGGACAAAGGCCCATGCACAGATCTGAATAAGACTCTGCATAAAACTTGTCCTTGATCTGGAAGCTGCTGTTAGTGCAGAATGTTGTAGCATGATTGCTGTCAGGAACGAGACCTTGTCAGCGTGTAAGACCTGTGTGTGCTCAGTGATCTATACTGGCTGCCAAATTGCTAGCAGGTCAAGTTCAAGGTGTTACACTTGTATCTGAATGAGCGTCTCCACCCCCATTGTTCTACCCGGACACTGAGGTCCAGCGCCGAGGACCTTCTGGCGGTTCCCTCACTGCAAGAAGCCAAGTTACAGGGAACCAGGCAGAGGGCCTTCTCGGTAGTGGCGCCCTCCCTGTGGAACGCCCTGCCACCAGATGTCAAAGAGAACAACAACTACCAGACTTTTAGAAGACATCTGAACGCAGCCCTGTTTAGGGAAGCTTTTAATGTTTGATGTATTACGGTATTATTATTTTTTTGGAAGCCGCCCAGAGTGGCTGGGGAAGCCCAGCCAGATGGGTGGGGTATAAATAATAATGATGATGATGATAATAATAATAATAATAATAATAATAATAATAATGCCCTTAAGAACTTGGGAACAGTTTACCTACAAAATCACCTTACACCATATTTGCCCACTCGGGCGCTTTGATTGGCAGAAGGGCCACATTAAACCTGATCTGCATTTGTAAGAACTTCATCTTACACTTTGGAACTCCCCGCCTAGTGACATCAGGCAAGTTCCTTCGCTGCATTCTTTTTGGCACCTGCTAAAAACATTCAGCCTACCCAGATACATAGATTGTTGATTAAAAATAAATAAATTATCTTGCTTGATGTTTTTCCTTTGCAATGACTCTTCAGGTGCCTTGCATGCCATTCATAGAAGAAAGGTGGTACAGTCAAACCTCGGTTCTCAAACGGCTCCGTTTCCGAACGCTTTGGCTTCTGAACGCAGAAAACCCGGAAGTAAATGCTCCAGTTTTTGAACAATTTTCCGGAAGCCGAATGTCTGACGTGGCTTCCGCTGGAGTGTAGGAAGCTCTTGCAACCAATCGGAAGCCATGCCTCGGTTGTCGAATGTTTGGGAAGTCGAATGGGCTTCCAGAACGGATAATGTTCGACAACCGAGGTTTGACTGTATATAAATGTTTTAATAAGTGAATACATGAATACCATCGAATTCAGTCGTATTTATTTTTGAGTAAACGTGCTTCAGCTTGGACTTAGGATTTGCTTCTTTACATAGAATTGTTTTCACAAAGCGTGGAGCAACTCACCAGGTATTTCTAAACCAGCAATGGGGAAAAAGGTCTTAATATTGTTCAGAGCAAGTTTTACCATCGCCAAATGGATAAGAGCCCAGCTGCAGGGGAAAAAGGAAACAATTGAAATGTTACCAAGTGCAACACAAACTCTCTATCTCTCTCTCTTTTCTTTTTACAACAGCTGGTGTTTAGCACCACCACTTCAACTGCATTTTAAAATGTGTTCCACAAAACAAACTGGATCTGAAGGTGCTCAAGAACTGAGTGCTCAATTGCCAGAACATGGGGTTGTAGTATATCAAGTCAAATTTGGAATAGACCCACTGAAATGAATGAACCTGTTATGTGACATAATGTCAATGGGCCTACTCTCTGTAGGATTAGCACTGGATAGAAGCCATTAAGTTTTAAGGTTCGCTTTTAACAAGCAAATCAAAGGGGATATCCAGCATTAATCATACTCAGAACATTCTACTCAGTTCAATGAGTCTACTCTAAAGTGCGATTAATATTGGACATCACCCTAAGCTAGCAAGCTGTTTAATATAGTTTAAAAAGATGTTTTATAAAAGCATGAAAACAACATCTGCTTTTGCTACATCTCAGCAACTAAAACAAAAGAAAATCAGATTTTTAAAGGAACCAAGTTTCCCCCTTCTGGCACCACACCTAGAAATGAAGGCAGATTATTGATACATGAAATATAACTATAACCCTTTAGACATCTATCCCTTCAATAAATTTGTTGCCACCCTGATAGATACAGTTGTATTTTTACTACTCTTTTCTGCAGTTTCACCTTTGCATCTGATGAAGTGGGTTGTCGACTAAAATAGCGTATGCCATTTTGTAAGAAATTGCTTCTAAAATGTTAGTCCCTTTATTAAAATATAGATTAGTAAAAGGGACCCCCAGGAAATCTAGTTTATATCCAGTGCTTTTTTTCTGGGGGGATGCAGGGGTACGCATACCCCTAAACATTTTGTGAATCTAACAGGAGAAGAAACTAAAATTTATATAAAAAATTAGTTTCTTCTCTAGCATGGCGAATCATCAGTTCCGTTGCTACCCCCGATGGCAGCCTCATTTCCTGTCATGGTGTTCCCTGAATCTCAGACGGAAGCGAGCGTTTAATGTGTGAAGTAGGAGTTGGAATCTAGCACGGTGATTGGTCAGTTTTCGTTGTTACCACCTCCGATGGTGGCTACATTTCCTTTCCCGGTGTTTCCGGGAGGAATCGGAAAGATGTTAGTGCACACAACCTCCTGCCAATGTGGAAGTTACTGTGAGCTGTCAGCTGTGCAATATGAGCTAATGCATGTTCTTTGTACTTTTGTCCATTTACTGTATTTATTTCCCCCCGATTTGAACTGTAAAATGGTGGTTTTCTGAGGATTTTTTAAAAGAAAAAAACAGCACTGTTTATATCAGAAGAGAAGCTGAAGGTTCTGCATGCATCCATTTCAGCCCCTGCTGCAACCTGTAGGAGTTGGCATCCTTGTGCTCCAGGATTTGCATATCGGAGAGGAAAGCATCCTCATCCTCGTCTTCACTGTGGATGCTCTCATCAGAATCATATATCACACCACTGTCTGAAAAAGGAAGGAATGGCTGTAAAGAGAGGACAGAGTGAGATATCAAAACATGTTTTACACCACATCATTTTTTTTCACAGATGTTACTTCGATTCATAAAAGGTAAAGGGACCCCCTTACCATTAGGTCCAGTTGTGACCAACTCTGGGGTTGCGGCGCTCATCTCGCTTTATTGGCTGAGGGAGCCAGTGTACAGCTTCCGGGTCATGTGGCCAGCATGACTAAGCTGCTTCTGGCAAAACAGAGCAGCGCACGGAAATGCCATTTACCTTCCCGCCAGAGCGGTACCCATTTATCTACTTGCACTTTGATGTGCTTTTGAACCGCTAGGTTGGCAGGAGCAGGGACCGAGCAACAGGAGCTCACCCCGTCGCGGGGATTCGAACCGCCAACCTTCTGATCGGCAAGCCCTAGGCTCTGTGGTTTAACCCACAGTGCCACCCGCGTCCCTACTTCGATTCATAGGTGCAGGAAAAAGACACAATCTTCATTATAGGAATCACCGGCCGCCATACTGAACTCGGAAGGAAGCATGCGGAGTGGCCTTCATTGTGAACACACCCCCCCCAATCTACCACCAGAGGATGGCAGAGGATTGTGATCCAGGCTAGATTCTATGGCGAACCTCTCCCCACCCACAAATCTGTCCTACCAAACCAGTCCTAGGGAGCAGGACACAGATCTGTGGTTCAGTCCACAGATCTATGAACCTTCCTGGACTGGTAAGAAGGAAGTTGAAAGGGAATGTCAAGAGGGGCAAACCCCCCCCCCAAACCACAACATTAGAAGCACGGATAGAATGTGCAGTGTGGCTCAAGGAAGGTACCACCAAGGCCAAAAGGATCCCTGTACATTTCACACACACAGAGTCATTCCTTCCTTCCTCCAGTGGTGCCCCCCCCGTTCCCATTTTTCAATGTTCCAGAAGGCCTCCCCGTTCTCCAGATAAACCTTTTGGGTACTCAGTTATCTACTGTGGAGTTAAGAGGGGACGTGAAACCACACCTCAGTGAACTTCCCTGTGTTAACTTATCTTGAATCCAAGCTAATGTGACAAAAGGAAGACGATAAGGGCCTCAGAGACCAAGGCCAAAGGGGAAAGGTTACATGTTCTCAACTTTGAAATGTCCAGAGGGTAGCAACACGAGAACGGGGCCTTTTCTGCAATGGCTTCCCGTCTGTGGAATGCTCTCCCTAGGGAAGTTCAGCTGGTGCCTTCATAGATACACCTTTAGGTGCCAGGTAAAAACGTTCCTTTTTTGATCTGATTCTATGCTCTTTTAAAATGTGGCTCTTTTGGAGGGGGGGGCCTCTTGGGTTTATTATTTGTTTGTTTGTTTGTTTGTTTTGTGGTTTTATATCTCGATTTTATTCTGTGAACCACCCTGAGATCCTCGGGTAAGGTAAAGGTAAAGGGACCCCTGACCATTAGGTCCAGTCGTGACCTGGGGTTGCGGCGCTCATCTCGCTTTATTGGCCGAGGGAGCCGGCGTACAGCTTCCGGGTCATGTGGCCAGCATGACTAAGCCGCTTCTGGCGAACCAGAGCAGTGCATGGAAACGTCGTTTAGCTTCCCGCCAGAGTGGTACCTATTTATCTACTTGCACTTTGACGTGCTTTCGAACTGCTAGGTTGGCAGGAGCAGGGACCGAGCAACGGGAGCTCACCCCGTTGCGGGGATTCGAACCGCCAAGCTTCTTATCATAGGGTGGTATATAAATTCAATAAATAAATAAATAAATAAATTTGTTGGGAATGTTTAACCTGGAGAAGAGGGAATTGAGAAGCGGTGTGATAGCAACCTTCATATATTTGAAGGACCATGAGGTACATGATGTTGCCAACTGTTTTTCCTGTTGCTCTGGAGGGCAGGACAAGAACCAGCGGGGCTGAAGCAAATGAAATGTTAAGGAATAAATTCCTGAGGGTTTACATTAATCAACAGTGATACAGGCTGCCAGGGAAGGTGCAGGGAATTCCATAGGATGCAGGATCTCCTGCATCAGTAGTGGGTTCAGCTAGATGACCACTGAGGTACCTTCCTGCTCTTGGACTCTTTAACCCCTGCCACCCTCCTATTATAATTATTATTATTCCCGGAAGTCTCAGGGCGGTTCACAGAACAAAATCAAAATAAAATCCACAAAATATATAATCAAAATAAAAACAAAAACCCAATACGCCCCGCCCCAATAACCCACATTTTATAAAGGCATTTTAAAAGGTCAATCAAACACACACACACACACACACACACACACAAAAAATATGTTTCACATACGGTTGCCATCAGAAATGATCCAACCCCTCCCATTGCAAATAAGGGTTATTATCAAAATGTACAGACTTTCAGCTGTTTGCAAGGAGCAAAGTTGCATAAATGATACTTTAGTTTAAGTTTTTAAAGGTGATGATGGGCACTGCTGCCTTCGTTTAAAGGGAGGGAGGGGAATCAGGCATGCTTACGACAAACAAAAAAGAATTACCTTTGCGACAAAATAGTCCAACATGCTGAGTTCCGGAGGGATGAATTTTTCTTTGTAAGACGGTCTTTCTGCAGGCACAGGTGGAGGGACAACACTGTCTTTGACTGGCCTTCCTGGCACTAACATTCTCATGTTGAATCTGCGGCGATGCTTGTCCATTTCTTCCGAAGGAACTGGAGGGGCTGAATGCAGAAGGGTTTTAATAGCTACAACAGTGGCCACGAACCGGCACTTTTAATCATGATGTGGGTGTGCATTTCAACCCTAATCAAAAGCGCACAAGTAATCAAGAGTTGTTAGACTGAAAGCATAAAACAAGCAGTGATAAAGCTCTTTGGTACGAAGTCCATACCTTAAAAAAAGGGGGAAGGGTAGAGATAACTGTAATCTTCAGTCAGATCCTATGCAAGTAGAAAGCTACTTCATATGCAATGAGAAAAAATAGCAATGCATAAATTAATTCGATCAGAGAAGCCTTTCCTTACAATGGTACTTAGGTATTTGTTCAATGTTAACGTCATGCAGATAAAACTGGATTATTTTCCTCTCTCCGAAACCCTGGTCAAGCTGTACTGAAGATTACACTTACTTTCGAAACAAAATGTGCTCAAATTTTAAAAGTACAGATCTTCTCTCTAACACAGGTGGGGCTAGGAATTAAGACAGCTGAAATATAGTCAACAGGCTGACTCATCTAACACTGGTCAAATACTGTCAAACACCGGTCGATTTTTTATTTTTTAAAAAATCAGCTTATCAGGAAAAGTACCAAAAAGGTTTACATCCTCAAGCGTTTAGATTTCTACTCTGATTACAAAAATAAAATGAAAGAGGGTGGGGAAGCATGTTACTGTGAAACAATAAGGACAGATATTTTCATTTTTTAAAAAAATTCAGTGGTTCTTATTTGTGTGCTAACAAAAGTTTCTCTTCTATAGTGCTATTAAAGTCCAGGAACCTGCAGTGTTATGGCAAAAAGTTATAACATAGTTAAATATGAAGTTACATTGAAATTAGCATAGCAATTAAAAAAGAAAAAGAAGTCAATAAAAAAGGTAAAGGACCCCTGGACGGTTAAGTCCAGTCAAAGGGGACTATGGGGTGCAGCGTTCATCTTGCTTTTTAGGCCGAGGGAGCCAGCATTTGTCCATAGACAACTTTCCAGGTCATGAGGCCAGCATGACTGAACCGCTACTTGAGCATGGAGGACCGTGATGAATGCCAGAACGTATAGAAAGGCCGTTTACCCTCTTGTTGCAGTGGTACCTATTTATCTACTTGCACTGGCGTGCTTTCGAACTGCTAGGTTGACAGGAGCTGGGACAGAGCAACGGGAGCTCACCCCATTGTGGGGATTCGAACCACTGACCTTCTGATCAGCAAGCCCAAGAGGCTCAGTGGTTTAGACCACAGCACCACCAGCATGCCTTCTGAATGCAGTTAGGTAGGCAGCCAAGTCAATGCTTTTGGGACTCACCTCTACTGCCAAATTTACACCACTCTGTTCCATTTGAAACTTGCATCTCCCTGGATATACAACCGACGGTCAATAGCTAAGGCTTACTTTGCTGCTTGGCCACAAGGCAATTCTTAAGATTCATTGAATATCTGACAATATTTGACCATGATGAAATAACAGGGAATCACTTGACCGGTCAAACCGATTTGACTACCCATTCCTACACACAAGTAACGTCTGGCTACAGTGCACATCTTTACAGACCTTCATTAATGTCCTTTGTATCATCAGAAACTGGATCAGCTACTAGATTTAAAGAAATTTGTCTTCATTAGAAGGGAAAAGGGCATTGTGGAATGAGACAGGGAGGAAGCATTGTGGAAATTAACTCTACAACCAGTTGTTTAAATTAAATATATAGAGAGGGAGAAGGAGAGAGATGTCAACTAAAACAAAAGAAATAGCTAGAGCTGAAATTTTCCAAAATCTGAAAATCTGCTAAAATAAAAATACAACACACACAAAAGCACACACAAACAACCCAATATATGCACCCATTTCTGATTTCATAGCTACTTCCCTATTAATATTTTTAATAATTGTTTTCATTTTTGTCAGGGTAGAAGTCAAACTATAATAGAAGTGGGAGACCTGTTTTAAATAAAAATGTTCTTCTAAAAGTATATATTCATTTTGAACACATCCCTCTTTAATGAATATTTCATATCATTTTTGTGAACTGCTCAGAAATGTATATTTTATTAAGTGGAATATAAATATTGGTAAATAAATTATGTAAGAGCTTGCAAGAGTAAGGGGGTTTGTTGTCTTAAACTGCAAGCATAACTGCTGCAGAAGTATGATCACAATGGGACAAATGAGAAATAAAAAAATAAGATCATGCATATAAACTTCACAAACGTGCTCAGTGTGGACACAGAAGTTAAGAATTGTGGTTTATCTGAATTTAACAGATTAGGAGACTGATTACTTTATTGGCAACCAAAGAGAGCAGGGGAGATAGCCCTTAGTAGTCAAGTATAAAAAGAACTTGCGGGTAACAGGCAACACACCAAAAACTGATCCAAAAGTAATAAACGCAGATCAAAGATTGGTCTCCATTACGATAAGCCCATATCATAAACCCCCAGTTATGAAGAAAAGAGAAGGCAGAAGATAAAGGAGAGCATCTTCCAAAAACAGGAAAGCGAAAAACAAAAATCCATGCCAAAAATATCCAGTTTGGAACATATTTCTAATGGAAAACAAAACATGCACAGCAATCAGCACCCAGATTTCTCTCACCATCCTTCTGGCATAGACGCTCTGAGTCATAGCCAGAAGCCATTTCATTGCTATTTGGTAAAGCAACCTGGTGCGATGACTGCAGACTTTTTAAGGACACTACGTTTTCTACGTTGGTGGTTAAGCACTGCGGTTTATCTGAATTGAACAGATTAGGAGACTGATTACTTTATTGTCTGCGGCAGCTTAGAGGCTCAGAGGCGGTAAACAAATTGGAAAAGCATCTGCGTGTATTCTGAGAGCATACAAAACATGGATGTATATATCAATCACTAAACCAGCTCTGCAAGAACATATATACTATATTTTTGCATGCAATTTGTCCCTTTTTCGTCAGGGAGAAAAAAGGGCAAGGAGACAGACCGAAAGCTCACCCCCTGGAATCCTTACTTAGCATCTCCTGAGATTTTACCACTCGTTGCCCACAGACAGTCAAGCCTTTCCTTGTGGTCATAAGGGCTATAGAAGTAAGGCTGGTATTTTCAGGGCATAAATCCTTGGCATAAGAACAAATTAGGTCCTTGCACTGCACTTTTACTAGTATCTGAATGGTCTTGTATGGTGACATCTATATTCTGCATGCCAGTTTTTCTAGGATTCGTCCGAGACCAAACTCCCTTGCTGCTTTTGCTACTGAAACATTGGGGTTTGTTCTTTTCTTGTATGCTGTTACATTTACTCTATGTAGCTGCTTTATTGATGCTCCTATTATGAGATCATTCTTGCAGTTGTTGATTTTGTGATATATGGTATTGTTCTGGTTGCTGTGTGTTGCTTTGAGCACAGTTTTTTTAAAATGGAGAAGTCGCATATAAATAAGGCAACGATTTATGCTGAAAATGTTCTTGTGCAAGCTGTGTTCACTTGATTTCCTCCTATTCTCCCTTTCCAATGCATCCATCCCTGTCACAAATACCACATACTTCCTAAGGGGCACAGCGGGCTGCAGTGGGCAGGAAGTCTCACTGTGTCAGTTTCCACTAACGCAAACTCTGGATTCCTAGCCAACACATTTATGAAGTGTTCATCTGTGCAGCCTTTTCCCACTAGGCAGCTAGGCCTTTAAAAAGAGTATAATTCCAACTCAGAATATAGTTCCAAACAACCAGGTCCTATGCATGTTCACTTGAAAATAAATCCCACTGAAAGTAACACATCTACGCAGTGAAGCTAACGTAAATTCTGAGTGGAAGATTAACAAATGGTAAAGTATCAATGCTAGCCCTACTTGGAGCAGATCCCATTCAAGTTAATGGGAATGGCTATTCATGCATCTCAGTGGGACTACTCTGAGTAGGACAAACACTGGATGAGACCCTCAGTGTTTGCATGCAGGAAATTCTATCTATTTAAAGTGCCGTGTGCATAATATAATCAAAAGGATGCTGGTAGGCCAGCTCACGAATACTGCCAAAACTGAAAACTAGAAGCCTTCTGCACACAGGGTTGAGATGAATAACTGCTGTCAAAGTGGTTTAAACCCGATGAAGTGAAAAATACATTGGGAAATGGCTTATTTTACAGGAGTTTACATTTGATGAGTTACTGGTAGCTTGGCAGGTATTGTCAGTTTCTTCCCCCTAGAAGATGCCAGCTAGTAAAGTGGTATTAGATCACACTTTCTCATTTGGGACACAACAGGAAACAGCAGCTTAAGTTAATCAGGATCAGAACGCTGAAACTAACATGCAAAGGGGGTATCGGCAGGGCAAAGGCGGAATGTGTAGGCTTGGTCTCATTCCTGCCTTGTTAAGCTTCAGTTCAGCAAGCCAGGAAGGTAACGTCCAAAGTGAGCTTGTGGAGCAGCCCCCATTTCACAAATAGAGAAATGTATACCATCGACCCTTAAAATCATGCAGTTGAGGGGCCTCTGAAGACCTTTTCCCATCGTATTGGACAGGGATGAGGACCCTGTGGTCCTCCAGATGTTCGTGGACTACAGCTCCCAACAACCTCAGTCAATGGTCATGCTGGCAGGGGTTGATGGGAGTTGGAGTCTCCCATCATATACAAATATCCAGAGGGCTACGTGTTCTCCATCCCTAATGAAGGATGCTTCAAGAACATCAAATGCTTCCACAGTGCTGTGAAGGAGCAAAATACCCCCAAGCTTAAAAGGAGTATAAGTAAATGTTTTAGATTCCAGCATTGTGCTTTGAAGTTTGTATTGTAACTCACAAAATTCTCATTCCCAATGCCTCCCACGCCACCCGCGTTTACAGTCTCCTAGGAGATACGCTACCTGGAATATTTTCCGATTGCCGCCTTGGTTTGATCACAAGCTTTACTCCTCCTCCAAAGACAGCAGCCCACATTCGGTTATTCAAGGGGTGGGCTGCTAGTCGAAACAATTCGTTGCAAGCGTTGGTAGCCAGAGCATGTATCAGCAGGCTTAGGTAGACTGCTACAACAGCTTCACAAAGCAAGACATTTAGCTTTGGCTGGTCCTCATCCTGGGCTGTATTTAAGAGGTTTATGAGTGAGCTCACACCTGCAAAAACAAATATGAGAAGAGAATGATGAGCACATTAGGTTATGATGCGTTTGTCCATTCTCCCCGCTGAAATATGAGAGGCCCCATCAGTATTGGCACACCACCGGCTCTTGAAGGCACACCTGTTTAGACAAGCATCCTTCTGGTCTCCTGACTGGAATCTCCTCTTTTAACTGCTTGATTAATTATACATTTGAATAGTAAAGGTAAAGGAACCCCTGACCATTAGGTCCAGTCATGGCCGACTCTGGGGTTGCGGCGCTCATCTCACTTTATTGGCCGAGGGAGCCGGCGTACAGCTTCTGGGTCATGTGGTCAGCATGACTAAGCCGCTTCTGGCGAACCAGAGAAGCATGGAAACACCGTTTACCTTCCTGCCAGAGCAGTATCTATTTATCTACTTGCACTTCATGCTTTCGAACTGCTAGTTGGCAGGAGCAGGGACCGAGCAATGGGAGCTCATCCTGTCGTGGGGAATTGAACCGCTGACCTTCTGATCGGCAAGTCCTAGGCTCTGTGGTTTAACTCACAGCGCCACCCATGTCCCTATACATTTGAATAGTAGATGCTTATTTTAATGTTTTCATCAAATTGTTATAGTGTGCATTTTAATTATACATGCTTTTTTAATGTGGTCTACACTTGTGAACTGCTTAGAAGTCACCCTGGCAATTAATTGTTATATAAATAATGAAAAAAATGGATAACAGCAATAAGAATAATAGAACTATCTCCACTTAATGCACCGAGATATGATCATGCAAACATGAACCCAAAGTGTCTAGATGACAGAATGTGTATTGAACAGAACTTTCTCCGGCCTCCTTCCAAATTACATTTTAAAGACAAAATTGGGAAATCCATTTTATATATGTACCAAGTTATTAAGATACCCAATAGCTACTGTTCTGAATTTTCTATATATAAAAAAAAACAGTTACATTAAAACAATACAAAACCACTACCTCCACCCCATTTATAAAAGCAGCATTACAATAAACTGGAACTAAAAACTATTACCAAGCAGAAATCAGATATCAAATCTGTCTCCTGAGGAAAGCACATGCTTTCTAGATTATGCTTCCAAGTTTTGCCAAGGAAGTGTCTTCACTTGGACAGTGAAAAACAGTTGAGGGTGAGACGGGAGGGAAGTTCTACCTCAAAGAAGCTTTTCAAATCCCCTCATTACTCAGACATTGATGGCATTAGCAAATTCAACAGGATCTCCTTGTAAACTGGGCATATCGTGCAGCCGGCTTGTTTCATCCAAGCAGCGTTTCAGTAATCACATAAGCCCTGTGCAGAAAGCCAGTAAAGACACCTGTGCCTGCGTGAGAGATCAGGACTGTGCTTTCCACTTTTGGCAAGTTCCATGTATGTTGGCTCTGTATGCATGATTTGTAGGTGTCAGGGAACTGCCATCAGTGCCGGAGGGAGAGAGCAAAATCCAGAGGGATTCCAGAGAGCATCCCAGGAGTGGGAGAGGCAGCCCATCTTCTGGGGAAGAGAATCAGCGTAGCACCAGTGGAGAAGGGGGGCAGATGGGGGAAGCGGCGAGGCGGTCCCATGACTCCTTGCCGGGGACCAGCGGGGAGAGTAGAGGTCCTCTGCTGCCTACGCCCTCCTTGCGCAGAAGGCTTTCGCGCAGAGAGAGTAGGAGGAGACTAGGCGTCAAAGAGCTTCTTTGCTGGAAGAAGTTTAAGAAACGCCCACTGACGGATTCTGCCAGCGATTGAGACAGCCACGGCAGAGTGGCTGTCCGGACAGAAAAGGTTCACTCAGGCAACCCAGCCAGGTGTTTGCACCGGCTTACGCACGAGCAACCCCTAGAACCATTACAGTAGGGTTTCTATCAAGCCGAAGTGAGCCTATTTGCAGAGGCACTGCTTGCTACTGAAAAGGGGCCCTTGCCCATCACATACCGTATTTTTCGCTCCATAAGACACATTTTCCCTCCTAAAAAGTAAGAGGAAATGTGTGTGCATCTTATGGAGCGAATGCAGGGGGGAGGCAGGCAGGAAAAGCCCCCAAGAGCCACACACAAGCTCCGTGCGGCTCTTGCGGGCTTTTTCCCAGGATGGAGAAGGGACTGACGTGGCCAGTCAGTCCCTTCTCCCTCCTCATAGAAAAGCCCACAGGAGCCACGCGCTCCTTAAAGGGTGCACGGCTCCTGTGGGCTTTTGTGGGAGGTGGGGGTATTGCCATAGCTGCATGCAACCCCTCTGGCCGGGAGAGGCTATGAGCGGCTATGGCTTCTTTAGCCGCGTGCAGCCTCTCCCAGCTGGAGAGGTTGCGCGCGGCTAAAGAGGAAGCCAATACAGCGAGCGGGATCCATCCTGCTTGCTGTCTTGGCTTCTTTAGCCGCGCGCAACCTCTCCAGCCGGGAGAGGCTGCACGCGGCTATGGGAGAAGCCAAGACAGCGAGCGGGATGGATCCCGCTCGCTATCTTGGCTTCTTTGCTCTTTGGGGCTGGGGCGGGGAACCCGGGCTTCCCCCGGCAGCCCCAGAAGCTGTGTGAGAAGCGGACAGCTCTTTGGGGCTGGGGGGGGGGTTAATAAGATTTTTGTTTCTTGATTTCCCCCTCTAAAAACTAGGTGCGCCTTATGGTCCGGTGCGCCTTATGGAGCGAAAAATACGGTAAATCTGAACGCAACTTGCATACAGGGGAAGAGTTGTAGCTCAGCAGTAGTTTTCCAGTTCAATTCCTGGCATCTCCAGGTAGGGCTGGGAAAAACTCCTGCCTGAAATCCTGGAGAGCAGTCACTGCCAGTCAGTGCAGGCAATATTGAGCTAGATAGACCATGGATCTGACTCAGTATAAGGTAACTTCTTACATACCTATGCTAACTTATATGAATCAAATCTAAGCCCTCCCCTAATTATTATAGAATTTAAGTTTATTGTTCTAGCCAAAGGCCATGACAAACCTGCAGCGACAGTACCAATAAAACAATATAGATCATGCATCCAAAATATGAGCCAACATCCATGATGTAAGAGAGGTTGCAAGAGACACCAACAAACTCAAATCCAGCTTGATTTCAAATTAAACCTCAGAATCATCACAATTTACAGTGATTTCATCTCCAAATCTTCAACAATCTATAGTGATTTTATCTAACTCCTTTTTTCCATATATCTATATGGTTCCCAGATGATCTACAGGTGGTCATTCATAACTGACCAGTGAAGAAATCCAGTGGAAGAATGAAAACAGAATCTTAACTAGATGCAGGAATTCAAGCCACATGGCCACTCACTGCTAGCAGTATATGAAAATAAACAATGGCTTGTCAATGCAGGCATTGTGGCAAACAGTAGTTAAGCTTCCTCAACTTCATAGTTTGGTTTGGTTTTTGAATTGAGCCTATACAGTTGTACCTTGAATCCTGAACGCCTTGCGACTCTACTGTTTTGGCTCCCGAATGCCACAAACCCAGAAGTAAGTGTGGCGGTTTGCAAATGTTCTTTGGAAGCCGAATGTCCGACGCAGCTTCGGCGGCTTCCAATTGCATGCAGGGAGCTCCTGCAGCCAATCAGAAGCCGCACCTGGTTGTCAAACGTTTTTGGAAGTCGAACGGACTTCCGGAACAGATTCTGTTCGACAACCAAGGTATGACTGCACACCTATTGAAGCACTTGCATGATTAATAATAATAATAATAATAATAATAATAATAATTTATTTGTACCCCGCCCATCTGGCTGGGTTTCCCCAGCCACTCTGGGCGGCTTCCAACAAAGACCAAAAATACACTAAGATGTCACACATTAAAAACTTCCCTGAAAAAACTTCCCTATGGTTAGGGAAGGTGAGTTATCTTACCAGGCCACTGTGCAGGCAATGAATTTGGTGTGGCATGCTCTTCAATGCTCTCTGTCCTCAGTCTGCGACGGTCACTCAACAGCAGTCCTTGATAAACCATTCCTGTAAACTGATTTGTTTCTGCCTGACTGCTAAAAACAAGTTTGATTTTGTTGTTGTTAATATGACAAAAAATGGCAATTGAGTTTCAATATCCATTTCAAAATTTTGCACATAAAGGGTGGGTTCCAACTGGCACATTTGGACTCACTGAATATGATCCTAAGGTAAGAAACTTAAGGAAAGTTTCATGTCTTTTTCTGTCTGCATCACTTCCCATGCTCTTTGGCCTCGTTAGAGAGTGAGGGTTGCTGGGAGAGGAAGGAGTCAGCCCCAAAGTGGGCATGGATCTAAAGATAAGTTAACTTAAGCAAGCTTCTATCCATTTCTTCCTCTAGCAGCCACCCCCCCCAACTCCCCAGAGTGGGTGGCTGAAGAGACAGAAGGGGGAGGCAAACTTTCCTTCCATGAACTTGCTTAATCTACCTTAGAATCCAAGTCACAAAAAGGCTTTTGATCCAGTGGAGTGTCTGCTAACAGAAGGCAAAGGAAGGAAGGAAGGAAGGAAGGAAGGAAGGAAGGAAGGAAGGAAGGAAGAAGGTTTTGGCCAATTACCCCTTCTCCTTGCATCCCCCAAAATCAGCATAGTGAGGGAACCGTTCAGAAAAGTTGGTAAAGGGACTGCAGGAGAAACAGGAAAAAATAACCTCTGTTCCTCTTCCATTAGTGGACCCCTCTTCTGGATCAAAACCCTTTCCATGAGCACCAACCAGATTTCATCTAAAATTCCTGTTTACAATTAGGCAGAAAGCTTCTTTATTCTTCTGCTCAGTGTCTATGTGATTATTCTCTTCATTACAAAATAAATTGATACCAGGGCTCTTTACTCCACCACACCAGCTGGGAGGAGCAGGCTTTTAAAAAATTCTGATTGCATCCTCATACAATGAGCTTAGTGTCTTAAAACCACTGCCAACATTCAGAACAACCATCACAAACAAGCAAGATGAGACTATATAAAGCAAGTGACTACACAGTTTATGACTACTCTGGACTACAACTTACAATCTCCCTTTTTAATTTTAGAATTATTAGACAGTCCCTGATCAGAAGCAGAGAGTCCTCATACAACCTACTAAGCACAGAAAAGAGATTACCTGTAGCTGTGGCTGTCACACAAGGCTTGGTAAATAGATGCAGAAAGGGAAGCGGCTAATGAATAGAGGGTATGCACCTAAAAGAGGAAAATACAGCATTTATTTTACAGGGGTGTAAATAATATATGCTTTTGCAAACTAGCATGGCGCTGAACTTTTGGGCAAACTGATTGTCCATGAAAAGCTGCTGTTTTGGAGGTGTGGCTGTGCATGAGAGGCAGAAAGTGTCCATGGAAAAAAGGTAAACGGCGTTTCCATGTGCTCTGGCACTCATCACAGTGTCCCGTTGCGCCAGAAGCAGTTTAGTCCTGCTGGCCACATGAACCAGAAAGCTGTTTGCAGACAAATGTCATCTCCCTTGGCCTCAAAAGCGAGATGAGCGCCGCATCCCATAGTCACCTTTGACTGGACTTAACTGTTCAGGGGTCCTTTATCTTTTTACCCATGAAAAAAATACCCACAGTCTTTTAAGCCTTTTGTGGGTTCGGAGTAACTAAAGATGAACCTTTCAGCAGATCTTGCAAGTAGAACAGAACTGCTGCTCTTATGTGGGGTTCAGCGATTTGTTGTTCTTTAGTATTCAGTGTGAGTCCTGCACAAAGCAAGGTTTTGCTTTGCCTTATGTCAGGCAGGTACAGTCCTACTCCATTCAAGCAGGGCTTACACCATAAAACCCCAGTGTGTATACAACTGTTTTTTCATTTATTTATTTTTCATTTATATCTTGCTTTCCACCAAGGAGCTCAAGGTGGCATACATGGTTCATCTCTCCTCTCCACGGTTTTTTTCTTTTTCTTTTTTAAAGGACTCCTGGATGGTTAAGTCCAGTCAAAGGCGACTATGGGGTTGTGGCGCTCATCTCACTTTCAGGCCAAGGGAGCCAGCGTTTGTCCATAGACAGCTTTCCCGGTCATGTGGCCAGCATGACTAAACCGCTTCTGGCACAACGGAACACCATGACGGAAGCCAGAGCGCACAGAAACGCCATTTAATTTCCTGCCACAGCGGTACCTATTTATCTACTTGCGCTGGTGTGCTTTCGAACTGCTAGGCAGGAGCTGGGACAGAGCAACGGGAGCTCACTCCGTCACAGGGATTCAAACCACCGACCTTCTGATTGACAAGCCCAAGAGGCTCAGTGGTATAGACCACAGCGCCACCCACGTCCATGTTTAACCTCACAATGACCCTGCGAGGGAGGTTAGGATGAGAGACTGGGACTGGCCCAAAGTCACCCAGCAAATTTCATGGCCAAGCATGGACCCAAACCCTTAGTCCAGCACTCCAACTACACTGGCTCTCAAAGGTAAAGGTAAAGGTACCCCTGCCCATACGGGCCAGTCTTGACAGACTCTAGGGTTGTGCGCTCATCTCACTCTAGAGGCCGGGAGCCAGCGCTGTCCGAAGACACTTCCGGGTAACGTGGCCAGCGTGACATCGCTGCTCTGGCGAGCCAGAGCCGCATACGGAAATGCCGTTTACCTTCCCGCTAGTAAGCGGTCCCTATTTATCTACTTGCACCCGGGGGTGCTTTCGAACTGCTAGGTTGGCAGGCGCTGGGACCGAGCAACGGGAGCGCACCCCGCCGTGGGGATTCGAACCGCCGACCATGCGATCGGCAAGTCCTAGTCGCTGAGGTTTAACCCACAGCGCCACCCGCGTCCCTTGCTGGCTCTCAAAAATTAGCTCAATTCTGCTCCAGTTAGGAGCCAAGGCTCCCATTCCCACAATACCACTCTACGACCATGACAAGCTACCCGGATTCTTGCTACAACATGCATCAAACTATACTCTTCACATTCTAAAAGCCCATTTCCCCACTTGTTACCTTTACGTCTTCAACATTAGGATGGGGTGGCGTTTTCATCTGCACAATAGTATGAAGGATATCGTGGATGTGGTTGTTTAAATACAGCACAGGGTTGGCTATAACCGTTTTTGTTGAAGCAATGCTTGCCGACAGTAACGGTAGCGTGGTGGGTAACGGGAGGGGCGACTGGAGTTGCTTGACTGTCGTTTCCTAGTGGAACAAAAACACAGCCCCCCAAAGTGTCACATGACTACGAGCATCGCAGCACTCTGAGATCACACAACACACGTCCCATCAGCCCCAGCCAGCATAGCTAATGCTCAAGGATGATGGGAGTTGTAGTCCAGCAAGTATGTAGAAGACCACAATAGAATGTACTGTTAAAACGTTAGAGAAAATATATGAATTTGGTGAAGTTTCAGGTTTCAAATTAAATAAGAAAAAAACAAAGCTCTTAGTTAAAAATATGGATGAACAAGGAAAGCAAGAATTACAAAAAAGTAAAGTATCTGGGTATTTGGCTAACCTCAAAAAATAATAATTTATATAACGATAACTACAATAAAATTTGGAAAGAAATTAAGATATGGAGACCTGGAGTAGGTTAAAATTGTCATTATGGGGCAGAATTTCAGCCATAAAAATGAATGTATTGCCTAAAATGCTATTTCTTTTTCAAACAATAGGACAAGCTCCCTTTAAAGATTGGCAAAAAGAACTGTCTAAATTTATGTGGCAGGGAAAAAACCCACGAATAAAATATAAATTACTAATGGAAGTAAAGGAGGGGGTGGTTTCGCCACGCCAGACTTAAAGTTGTACTTTGAAGCAACATGTCTGTGCTGGATTAAAGAATGGATGGTACTGAAGAATAATGATATACTGGATCTCAAAGGTTGGGACAGCCGTTATGGTTGGCACTCATACCTATGCTATAATAAGGTAAAAGTCCACAGAGGATTCTTAAATCCCATAATACGAAAACCCCTATTCAAAGTTTGGGAAAGATATAAAAATCTCTTGTAACCTAAAACACCATGGTGGCTCTCACCACTAGAAGCAATCTCAGTAAAGAAAAAGAATATGGAGGGGAAATGGGCAACCTATAGAGATTTATTGAAAGAAGAAGAGAGTCAACTTAAATTTTAAAAGTTCGAGGAAATAAGACAGCAATGCACAGATTGGTTTCAGTACCATCAATTGAATGAGGTGTTTAAATTAGACATTAAAATCGGGTTCCAAAAATAAATCTCAGAAATAGAAAAAGAATTACTACAAAATAATAAGAAATTGTTATCAAAGACTTATAAAGTATTATTGGATTGGGAGTTAAAAGATGAGGAGATAAAGAGCCAATGGTAAAATGGGCAATGGATTTTGGTTACCCAATACAGATGGAACACTGGGAAAGGCTCTAGCAAAAGGATATTAAGTTCACGGCATGTTATACAATAAAAGAGAATTATTTTAAAATGTTATATGAGGGGTATATGACCCCTAATAAGCTGGCAAAAAATTATAAATTGAAATCAAATGCTGGAGGTGTAACAATGAGGAGGGAATGATGTTACATATGTGGTGGGGGTGTAACAAAATTAAAAAATTCTGGAACTCTGCCTACGATGAATTGAAAAAAATGCTTAAAATCACATTTGGAGAAACCCCAGAAGCCTTCCTCCTGGGAATTATGAATATTAACATCCCTGAGGGAAAAAGAAAGTATTTTTGTACACCACAACAGCGGCGAGAACGGTAATAGCAAAGAATTGGAAACGGGATAGAGTGTTGGAACGCTATCCCCTTCCCAATTCTTTGCTATTACCATTCTCGCAACTCAAATTTTGTGAATATTTAGAGTTGGCAAGAATGACAGAGGTAATTAAAGGCCAACCCACACAAAAAGCCAAAAAAGACTGGCTATGTGTAAGAGATTACATGAAAAAACATGGTTCTCAAACTATATCCTGGTTATGTTTTGACTAAATCTTGTAAAGAGTACAATGGAAAGAGAAAGAATTAAGTGAAATAAAGAATAATGAACACAGTAAGAAAAAGATCTGTAAAAGGAAAGCTGCAGTGAGGTGGTGGGAAGTCACAGATGAAAAAAGATTTGTATGGGAAGATGCATTAATGCGTTAAGTTAAGAATTTATGTTATAGAGAAATCAAGAATATATGTATATGTACAATTTACAGTGGTACCTTGGGTTAAGTACTTAATTCGTTCCGGAGGTCCGTTCTTAACCTGAAACTGTTCTTAACCTGAAGCGCCACTTTAGCTAATGGGGCCTCCTGCTGCGGCCGCGCCACCGCCACACGATTTCTGTTCTCATCCTGAAGGAAAGTTCTTAACCCAAGGTACTGTTTCTGGGTTAGCGGAGTCTGTAAGCTGAAGCGTATGTAACCTGAAGCGTATGTAACCCGAGGTACCACTGTATAGTCAATAAAAAAAGAGAACAGAAACTGGGCCTTACCTGCTGCGATTCTTGCAGCAGAAACTTGAGCTCCATTCTCACAGAGGCGAGACCACCTCCCTGTGCCCCGTGTAGGCTGCAGTAGCTTAGGAAAACCCTCAAGAGGGCCTGGTTCTTCTGCAGCCACCACTTTCGCCGCTCTGCATGCTCTCGCTTGGCTTGCAGCCTACGCCGCTCGATCTGGTGCCGCTCGTACGAGCCGATGTCCCCCTTGTCCCCCACTTCTTCGCGGTCAAGGAGGTCTCTGTTTATCTGGGCACTTGCTTCACCCTCGCCTTTCCCCCGCGCTTCGTGGTTGCAGATGTCGTGCAGAGCGGCAATTTCCTTTTCCAGCCAGTTGTAGAGCTGGAAGCGGAGCTTCCCTCCGTCGACTTCGTAGCCGGTGGCCAACGTTCTCAGCTCCGTCATGAGGATTTTGAGGCACGCTCTGAACTTCAGCTGCTCAGCGATCACGTCAACTTCGATGTCGTCGATATAAGCATCATCGTCCGGGCTTCTCCCGGTCTGCTTTCCACTTTCTGGTTCCTGTTTCGAACCCTTCATTTGCAAACCATCCTCCTCCTCCTCTTCCTGCGAGCTGCTTTTGTCTTCCCCCCAGTCCAGTTTCAGAGGCTCATCCTCAAACGTTATTGCCGGCTTACTCCAGTCAACGAGGGCTGCGGACTCCATCTGACTCGTCAAATCCGCTGAGCTCTCCCCGGGCTGCAACCAGTCTGCAGCACTGCCTTCGCCCGACGCCTTTGGTTCCAATTTCACACCGTTCTGCGCAGCAGGACTCTCGGCGCCTTCTTCTGTCTTGATGAAGATATTGGATTTGCTGCTTATTTGGGGGAGCTTGGAAAGGACTTCGAGGGCTAGCACGGGACACCCCACTTTAAAATGAGCATTTGCAGTAGTGAAAAACAGCTTTCTCTCAATAAGATTGATTCTGTCGATCAAGCTTTTCTCGGCTTGCAATCCCAAAGTGGCAAAGGCCCCATCGGGCAGGCAAAAATTTCTTCGGATGAGCAAGGGGTGAGTGCGAAGGTAGTTGTAGAAACTGAAGACCACAGGATTGCACGATTTGACAATGACTAGAGAAATCAGAGATTCGTGACATATCAGAAATAGTCATAATGGCTATGGTAATTGAAAGCAGCTCTGGAAAGTCTTTGGAGTTAAAGGAGGGGGGATACATACATGTAAATCAGGGGGGACTATCCTGTGGATTGCATCTGGCACCCCATTTCTTTGTCAACCCCAAAACCTCGTCCTAAATTTGTCATTGAAAAAACTATAAGTTTTAATGACTGGTTCGATGATCTCCCCCCTTGAACTATCAGGATGCCGAAAGGATTTTTTCCCCCTTGTCCAAAAAAATAAATTCTTATACTAAAAAAACAAAAACAAAAACCCTTCTTTCTAACTGGTCCCATAGGTATTCCACTGTGATGTCAACATGTTTTTGTGCGCCCGCAAATGGCTTTTAAAATGGTTTTCAATTTTAATATTCCTTTTTTTAAAAACGTGGATCCCTGCTGTGATTCTTCCGACGCCAAAAAGGTTTTGTGACTCCTCTGCTGTAAACAAATGGAGAAACTGCTTCACAAAATCAGGGCTCATTAGGTTGCAAAATGCGACAATGGCCAGAACATCAGAAATGGGAGGTTCAGAATATAGTCTGACAGGCAGAGATCTATGGTCACTCCACAATATTCTGGCCCATTATTTGATTCTTAATTTTTTGTTTTGGAGCTACCCATTGGCTTTTCTCTTTCTAATGGTGATTATTATTACTTAGCAATACATTATATATACTTTATTAATTATATTTATATATCCGTGATCATTGCCAATGTTGTAGGGCTGCTGGGGCTTTAATTTTTGTTTGTTTGCTTTGTATTTAGTGCCTGGTTGTTTTAATTATTGTTCCTTTCCGTTTGTTCTCTGCAAGTTTCTATTTTATTGGTGTTAAATTTTTGCTGCAGGTTGCCTTGAGGGTCTTTTCGGCACAGGGCAATGAAAAAAACCAACCAACCAAGTGCCTTAAATAAGTAAATGAAATGATGCAACATTCCTTCCAAGACTGAGGTTTTCCTAACAATCTGAAACAGTGGCGTTGCGTCCTTTGCCGGTGCCCAGGGTGTGGCGCAGAGGGTGAACATAAAACCTGCTGCATCAACTTAGCCTTTGCTGCCAACACTGCCGGGAAAGTGTGGGGCATGGAGGGTTCGCAGGGCCACGATGTACCACTTGCGCGCCTGCGCATGGGGGAGCCAAACTGGCCAACACGGCCCTTGGCAGGTGAATCCTCTCAACGTTGGCCGGGCAGCCATTCAGTCAGGGTGCTGGGAATATAGCGGCAAGGCAAGGCCCAGACAGGGTGGGGAAGGGAGGGGATCCCTGTGGGGGAACGTCTGGTTCGCATCCCCTCCGAATCGTGCGCCCGGGACTCGGCCCAGCTGCCCCTCCCCCAGCACGCTACACCCCTGATCTGAAACAGTCTTTACCTGGGTTTTCATCATCTTCCTTTGGTGTTTGCTCCAGTAAAGTGTCGAGTGCTCTAGTGTACTCTTTCATTACCCAGTAGGAAAGACTTCGCAGGAAAGGGTCCGGGTGCAGTTTTGCGCAGCTGAATCCACTTCCATCTTTCTCACAGCCCAGTATCTTCTCATAAAGGATGGCTGTATAGGTGGAGGAGATCTCAAATTCGGATTCATACAGACGAGCGATAACCATAGCTAGCTGGATGTCTTCCATCTTCTCAAGACACACCTATGGAGAAAACGAACAACAAGGTTCCATAAGCGCACTTTAATTTACAAATATTTCTGCGTTTATTTATTACGCGTAGGGCAGGTTGCAACGAATATAACACCACGTGAAAAACAGTTTAAAACAATTTACAGTCGCAAAAGGGAGATGGGTCCGAAAGATACACATCTCAGGTCTCGAAAGCCAGGTTGTGTCTCCACATACACAATACCCAAACCAGTATTACACAATATACAAACCAGCATCACACGATACACAAAGTGAGGACAAGAGTTCAAAAAGCAAATTCTCCATTTGGACTTGGCTGAAGAACCGCACTACAAAGTCTGGAGAAGAGCGATTTTCAAAGAATGGATGTGTTTCCTTTCTTCTCATTTCAGAAAGTGCAAATTGGGTGGGTTCGCCTTTAAAATGCGAATGGAATCAAATTTCTCCCTCATCATATAATTTTTATTAAGGTTTTCAAATATGCATTTCCAACAATAGTACATTGCATTATAACAATATATTCAATGACTTCCCTTCTTCCCCTTCCATGGTTCTTTTATTTTCCTGCAATTCCTGCATATTTTTAAATGCCCATTTAATTCAGCTCCCCCCCTTATCCGCCCCTTCTAAAATAGGTTAATACTGTTGAATTTATCTTAATCCTGCCAGCGTTTTTAAATGTGTACAATTATTTCCTGCATACACAACAAAATTTTTCCATTCCTCTTGATCTTCTTGCTCTCTTAATCTACTTCTTAGCACTGCTAACTCAGCATATTCTACCATCTTAAAGTTGCCAATCCTCCTTTCTAAGGGAACTTGCTCACTCGTCATTTGGGGGCTAACAAGATCCGAAGCTCCTGCAGCCAATTGGAAGCCACGTCAGACATTTGGCTTCCAAAAACAGTTCTCAAACCGGAACACTCACTTCCAAGGAGTTTGCAGTGTTCGGGAGCCAAAACATTTGAGAACTAAGCTGTTCAATAACCAAGGTACGGCTGTACTACAGATATATGAATGAACAGAAGAACCTATAAACCACCACAATGAAAACACCTGTGTATTTGGGGCAACAATACCTCAATAGCATCCTTTAGCGACCCAGCCAACAAGAAAAAGGCAGCCGACTGCTCAAAGCGCTGTTTCCCCAGCAAAGCAAAAGCATTTTTCAAAGCTGCTTTGCGCCATCTATCTTCACTGAAATTATGGCTGAAGAACTGTGTCATTTTCTCATCATGCTGAGACCTGTGTTGGAAAACAAAGGGAGATAGAGATTTCCATTAGGGCTGCACCTTCTATGCACATTCCCTTAGAGGTAAGGCTCCTCAAACTCAGTGGGACTCACTGCTGAGTCAACATGAAGAAGGATTGCACAGGAAGCAGAGTATCAACTAGAAAACTGGCATGAGCCCCCGTAATTTTATACATGCTTTCGCCTCTATCCTAACTGGGGTTTTTTTGAGGGAAGGTAAGATAAAGGTAAAGGACCCCTGGACGGTTAAGTCCAGTCAAAGGCGACTATGGGGTTGCAGCGCTCATCTCGCTTTCAGGCCAAGGGAGCTGGCATTTGTCCAGACAGCTTTCCGGGTCATGTGGCCAGCAGGACTAAACCACTTCTGGTGCAATGGAACACTGTGACGGAAACCAGAGCGCATGGAAATGCCGTTTACCTTCCCGCCACAGCAGTACCTATTTATCTACTTGCACTGGTGTGCTTTCGAACTGCTAGGTTAGCAGAAGCTGGGACAGAGCAACAAAAGCTCACTGCATCGCGAGGATTTAAACGCCGACCTTCTATTCGGCAAGCCTAAGAGGCTCAGTGGTTTAGACCACAGCACCAACCGCGAGGAAAGACGGAAAGGCCAAGTTAATGGGACTTACCGAAACAGACCCCACACCACTGCTTTTTTCTTCATCGCGAGGTAAAATAGCGCAGCATCCAAGGCATCGTTGTTCCTCTGAAATGCTGCTTTTGCAACCTGTTGTAATTAGGAGAAAAAGAAAAGTCCACAGGATCACAGAGAGTAAGGGCTGCAAGCAGATTAAACTACACAAATTGCAGGTGATCTGCAGATCTGCCTCTGGCCTTTCACCCAACCAACCTGCCTTCAACTGCTTTCCCTAAGCAGCAAAAGGGCATATTCCCATCTTTGTTTTGCCTTCTTTCCTAGAAGCAAAAAGGTATGGTGCCATCGCTGGTGCCATTACCTCTATCATATCTGCTTTTCTCAAGCTCCTAAATGAAATAGCAAACTAATAAAATGCTTTTGATTTTTGTCAATAATAGTATCCTTCTCTCTCCTGCTCCCCACCCAAAAGCCTTTCTGCAAAAGGAAAGTAGTATATCAGGGTAGGTAGGTAAACAATAATAATTGACTGATTAGTAGGAATATTGATCCTATGCATGCTTTTCTGAATACAGAGATAGTAATTTAAATATAGAAACTGATATAGCTCAGTGTTGGACAAAATAATACCGTAACATGAAACATTTCTAAGCATATTGGATAAGCATTTCTAAGCATACTGGATACACAAACCTATGGTGTGACCATATTCAGAATACCGTGTTGAGTTCTGGTCGCCTCATCCCAAAAAAGCTATTATAAAAGGTTCAGAAAATGGCAACCAAGATATCAAGGGGATGGAAATACACAACCATTATGACTAGTAGCCACTTAGAGACCCATCCTGCATGAGGGGATGCAGGTGGCGCTGTGGTCTAAACCACTGAGCCTCTTGGGCTTGCCGATCAGAAGGTCGGTGGTTCGAATCCCCGCGACGGAGTGAGCTCCCGTTGCTCTGTCCCAGCTCCTGCTAACCTAGCAGTTCGAAAGCACACCAGTGGATGTCCATTTTGACGCATTCTTTAAGAGTTCTCTTCCCATTCTCACACACACCCAATAGCTTAATCTACTTCTGCCAAACTACAAGAGCCTCGGGGATGCAATTTTCCCAAGCTCCTATATAAGCGTTGCCATAAGCTTTGCCATTTTGTTTGCCCCTTTCCAGCTCTACGATATCCTTTTTGAGGTCAGGCAACCAAAACGATGCCCAGTACGCCAAGTGAGGCCACACCATAGATTTGTAGAATGGCAGGATGAGATGCCTCACCACGATGTAACTTGCAACAAGGTAGGTTCAAAGGCTCATGACCTTCCAGTTATCACCAAGAATGGCTCAAATTACCTTCTCCATGCACCTTCGGAGTGTGTTAATGTTTCTGACCCACCAGCCTATACCCATAGTTCTTAGTTCGGACCACTGGGGGTCTCCTCTTTGAATTGCAGGGATCATGTTGATTAACTCTTCCTCTGCCTCCGAATGAAAAGCCCAGGCAAAGTGGCATGTGGAAACACCTAAATCATGGCACAGGGAAATCACAGGCACAAGGCAATTACAACATGGTGAATTAGATCAGAAATAAGAGCCTAGGGGGAGGTGGGAGCATGTTTGACTTACTGGATTTAAAGTCACTGGGGACATACGTTCATAATTTGTTAAGAATGATGCAAAAAATGCATTTTATGCAAATTTTGGAACAAGTGTGCATTCAGAGCTTCAGAATTCAGAACATTAATTTAAGAAAAACCAAGTGTGGCCACCTCCAATTCCACCAATATAGTGAATAAAATTGTCATCATAGACCCTAGTATATCTTGTCCTTTTCCCTACCCAAGGAGCCCAGGCCAATAAATAAATAAAAAGGTTAAAGCAACACAACTAAAATTAAAATACAACGTATTTGAAATATTTAAAAACAATTATAAACATCTAAATACCAATCCCATAGTCTCACTATTAATAATTCTAAGTTCCTAGTAACTTTCAGCCACTAAACACCTTTTAAGCAGCAATGTTTCTAAATTTCCCTGGAACTTGAATAATAAAGGAGGCACCTCACTGCCACAAACGGGGAGCCATCACCAAGGAGACCCTGCCATGGGTCCACACCCAACGGTTCACACAGTCACTATTCTTCCCATTGCTTGCTGCTTCTTAGAGTGATTCGCATCAGGCAGTTCGCACCAACGACTTACCTTGATGAAGTAGCTGAACGCGATATAAAGGTGGGAGTGATGTCAGAAGGCATGTATGCAAACGCATAGCTAGCAGGTACCGCAGGCCGCATTCATCTAAAGTTTCTCTCCCTGTGAAAACGCACCAAACGGTTAAAGCACAATACAGGCAGGTGTCCGTGTTGCTTACTTACAATATTCATACGAAGCATTTTCAAACAAAAGGATCTCAAAACAATTTATATATGCAGGGCATAGCAGAATATTCAAACGCACACGACCATAGTGTGACCTTATAACCCTTGATAGCTTCACACTTGTCTTTTAAATTATTCCAGATACTTGAAATGTTTTATAATGTGATGCCAATAAAGGTATTTGATTGACTGATTTGGGGTAGGTTTCCGGGTTTGGCAGAAGGAGATAGGATCTGCCCATGCGATGCCCACCTGGTGGAAACTCTAGCTCACATGGCCCTTAAATGTAAAATGTATGATGATCTCTGCCAACAATTTCTAGACAATCTACGTATTCCAAAATGGAAATCAGAGACGGAGGTTATGCGCTTCTTATTACAGGGGAGAGACCAGGAGCTCACCAAGACAGTAGCTAAGTTCCTCTATTTGATTTTCTGTCACCGAAGTATGCTACAGGATCCTGCCCTTGCTGGAAACCCACAGAGATGAGGGTTTTTCTGCCCTTTGGCAGGTGACAGTGCCGTTGGGGTGGCGACGAGATCGCACTGGCCTATCTATTCTGAATGTATTTTGAATGTTTTTATGTGATGCCAACAAAGGTTACTTGACTTGATTGACTGATTGATTGCATGTGGGATGTGTGGGTGGGCCCAAGCAGGATATATTTATGAAATATATTTATTTAAAATAAATCAGAGGTCAACAAGAACTCGCACACTAATTTAAAATGTCTTGCGCCACTTCCTAAATGTCGCATCTTCCCCTATTGCCTCAATAAGCATTCCACGAGAAAGTGGGCAAGTTGTTTACCTGAGTAATGCTTATCTCTGTTTTCATCAAGCTCAGTGCTTGTGGTAGCAACAGTGTCTGCCAAGGCGACCAAGAACATCTGCTCCAGGCGAGTGAGTCCCGGTAAACTTGAGTGCATTAGATGGCTTGAGAGGACGCTGGCATGCTCTCGCCCAAAGTAAGTCGGCCCGTACTGAGACAGGTTGATGACTTTGGATTTATGCTCCCTCCTTTCTGGCTCAAAATCAATGAAGTCGTCCGTCGTCACCTGCTGAACCTGGAATAGATCCGAATAGTGATCCTCTGGCTTCCTTTTGGCATGGTCTTGTGAGCCTTGGGGCCTCTTGGTCGCTTCCTCCGTTTTGTACGTGGAATCCTGGTCTGCCGAAAGCAGCGCGTACAATGGCAGCGGAGGGATAGAGTCGATCTCTGTATAGTCCCGGGTACCCTCTTTGCCCCGTACTGACCGCGTCCTTTGCGGTGCTGCCACTTACGCTGATGGTGCGAGAGAGGTGCCGTTTGGAGCCGCCGTCGGCCGACTCGGGGTCTTTCACAATGGCAACTTCCCCCGCAATGCATTTCACCAAATGCGAAAGAATGGCTTTTGCTCTGCGGACTTTACCCAGGTCCATCAGCTCCAAGAGCTGGGTTGGGTGGTACTGCGGGAGGGTAGGAGAAAGGACGTGGGCGGCTTCAAAAAGCCCGCCATCTTGAATCACAGTGGGGGTTCCGAAAACATCGTCCACAATGCCCGCTCCGTCGATGATGCTGGTTTTCTTGGCCATCCAACTGGTCTTCAATGGATCTTGCGTGGGGGAGTCTTCACCGAGGAAACAGTCGCTCTCGCTGCCCCCCGATTTCATGGCGTGCTTCCACTGTGCATAGACGTGCATTTCACAGTCCATTCCCACGACCAGTATCCCATCTCTTACCCAAGACAGGGAGACTGGCAATGAAGGGGTGCCGTCTACAGAGGACACCAAGTCTATGGATCTTAGCAGCACCCATTTGGACCTTATGCCTTGCTTTATGCTACCACCTAGTGGTAAAGTAATGACGGCGACACCCTCTTTGCTGCTGGTTTGCTCAGTCACAATTCCCGAAAGTCGGCCGTACATGAATATATTCGCACCCATGCTGACCGTCAGAATATGAGAGCCGTCTTCTTTCGAAACCCAGTCCAAGTGGACCAGATGCTTGGTGTTTGGCATCAGGTGCCGGTCCTTGTTCAAAAATACATCCATTTTACTATATACAAATAAATTGCTGTCCACGCTCACTCTCGAGTCAAGGACGCTCCCGACTTCCACTAGATCGTCCAGGTGAATCGTCTGCTCCAAGACCCATTCCGACCCTCCGGTGGATTCACATTCAAATATACAAACGTGCATAGAAAATTCTTTGGAAACAAAACCGTTGTGTTGCATGGGTTGTTTGTATGCCACAGCCAAGCGCCCCGTATAGGAACAGCTGACAGCAACAGGCCTTCCCGAAATGCCCACTGTGCTGCTGTCGTCATCTTTCGAATCGTTCATTAAAGGCCACTTCTTCCAGTGATAGGTTTCCTTCGTTTCATTTCTGCTGTTCACCACCGTCTCTACAGAGCACCTCCAGAACCGGACTCTGTCATCCGAACAGGAAGTAACCAGCAAGTAAGGTGCGAGGCAGACTGGGTAAATTGATGAAGAGCTCAGGTGTCCTAAATGAATCAGAGATTATTATTATTATCATCATTATAAAAAATTGTATACCGTCTTTCATTTGAAGATCCCAGGGTGGTTCACAAGTTGAAGCATCATTTACATGACACAAACACAGCCTCCTAAGAGAGTCCGCAAAAAGTTACTAGCCTGCTGATTTGTGGCAGGTCTGTGGTCCAAAAGAGTGAAACTTACACCCTCTTGAAATTTAAAAAGCTTTTTCCATCTAGGAAATGTCTGCAGGCAACTGGCTATTTACAAGCCTGCATGAAAATAGATTTGTTTTGATTTCTTAGCAGTATCGAACATTTCAGTCTCCAATCCATTTTGTTTCTAATTCATCTTTCTAATTCACAATATACAAGAGTGAAAACTACATCCAAACCATTTTTTTTTTTTTGCATCTATAGGGTTACAGCGGACCAATGAATGCAGAATTTGCCAAAAGCCTCAGATTGGTAACCAAAGTTATAGGAACCAGTGTAACTAAGTATTGAATCGTCGTCTTACCTGCAGAAGGAGTAGCTCGTACAACTTCTACACCAACTGGAATATCCAATGGGCAACTGTAGACCAGGCTAGAACTCAAAATAAGTTTACTAGCTGTCTGAAGATTAGCAACAGATGAAGAACGGGGCATGGGTGCTGCACCTGGCGAGGTATCTGGAGATGAGTCGACAGTCTGTTGCCCAGGTATGCCCAGCTGGTTTCCTGATGGTTGAACTTCGGCAGACTTTGCTTTAATGATGCATTATTACAAAAAAAAAGTTCAGTGTGTAACAAGGACATACTTCCCATTTAAAACATAGGCAAAGATTTGTTTAGATATAGCATGCAGGGTGAAAAGCTTTAAAAGAGGATTAGACATATTCATGGAAGACAACACCTTCAATGGCTGCTAACCCTGATATATGTTTTTTGCCTCCAATGTTGGAGGCATAGTATGTCTCTGAACAGCAGCTGCTAGCAATCTCAAGTGGACAGAATTTCTCTGCTAGGATCTCTTTGCACATGTCTATCAAGCATGTCCACAGACGAGCACATAAACTGAAATAAGGAGAGCCCTGCCGCTTCAGGCCAAAGACCCACCCAGTCTAGCATCCTGTTCTGATGGGAAGGCAGGATCCAAGTGCAGCAGTATTCTATTCATGTTTGCTCCGTAGCGAGTTGCAGTCCCACTGTGCTCAATGGGGCTTACGCCCAGGTAAATGTGCATCAGATGGCATCCTACAATCCTTAGCATCGTCATTAAATCCCACTGAAGAGTCCTCAGTTCTCAACCTGTGGGTCCCCAGATGTTGTTGGACTACAACTCCCATCATCCCTGAGATCTGGCCTTGCTAGCTAGCAGTGATGGGAGTTGTAGTTCAACAACATCTGGGGGCCCACAGGTTGAGAAAGGCTGAGATAGGAGCATGTAACTTAATGCATCTGATCAATTTTATGCAGCCTGACCATGCACAAGCTTAAGAAGAAGCATGAAATGGGTTTCCTGACATGTCACTACCATGATTAAATGCTCACAAGTGAATAATTCTAACACACTGACAGCAATGCAGCAATTAAAAAAAATCAGTGTTACACATCTTTTGTGCAAACAGAGACCCTTTGCCTACTAGGGCTGGGCGATATCAGCTTTCCAACATTGCAGTGTATCACCAGCCGAACATTGCAGTGTAGTGAGACATTGCAATGTTGAAAAGGGGAGGAACGAGCAGCATCGGCCCCAGCCCTGTGAGGCACCAGAGTGAAACTGCTGCCACTCCCGCTGCTGCCCGGTGCAGGGAGGACGGAGGGAACAGAGAAAGGAGGTAAGGCGCAGGCAAGCCCCACTTGCAATGAAGGCGCCATCGCCCTCTCGCCCTCAAACTGGTCCCAGACGACGTATCGATACATCGCCCAGCCCTTTTGCCTACAAAGGTTGTGCTGCTGAAATGAGGGTGGGCCAGTCTGCGCACAGAGCCGTGGACTTGCATGCAAAACAACCCAAGTTGGGGGAACCGCCAGAACATATTTAAAGGGCCTTTACAGGAGGAGGAGAGGAAGGGAACGTTCTGTTGCACATGCAGAAATGCCTGCAATGATGGAACACTGTTCTTAGTGTGACACTGAACACAACCATTGGCCCAATGAGTTCATTATTATCTATGCTGAATTTCCAGGATGAGAGTGGCTCTCCGGGATTTCGGACACAGAACGTTCCCTGCTCCACCTGGAGACTGAACCTGGGACCTTTTGCATAAAAGGCAAATGCCCAACCACTGAGTCATTCTGTAGCTCTGCTTGTCTGGAGGCTTGGGTGGTATTTGCCAATTCTGCTATTGAATTGTTACTGGGTTTTATACACTGTCTTATTAGCTGTCTTAAGCAGCCATGTGTGCTTTCCCCCAGCTGCAAGGCAGGATTTTAAAAAATGCCTTAAATCAACCAGCGCATGATTAGAGTAAAAATACATGTTCATCTGGAAATTTCTTCACTCACCTACACATGCTTGAACAGATTTAAGATGCAGATGCCACATGTGAAGTATGGAACACCCATTTGTGTCTTTTTCGATTACAACTAGATAAAACTTTTCGGAGAAGGGTGGTGGCCGATAACCTGTCCAAAATCAAAACCAAATATTAATGTCAAGCTGGCATTTCAAGGTAAGTTATATTTATAAGCAAACAAAAAAACCTATAACCCAGCCTTCCTCCCAAAGATGCCCAGGGCGGCAATGACATTTTATTAAACATGGACCGCGCTGTAAGGATCACATTTAAAAAAAAATACCACTTTCTGCTGCATTTTAAATACTGTAAATCATTAAGTAATATGTTCATGGTAAATAAACCTAAAAGTGTATGCAAGAAAGAAAAGTTAAGCCAATCTAATTTAAAAAACAAAACCTGCTAATATTAGGCCGGAATTAAGTCACAAAAACTCAGAAAATCTTCTGACGTCATTGTTCCAAATTTGAGGGCACAATTTCAAATTCCATTTTATATTTTGGAAGTGAGGTCTCATCTGAAAGTTGAGTGTTTTAGGCTTGTTGACAACTTGTGTATTATTTTAGCACGTATCAGTACGAAATGTTGTAGGGCGTGAATTGTCAGAAAACTGCTCAATGTTAAATACTGTTACAAGTTTTCTACCAAAAGCTGCCGGATACTAAATACTGCATTGCCAACTAGCAAAGGATGTCAAATCGGAAATATATTGGAAATATATGGAGAATGTCGTCTGAATAGCCCCAGCAGCTGCCAAGCCCTCAGTGCAGATACCTTTAGGGGAATTTTGGCTCTACGTACTATTCATTCTTCAAACGAGCTACAATTCTCAGAGCAGTTTAACAGTCAATTCCTCTTCCCAGGGAACTCTGCAAATTGTAGCTCCATTTTTTTGGGGGGGGGGTGTCTCCTAACAACTCTCAGAGCCATTAACAAACAGTAGCTCTCAGGAATCATTGGGAGAAGGCATGGCTGTTTAAAATGTTATGGTAATGCTTAGAAAAAAAGGGAAGTAAGTGGGAACGTTATAAAAATGTAAAAAAAAATGATGCATAGACTGGGGGTAGAGAAAGGCATTTATCTCCCTCTCTCCCCCCCCCCCATAATAGGACCCAGAACCACTCAGTGAACAAGGGAAAGTAGATACAGTGGTGCCCTGCAAGACGAATGCCTCGCAAGACGAAAAACCCGCAAGACAAAAGGGTTTTCCGTCGCGGAGGCGCTTCGCAAGACGAAGTTCCCTATGGGCTTGCTTCGCAAGACGAAAACATTTTGCGAGTCTCGCCATTTTCTCTCTCGCTTTCCCTCCCCCCCCTTTTCAAAGCGGCTAAGCTGTTAATAGCCTTTTAACAGCTTAGCCGCTAAGCCCGCTAAGCCGCTAATAGCGCTAAATCGCTAATAGCACTAATCCGCTTAGCCGCCAATGGGGTTGCTTCGCAAGACGAAAAAACCGCTAGAAGAAAAGAATCGCGGAACGGATTCTTTTCGTCTTGCGAGGCACCACTGTAGTACTTAGTTCAACTATGGAATTTGCTACCACGAGATGTAGTTTCATAACAGCCACCAACTTCGAGAGCTTTAAAAGAGGATTAGACAAATTCACGAAGGATAGGGCTATCCAAGGCTACTAGCCCCAATGGCTAGGATCTTGGCTGCTGGAGCGCATGAACAGAAAAGGAAGATGGCGGTCACGTTTGGCTTGGGGGGATCTGGCTGACCTCTGTGGGAAAAGGATGCTGGATTAGTCGATCCCATCCAGCAGGAGATCTTCCGCTGCCTCCCAGGGGCACCACAACCATCCCTAAAGATTCCTTGCTTATGGATAAGAGCAGAGTACAAGTGCTTCACTATACCTTTGGAGGGCTGGAAAAATATCTCGGTTTCTTTCAGCTCCGCATCCTCTTTATGCGGTTTGTATCCCAAAATGAAGTCCTCTTGAAAGACGTGAAGCAACTGCGTGTTTGACCCACACTAGAAAGAGTGTTAGACAGAAATCAACAGCTTGCCCCAATCAGTTATGCGCAAGAACGTTCAAGGTATCCAATCATATTCCATGCGTGTTGTATCATCAGCTATCTCAGGTGTGGGGCAGCTTTGGGCCGGCTGGTGCTTGCTGAATTACAGTTCCCATCAGCCCCAGTGATCATGGCTGAAGGCGAGGAGTGATGGGAGTTGTAGCTCAGCAACATCTTGAGGACCAAAGGTTTCCCATCCCTTGATCTACATAGAAGGCAGCTCTGGCTTCCATCCAGAACAGCTGCCACATGGTGCTTGGTGCCTTCAGTGCTGTTCCAGCTCCTCATTCCTGGGATTTTCGCTTTCTTTTTCTAAATGCACAGCAGTCTTTAGGTTAGTCTTCATCAAGCAAGCGCCCCCCAGGTGCTGCCACACTGACTCCTATCAGCCCCAGCCTGGTCCCTGGCAGGACGTCCCAGACTCCTTTTGATCTCCAAAGTGGAAAGGGCAGGATCATTTCCTTCACCATTAGCAAAAGCTTTGGGAGTCATGCATTTCAGCCCGACATAGGGAATCCAAAATGCTGCTCAAAAATCTGCGGCAGGCTTGCTACAGAAGCAGAGTAAGCTCAAAGCTTTCTTTGATTAATTACGCAGGATGTGTTCCGTTGATTAATTTAACACAGTAGGGAACAAAATTAATAGTAAATCCCATTGGAGCTAGACAAAAAACCTAATGCACTAAGGACTTCCTTTTGGAGGGTTTGGTTTGAGGATTTGACACTATTTTGCCAAGGCCTAAAATTTATAAGCTGGCTATAATGGTGCTAAAATCCTAGGGGAATCCCAACCCCTCTCCCTGAAAACTCCTATGCACATTTATTCTAAACATGTAGGTCCCAAACAAGGCACATAATAAAACAATTATATTTTTTCTGGAAAATGCAAGATAGCAATTATTTAAACATTTGTAACAAAGAGATTCCCATGGCAATGCCATTTTGTAAACATACACAAAATACAGAGAGACCAACAGCTCATTCAAACTAAATAAATAATATTCTGCTGGAAAACAGTGGAACAGAAAGTTGTCACAACTATGTGTGCAATCTGGGAGTAGGTCCCATTTAGCCCAGTGGGGTTTATTCCAGAGTAGACGTGTGCAGGTCTGAACTGTTATTGGACATAATCATCTGTAGCAGCTAGCAGATGGTGGCCATTATCTTGTAATTCGAGGGTGGATGGAAGTGAATGTACGTGTGAGTGAGGTAAGGCTCCATCTGCACAATACATTTAAAGCAGATTCATACCACTTTGAACAGCCATGGCTTCTCCCAAAGAATCCTGGGAACTGTAGTCTGCTAAGGGTGCTGAAAGGTTTTCAGGCGACCTCTATTCCCCTCCCAGAGCTACAATTCTCAGAGTGGTTTAATAACCAATCTCTCTTCCCAGGGGACTATGGGAATTGTAGCTCTGGGAGGGGAATATCAGCCTCCTAAAGGTAAAGGACCCCTGGATGGTTAAGTCCAGTCAAAGGCGGCTAGGGGGTTGTGGCGCTCATTTCGCTTTTCAGGCCGAGGGAATTGGTGTTTTTCCCCAGACAACTTTCCAGGTCATGTGGCCAGCATGACTAAACTGCTTCTGGCACAACGGAACACTGTGCCGGGAACCAGAGTGCACAGAAACTCTGTTTACCTTCCCGTCGCAGCGGTGCCTATTTATCTACTTGCACTGGTGTGCTTTCGAACTGCTAGGATCTGGGACAGAGCAACAGGAGCTCACCCCGGCGCAGGGATTCGAACCGCCAGCCTTCTGATCGGCAAGTGCAAGAGGCTCAGTGGTTTAGACGTCAGTGCCACCAGCACCCTTAACAAACTACAGTTCCCAGTATTTTTTTAATTTGTCGGGGAGCCATGATTGTGACATGAATGTTGCTTTTGATGTAAGGTGTGGATGTGTCCTAAGTAAGGAAGCCTCTGAATTTTGTGTGGCTGGTATGTAGCATACTGAGCAAAAGTCTGTTGTATCTATTTCTCTGGCCCATTTTCTCCCTGGCCCAGCCGACCACCAACACATGCCCCCAATCTCTACCCACACAAGCTAAGAAAGGTTGCCCATCCCTACTGTCAGCACGGATTCCTGGTTTTTAATCACCGTTTCCCCACTCCTGGTCTTTAATTAACAAACAAACAAGCACCAGGCATGGTTAAATGACCCATTAGAGGGTTAACTAATTTTTTACCTGGTCGGTTATAGCATCTAGTTCAATAATGCATCCCGGCCGAGCTGTTGATTGCTGGCTCACAATGTTAAAAACTTCACCGATGAGTTTCTGAAAGAGAGGGGAAGTTGGGAGAGTATTTGGATTTTGAGCTAATAGCTGCAGCTGAAGTCCCGTTGGTACCAATAGCATCTGGGTGACAAGTGGCCACTTTGTGCCATGGACTCCAAGCCAGCATGGAGGTTTGGCTGACCTTGCTCAAGATCATCATGGTTTTAGTTTGCGTGTGATCTGATGTTTAGAAAATAATGCAGCCACTAGTATGAATTCTCAACTCTCTTTGCAACCTGATCGTACAGATTGCACTCCCCTTTTAAGTTCTATCCTTAGCTTATGAATAAAGGTAAAGGTAAAGGGACCCCTGACCATTAGGTCCAGTCGTGGCCGACTCTGGGGTTACGGCACTCATCTTGCTTTATTGGCCGAGGGAGCCGGCGTACTGCTTCCGGGTCATGTGGCCAGCATGACTAAGCCGCTTCTGGCGAACCAGAGCAGCACACAGAAACGCCGTTTACCTTCCCGCTGGAGCGGTACCTATTGATCTACTTGCACTTTGACGTGCTTTCGAACTGCTGGGTTGGCAGGAGTAGCATATGAATAGCTGCCCTCTATTCAGTATTTGTAATTTGACAGAAAAGTCACTGAGCAGGGACGGAGGTTACCAGCCAAAATAGTTGCCCAATATGCCTCTGTTTTCCTCTTTAACAATGCTCTCCCAGGGCAGCTCGTCTGGCACCTACATTTTTAAAAAATATATATTCAAAAGTTACAATACAATACATTTTAAATCAATATATCCGCTCTGTAATGATGGTGGCACTAAAAAATCCTGTACATATATTTACAGGATAAAGGGTTTTTTTTCTTTTTTAGCTCTTGTTATTATATTATGTATTTTGTGTTTCTATGCTGGAAACTGCCCTGTGATCTTAGAATGAAAGGCGGTATATAAATTTAATAAATGATAATAAAAATAAATAACAACAGCAACAACTTCTTACAGAGGATCCTGGGTCGCTCAGTTCATCCAAAAGTTTCCGTGCATCCACCACAGCTTGGTATAGCCTCAGGTTTTTGCCATCCGATGCCACGAAACAAGCACTCGCAGAATTGCAGTAGGTACCTATTTTAAAAGCAGGCGTCAGTTTTTGACATTTAATGTAAACTATATGTTTTAGCAGTTATGGTTGGAGAGGCATTAAACAGTTTCATAATATTCCACCAATGCGACAAATTCCCTGTTTTGGGAAGTTTTTAATATTTAATGCTGTATTGTTTTTAACACTCGATTGGGAGCCGCCCAGAGTGGCTGGGGAAACTCAGCCAGATGGGTGGGGTATAAATAATAAATTATTATTATTATTATTATTATTATTATTATTATTATTATTATTATGAATGTTGCTACAGTCTCGTAACTTCTAGCTGAGTTTGAAATAAGGTTGTTTTGCAGGAAGTGCTTGTCTATGCCCTTCCAACATTTAACAGATGAAAATGGGGACACCGTTGTAAAACCTCCATCTCTTACCAAAAATCAGGGCTCGAGTTTGGAACATCCCTACCCTGAAACCATATTACGCACTGCAGCACCCTGCCTGTCGCATGCTGCATTCATTTCTTCTGAAATAGTCTGCTGCCTATCAATTTGAAATCCAAGCTGGTGTTCGTTCTCTCAGTTACAGATATACTGGGGTCAGGTGAGGGGCATAATGATATAAAAATAGGCTGCCACAGTTCAAAATATGCCTTGCCATTTGCAGTGTATAAAATGGCAGGCTGAGTGCTTCTGCAGCCTATGCATGTCTGTTCATAAGTAAAATCCACTGGCTCTTTTCACATGACACACTAAACTATGGCTTGGTGAAACTAAGGCTTGGTGAACCCACATGAGTTCACATTGTTTCACCTTCACTCTCCTTTGGCCCGCTGGCCATGAGAAGTTCAGGCGTGATTAACCATGGCTTGCTGTGTCACATAAACCCAGAAAACTGTGGTTAATCTTATTATGGTCAGTTTCAAACAAGCCAGCTTCAAATGGTGGTTCACAAAACTAACTTGTTTGAACTAGCCATAGTCAATATTAACCACAGTTCTAGGTTCATATGACACACCAAACTGTGGTTAATCGAAACCAAAAGCAAAAACTTCTGAATGCCCCCTTACCAGCTTCATGTGAAAGCTAGGACTGACACTAGGCTTGTTTACATCTCACTAAACCACGTCCAACTACACCTACTGAATCTGACGGGTCTTATTCCCCCATATATGGACTTAGGGTTGCAGTCTTAGGGTTGGCACAGATGCAACTGCTCAACCACATGAGAGATTTAACTTCTACGGGCCCCTGAAGAATTACACTACCAACAAGTCATTTCAGTATAGCATCCCCAAAAGGCAAAAACTGTGACAAAACAGTAACACTGATTCATAAGGGACAAGAAACAAAAAATACAGACGGTTCTTCATATCAGCAGTTAGATTATATGGGATTCTAAAGGATATAAACTGCATAGCATAACCTTGCAAGTAAGTCCACAAAAGTTACTAGCCTGCTGGGAGGTGGCACAGAAGAGATGGAGAACTCTGTCTGTCCTCCATTAGTCTGCTGCGTTTCTATGCCGGGAGTAGAGAAAAGGGCCTTTCCACCTCCGGCAGGATTACTGCTATGCCAATGAGTTTACAGAGCCAGTAACTACAGGATGGGCATGTCAATGCCAAAGGATTTTATCAAATCAAGTTTTACTCAGACCGTATCCATTGCAAAGTTAGTCATGTCCAATGATTTCCATTGGTCAACCTGTGTAAAACTTAGCTGGATACAGCCTGATAACTCAAAGTTCGCCTTGAAGGAGAGAGGCACAATTGCCACGCCACAGAACCATTTTCTGCACTAACTGCTTGCTATGCCGCTCAAACACTCAGGAAAATAAAACTTTCAACTAGAAGGGTTTACCTTTTCATACAACTTCTGAACTAAAATACAGAAGAGCATTCCCCCAAGGGGGGACTAAAATAAGAAGAAATATTTTTGGAAGTCGGGCAAAGTCATGGCTCATAAAGGTTATCTTCTGGCTTCTGTCAAGTTTTATCGTATACAACAACAGCACTCACCGAGACAATAGCTAGGAATAAGAGTTGGGAGCCAGGCCACGTTGGAAAAGGCAGAGGTATGGAGAGAATTGATACGAGCCAATTCCGATACTCCACCCGTGTACGACAAAGGCCCAATGGGGTCCACGCGCCACAGAATCAGCTCGCTGTAGATGGCGTTTGGATCGTGGAATGTAAGCGTCGCTGCGTTCCTAAACTGCTGCCTGGAAGAACCTTTCAGGTGCTTCATGGGGTCCATCATTTTGTTCAAGCCATCAGAGTCCCACGGCTGATCGGCCTCCGGGGTCCGTAGGGTGTTGTGGTGGGAAGACGTCAACAGGAGCGGGAGCACCGAGTGGCAAGCAAGGTCGTTGAGATGAAAGCGGTGCCCACAGTACCTAAACTTGTGGGTGACTGTGTGCACCGTTGTGAAAGCAGACTTGTCCGCAAAAGAAACCGCCCACTGGTTGAGCGAGCCGTCTATGTGCTTAGAAACCATCATGACTGTGGGCACCGTGATGTTTGCGTTGAAGCTGTCCTGGGAGCATCCCAGCCTCCATCCAGACAGGCTGTCGGAAATGCTAGTTCTCTTCTGGAGCAGTGCCTCGCTGATTTCTTTTGCGGACGTGGTGCAGGCATACATCATGATGTTTTTGCTAAGGGAGCTGGCGTCGCCGGACGGAAACGCGACGGGGATCTGAGAAGAAAATGTAACCTAGAGGAAAGGGAAGGAAATAAGGCGAATGTGTTAAGGCAAATAGTAATATTTTTATAGGAAAAGTCCCAATTTTTCCCTGCCCCAAGTATATGGGGTACCTCGGTTGTCGAACGTAATCCGTTCCGGAAGACCATTCGACTTCCGAAACGTTCGACAACCAAGGCGCAAAGGGCCACTTGCAGTTTCCATTGAAACACTATACCTGAACTTGCCGAAAGATCCCTGGATTATACTCATCCAAATATTTCACGTGCCACACTAGAAAGGTGCCGTCTACGGGATGGATGGTAAATAGCATGTCTGGGTTCTTGTTCCATTCCTTAAGGAGCAATTCAATTTTCCTATCTAACAAGACAGTGGGAAGCGGCATGGGCGAGGCAGCTGGTGAAAGGATTTTGGGGCTCCCTTCTCTTTCCCCATCTTCATGTTCTGAGGATTCCGTGCCAGTCCCCGTCTCAGACTCTCTATCTAGAGACAATTCTGGAATCAAAGGTAAAATACATGAAACAAAATACATTGGACCAGTTTGCACATCAAAGTATTTTCTTACCCTCCAAGATAAATATAACTTGTGCTTTATTTATAAGTTAGACGGTCTACTGTGTATTTTAGACCAGGGTTTCCCAAACTTGCATCTCCAGCTGTTGTTGGACTACAACTCCCATCATGCCTAGGTAGCAGGACCAGTGGTCAGGGATGATGGGAATTGTAGTCCCAAAAAAATTAGCTGGAGGCCCAAGTTTGGGAAGCCCTGTTTTAGACTGCCTACTGTAAACCACTTAAATGATTTTTTGTTGTTGTAATAAAAAGTATACAAATAAAACAACTGTATACAAACAAACAGTATGCAAATAAAACAGGGGTAGGGAACCTGTGGCCCTCCAGAAGCTGCTAGACTCCAGATGTCTATGCCACTTGAAGATCTCTAGGTCATGAGCAACTAGAAGGTCTAATAAAAAGCAGCAACTGCAGTCAGCCCAGCCAACGGACAGCAATCAGAGAGCCATAGGTTTCTCATCCCTGGCTTAAAAACAAACCATGTTTTAGCGTGAAGAAGTAGCAGGCTTGTGCTCACTGCTCAGAAGTTCTCATAGCACTCCAAACCCGCTGCTGCCACAGGCAAAACAAACCAGAGCCTGGTTTGTGTCATCTGAACCTGGGTTGATGGTTTGTTTCACCCAAAGCATGAGTGGTAAGGCAAACCCTGCTGCTAGTCACTGCTAGTCGACGATACTGAGGAGGAGAAGAAGGAGGGGAGGAGTAGTAGTAGTTTGGATTTGATATCCCGCCTTTTCACTATCCTAAGGAGTCTCAAAGCGGCTAACAATCTCCTTTCCCTTCCTCCCCCACAACAAACACTCTATGAGGTGAGTGGGGCTGAGAGACTTCAGAGTGTGACTAGCCCAAGGTCACCCAGCAGCTGCAGGTGGAGGAGTGGGGGCGCGAACTTGGTTCACCAGATTACGAGTCTGCCGCTCTTAACCACTACACCACACTGGTTCTCCTGAGGTAGATGGGTCAGTGGCCTGACTCAGTATAAGACAGCTTCTGGTGCTCCTTGGCAACATTTTGTGGTCCCCTAGTTCCTTCCCAAAGGGACGTGGGTGGCGCTGTGGGTTAAAGCCTCAGCGCCTAGGACTTGCCAATCGAAAGGTCGGCGGTTCGAATCCCCGCGGCGGGGTGCGCTCCCGTCGTTCGGTCCCAGCGCCTGCCAACCTAGCAGTTCGAAAGCACCTTCGGGTGCAAGTAGATAAATAGGGACCGCTTACCAGCGGGAAGGTAAACGACATTCCGTGTGCTGCGCTGGCTCGCCAGATGCAGCTTGTCACGCTGGCCACGTGACCCGGAAGTGTCTGCGGACAGCGCTGGCTCCCAGCCTATAGAGTGAGATGAGCGCACAACCCTAGAGTCTGGCAAGACTGGCCCGTATGGGCAGGGGTACCTTTACCTTTTTTAGTTCCTTCCCATACCAACTATGAGCTGGGGATAGTGAACAGTTGCAAAACGACCTGGTCTAGCTGCTCATGTGCTGTTACCTACAAATTAGGAAGTCTTTCTCTTTTAGAGGAAAATATTCTGTGTAGATTGTACCAAGCTACCCTTCTGACAACGAAACAGCATGCATGAGGCTCAGTATAGTGGAACCCAGGTTCTCAAATGCTTTGGTACTCAAATATTTCAGCTCTCGAATGCCGGAAACCCAGAAGTAAGTGTTCTGGTTTTCAAACACTTTTCAGAAGCCGAATGTCTGATGCGGCTGTTGGTTATTGTTTACGGGGCACCTGCACCAATCGGAAGCTGTGGCTTGGTTTTCAAACATTTCGGACATCAAATGGACTTCTGGAACGAATTAAGTTCGAGAACCAAGGTACCACTGTACATCATTTTGAAAAGAAGAAAAGAGTCTTCGTTACATCTCTCAAGTCATTTACAAGAATTGTTATAGGATGCTAATAGAAATATCCCACAAGTTGTGGTGGTGACTACCAGTTTGGACAGTTTTAAAAGAGGATTGGACAAATTTATAGAGGATTAGGCTATCCCTGGCTACTAGCCACAAAGGCTATTTTCCAACGCCATTGTCGGAGGTCATACACCCCTGAATACCAGTTACTTGAAATCTCGTGCTGTTGCACTGAAGTCCTTCTTGCAGGTTTACAATAGGCATCTGTCTGGCCACTGTGAGACTTGGTATATAGGTTTTTTTAAAATCCCAGCTCCAATTTTCACCCACCCCCATTCTAAATACTCATCAAATGCAGACATCAGGGAAAAGAAAGCCATGCTACTAACCGTGATCAAGTTTCATCAGCAAACCTCTCTCCCTCTCCCTCTCTCTCTCTCTTCCTCTCCTTCCTCCTCGTCAGCATCTTCTTCTGCTTGTTTCATCTGTTGATCTGTAAGCTCCCGTAGGTGTTGCATAAAAATTTCAGTGGAGGACGTAAAATGGAATTCTTTGTTATTTAGCCAATGAACCACAAAGCCTTCATTTCCCTCATCCAAGTGAAAAGCCGTCTTCAGCAAAGCTGGCGGAATGTCTGGGGAAACAAAACCATTTTCCCCCCAAAGGAAAGAAGTCTAAGATATTTAAGAGATAATTTATATTTCTGCAGGAAAGCAGTCTTGCATAAATGACTGTAAAGTTGAGGAATAGAAGATGTGTGCTCTAGAAGATGGACCTAAACCATAGCATGGAGGGTCATTCAAGAACTGTGGGCATGGCAACTCTCTCTCGGCTTCATTTTCAGTTTGCAAGGCAAAAGGTAAAAGGTAAATGTAAAGGACTCCTGACAGTTAAATCCAGTTGTGAATGACTCTGGGGTTGCGGCGCTCATCTCGCTTTCCTGGCTGAAGGAGCCAGCGTTTGTCTGCAGATAGTTTTTTCTGGGTCATGTGGCCAGCATGACTAAGCCGCTTCTGGAGAAACCAGAGCAGCGCACGGAAACGCCGTTTATATTCCCGCCGGAGTGGTACCTATTTATCTACTTGCACTTGGATGTGCTTTCGAACTGCTAGGCGGGCAGAAGCAGGGACCGAGCAATGGGAGCTCATCCCCTCGCATGGATTCGAACCGCCGACCTTCTGACCAGCAAGCCCAAGGCTCAGTGGTTTAGTCTACAGCACCTTCTGCATCCCTTTTAATGTAATAGGTAAATATAGCTAATAATTGGTAAATAAATATTTTTTTTATTCGCATCTGCTCTCTAAACCAGAATCTGGAAATCCTCTTCACATGTATGAATTCCTATTCTGGTCTGGAGGGCAAATACACGCCAGAGAGCCCAATATTTCATGACCTGTCCTACTCTTGTATTGTCATTTGTTTCAGCTGTTTTTAATTCTGGATTTTAAATTGTTGCAACCCACACCAGAACCAGCTGGCGAAGGACAGGTAATAATGCATAATAATAATAATAATAATAATAATAATAATAATAATGATGATGTTAACACAGAAATAACTGCACAAATGTAAACTGCACAAAGGGTCCCTTAAATAAGCCGTGTTTCTAATGTGCGCCACAGAAAGGAAATCCAAATATACATATGACAAAACATTTAGAACAGGCCAAGATAACGTTCGTTAATGTGGGGGGGAAGTGCTTTCCGAGAAGTACAATTAACAATGTCACCATAAACACTGTTTTCTTTAAACATGCACAAGCCTCAGGCAGGGAGCCCAAAGCAAGGAAAACACACATCATCTTTCCTGGCATTTTCACACAGGACAATAGGGATGAAATAATTAATCTAATTCTGTCTAAGCCCACTTTGCTCCATTTCCACATTTAATTTATATAACTTATTTTTAGCTCTCCTCAGCCACATTAGTCAAGCACGGGATAAATTCCAAATTGCACATTAGTTTAGGACAGCCTTTTCCAACCTGGTGAGCATCTCCAAGGCCACTGGTTCCTGGATTTCATCCCTACACCACTCAGCATGTTCATAATGGCTGGGGCTGAGGGGAGTTGAGAGTCCAACATGGGTAGGCAAACTAAGGCCCGGGGGCCGGATCCAGCCCAATCACCTTCTCAATCTGGCCCATGGACGGTCCGGGAATCAGTGTGTTTTTTACATGAGTAGAATGTGTCCTTTTATTTAAAATGCACCTCTGGGTTATTTGTGGGGCCTGCCTGGTGTTTTTACATGAGTAGAATGCATGCTTTTATTTAAAATACCTGTCTGGGTTATTTGTGGGGAATCAGAATTCATTATTTTCCCCAAAAAACATAGTCCAGCCCCGCACGAGGTCTGAGGGATAGTGGACTGACCCCCTGCTGAAAAAGTTTGCTGACCCCTGGTCCAATAGGTAAAAGGTAAAGGACCCCTGGACAGTTAAGTCCAGTCAAAGGTGACTATGGGGTTGCTGCGCTCAACTTGCTTTCAGGCTGAGGGATCCGGCGTTTGTCCACAGACAGCTTTCCGGGCCATGTGGCCAGCATGACTAAACCACTTCTGGCGCAACGGGACACCGTGACAGAAACCAGAGCGCACGGAAATGCCATTTATCTTCCCACTGCAGTGGTGCCTATTTATCTACTTGCACTGGCATGCTCTCGAACTGCTAGGTTGGAGCTGGGACAGAGCAATGGGAGCTCACTCCGTCACTGGGATTTGAACCACCAACCTTCTGATCGGCAAGCGCAAGAGGCTCAGTGGTTTAGACCACAGTGCCACCTGCGTCCAGAGAGTCCAATAACCTCTGGGCAGCTCCACAATGGTAACACCTAATGAAGGCTGGCCTAGGAGGTGCAGATCAGGTGAGTTTGCATTAGAATTTGGAAAGATTCCATTCCTCAAGGTCTCCCTAGGACAACCTGTGGACCAATTCCCAGGAAATGAATTGCTTCTCTTTTTACCTGTGTTCGGGTTGATGCTTGCAGTTATGTGGAAATGGCAGAGCGCGTTAGCGTGGTGGGAAATGTGCCGCTGAACCTCATGTGTTCCCAGCTGATCAGGGAGATCCTCAGTGTGAGTGATCAGTACGGAGGACCTTCGCTGACCCTTTCGCATGTTTTTCAAGTGATGAATTGTCTGAAGCAGGAGAGAGAGAGAGAGAGAGAGAGAGAGAGAGAGAGCGCACATAAGGCTGGCCTATTATGAGGAGAACTCAACCATGGAAAACACAAATAGTTTCTCTTTCTAAAATTCGGCAGAACTAACAATAAATCCCTTACACTTCATTTCCTCTTCTAGTAGAAGAAACCTTTAAAAGCTTGGTACATGACTCATTTTTATTTAATTTTAACTATATATATATATATATTTTAAAAATCTGTCTCTTTCATGAGATCTGTTCCATATGGTATTGAAATTAGGCCTTTAGTGTGCTGGCACCTACTTTGGAACTACTTTCAGATACATAATGCCTTTAGAGTGTGATTTCATTGTAATATTAGCTATAAATGACCTACAATGAGGTCAAAAGGCAGCATATAGATTATTATTTTTTGGTAAGTAAACAAATTTAAACATATGCTAAAAATAGAATGCAGTCATTGGGCTTTCCCCTTTAGGGTCTTATCTGCACTGTGCTTTGTCTCACAGCCACATATTTGTTGACTTTAACAGACCTAGCTCTCCAATGCTTTTACGGAAGGAGCGGGGGAACTTTTTCAGCCCTAGGGATCATACTTTGTCATAGGCAGCCTTGCAAGGGCCACATGGCACTGGGGGCGGGGCCAGAGCCAAAGTGGGCGGAGCAACAGATGTGGCCATTGCACAATAGGCTACATCCCAAGCATCCAGTCAAGCAGCAGACATCATCACATTTCAGTGACATAATCCCAGGCAAGCAGAACCACTTGAGGAGGGAACAGAGCACAGATGGGGAGGGGGCTTGGCCTGAGGAGAGTCCTAAGGGCCAGACAGCAAGCCTTGCAGTGCCTGCATTTTGTGGGGAAAGTGCGCTCCAGCCAAAATATAAAATTCCACGTTTGCTAGGTGAGCAAAGGGTTAAGACACATGGAATTCCTGGAAATTCCTAGAAGGCACTCTTGTGAGGTCATAGCCTCTGCTTACCCTGGTCGAAAGGGTAACAATAGGAAGATAATCCTTATCACTTCCTCCCACCTGGTTCTCATCATGCAACTACTGTATAGGAAATGAATGCAGGGTCCGTGTGTTCCTGAGAGCAGGCACCAGCTTTGATCTAAATCAGAGATGTCCAACTCCCAAAAGACTGCAATGTACTCCTGGGGGGGAAAAAATCTACCCATTGGGGGGTGATTTCAGAGTTGTTGAGCTTTTTTTAGGGGGGCAGGTCAAAGTTGTTGATAAGGATCCAGCGATCGGCCACGAACATACATCTGGGGAACGACCTGTTGATCATCGATGATCGACCAGTTGGCCACCCCTGATCTAAACCATGTACTTTGTAATTTAGAAGTTTATTTTGCCTAATGTATTTCATTTTTTAAAAAATAATAATTTTTATTTGCTTTTCTGTTTTATCGTATCAGCGATGTATACTGTGTTACAGTCGAGCACGTGGTAATAAGAAAAAAGAAAAAGAAAAAGCATAAATACAAAATATACGTATGCGAATTCTAAAGCTTAAGGCATAAAAATGAGGCTTGGGAAACGGGCTGCTTAGCTCGCCATACCTCTAAAGCGTGCTGGATGTTGTCCTTGTGCCTTCCGGAGCGGGAGAAGCTGCTGCTGCTGCTAATGCTGGAAGTGCTGGTCTCGCAAATCTGCTCCCCCAGAAGGCTGTCTTCGGGTAACAAGGTCTCTGCCCACAGCCGGCAAATGCCATCAAGGCAGGAAGTAAGCAGCACGTTGCAAACAGACCCCCTAAAGGCAATGCAAAAAGGGATATTGGCACTTGTAGATTAAAGGTTCACAGAACTGGGGGAAGTGTGGAGTGCAAGATGGGTGTTTGAAATGAGACATGGGGCCTGCAGCAAAAGGTTGCAGCGTAGCCCTCCCCTCCTAAAAGTTGCTCTGCTCACCTACACTGTTAAATCTATATTCCCTGGCTACTGAGCATGCGCAATCCTTATTGGACATGGGGCTGGTTTCTGGGTTCCTCTGAGCATGCCATCACCTTTCTTGCTCCTGACCACTGGTCCTGTTAGCTAGGGATGATGGGAGTTGTAGTCCCAAAACATCTGGAGGGCCAAGTTTGCCTATGCCTGCCTTAGAGGCTCCAATCCTGCCAGCATTCATCAGCTGTGTTTGCTATTAGGAGTGATGCTTCATAATAGCTTCCCAGTGTCCCAATCATGCTTAGATCTAACCACCAATAAATTATTGCAAAAATGCAAAGAACAGTGGAGCTCATTTCACTCCTTTCTCCTCCCTTCCAGTCCAAACTACCATTCTCTACCCGCCCCGTGCCCCCCCAAAACCCCAAGAACAGCAGCCAGCTCAGGGAAAGCTACTTCTGAAACTGAAGAAAGTTTTCAAAAGCAGTCTCTGGTGCTACATGAGGACCAGCCTTCAACACAGCTTCAGCCATAAAAGTAATTTTTTAAAAAAAGTAAAATTGCTTTTTTAAAAAAATGCAACTGGGCTTCCACATGTCCCTTGCATCTGGCTAAGGATGCAATCCTTGCACAATTTCTCATGAGTAAACCTCACTGAGCCAAGTGAGACTTATTTCTGAGTAAACATGAATAGGATCTGTAAGGAAGCTCATTGGGCCCTGGGCCTGGGATTCTCTGCATTACTTGCCTAACCTTTCTATACAAGATACAGTGGAACCTCGGTTTTTGAACGTAATCCGTTCTGGAAGACCGTTCAACTTCCAAAACGTTCAAAAACCAAGGATCAATGGGCTGGCTGCAAAGTCAATGGGGGGGGGAGGAAAAACTCACCTCGGATGCCGTTCGACTTCTGGGATGTGTTCAAAAACGGAAGCAATTACTTCCGGGTTTTTGGCATTCAGGTTCCAAATTGTTCGGCTTCCGAGACACTCGAAAACCGAGGTTCCACTGTAATTCCCTTGCACGGACTCCCTAATTTATAGCATGCAAACTGTAAAATTAATGTGTGACGGGTGCCTATGTTTTTGCACTCAGGTTTGAACCCTTTTTTAGAGGCGGGGAAGGAGGAGCGATTTCAAACCTGGGCATAAACTTGCTTGTGTTTCTCCACGAAAAGCCCGTCACCGATCGAGGATGTGCCAGATACACAAAGGCGAAATGAACAGGCGTGGAGGTCCTTTTCTGTTCCTCACTCTCTTGGGGGAGAAGAGAGGATTTCCAACCAGTCATCGGATACCAGACTTTTAAGAGACAATCATCCTAGACAAACCAACACATAGCAAATTGACAGTGTACGTGCATAATTACAGTTGTGGGTTTTTTTTTTTAAAAAAAATGCAGGAAATTAGATTAGGGCTGTAGTGATGTGGGAAGGAGGAAGGGCCCTAGCTCAGTTGATGTTCTTGCATGTAGAAGGTCCCACGTTCAATTGCTAGGGTCTGCAGATAGGACTAGGAGAAACTTGCCTGAAACCCTCAACAGATGCTTCCCATCTGTGTAGATACTGCTTCCTACATGGTGGGCACAGCTCAATGCTTCTCCCCCATAATTGAGATCCAACACCAAAATGACAATTAGCCATACAGAAGAAACAAAATATAAATAATATCACCAGTTCTGCCTTGGTTTTTCAGCAGACAAAATGGTCTTCTGAAGACCATTGTTTGCGTTACTGTTATCGTTACCTATGGAATATACCGTCTTTCCCCGAAAGTCAGACATCCCCCCAAAATAAGACCTACTTCCAGTTTTGCCTCTCGCTGTAATATCATAGAATCATAGAATCATAGAGTTGGAATAGACCACAAGGGCCATCGAGTCCAACCCCCTGCCAAGCAGGAAACACCATCAGAGCACTCCTGACATATGGTTGTCAAGCCTCTGCTTAAAGACCTCCAAAGAAGGAGACTCCACCACACTCCTTGGCAGCAAATTCCACTGTCGAACAGCTCTTACTATATAAGGCATCCCCCGTAAATAAGACCTCCCCGATAATAAGGGCTCCCCTGAATATAAGGCCTCCCCGGAATATAAGGCCCCTGAAGCTACCGTAAGGCGCCTGACTCCTCTGGACTGTAGCGGAGGGTGCCGCCGTGCAGCTCACTGATTGGCCGCAGCGCAGCCGGAGCTGTTCAGGCAGTGCCAGGTCTCTTTAAATCAGAGAGCCCGTGCCACCGCCAGGGCAAGCTGCCGCCTGCTGCTCGTTCTGCCCTGGCGGAGTCTGGCTGACTCACAATTAGACAATAAATGTGTACCGTATTCTTCTTCATGGAAAAATAAGACACCTCCTGAAAATAAGACCTAGAGCATCTTTGGGAGCAAAAATTAATATAAGACACTGTCTTATTTTCGGGGAAACAGGGTACTTCAACAAGTGAACTATCCACAGTTGTGTGTTTGCCCAATGTTGCACTTAAAAGGGTTTGGATAACTAATATAAGGTGATGAACACATTAAATGAAAAGTTAATCACTTAACTATTTGGGTGAGATTGAAACCACAGATTACATTGTTCAACACAAGAGGCACAAGGGACGGGTGGTCTTTCTCAACTCTCTTTTTTCTACCCATGAAGAACCAATAAACCTTGAAGGATCAACGAGAGACAATGAGAATGGGCCTCTCTAGACATTGTCTTAACCTGAGTCAGACCAAAGGTCCATCTTACTCAGCAATTTACACCAGGGTGACCAAAATGAATATATATATAAGGCTACTGGGCGGTGCTTGCTGAGACTGATGGAGTTGTAGTTCGGCCATGTTTGGAGGGACAACATTCCCCACCCCTGGTCAATACTGACAGGCCAGTGGCTCTCTGGGGTTCTGGCTAAGAGTCTCTCCCAGTCCTTTCTAGATATGCCAGGGATTGCATCTAGAGGTGCAAACTGTTGTTATAAGAATTCTAAGGTCCCAAATATAAACGTTCATAAATTTGCAAGGCAAACACGTAAGTATATAAACCATGTGTCTAAAATAGTACGGGAGAACAATCCTGAAGTCATTTTGACTCTCCCAGTGGCCTCAAATATTTCTCTGCAAGGAGGAAGGAAATGGGAAAGACTCTCCATTGCCTTTTGTCTTAAGGGCGTTACTTGTGTGGGTGAACAGGGTGAGCCTGTGAGCTGGATTCAGGAATTAAAGTATTTACTATCACAAAAGAATGGCCGGGCTGGCCAGGTGGAGCAATCAAGTGACCGTTATCAGTATCCTGCCAGAAAAGATTTGTGCTGTAGCCTGTCCCCTGTGATGTATTTCTGCTGTAGACCCGCCTCCTTCTGTGATGTATGTATGATGTTTTAGGGGGTGGTCTCTGGCTACAGGGTGGGCTACTTCAGAAGTCTATATAAGGGCTTGCGCACCATTGTTCTGAGTTCTTTCTCCCTCCTGCCTGTGGTGAGTGGGGTCCCTGTTGCAACAGTTAATAAAGATTGGGCTTACTAGCTGCCTTGCTTCTCAATATTCTCTGGTTGGCCTCTGTTATTTTCTCCTTCCAATAGGAAACCTACTTAAGGACTCTATACGGGCTCTTGGATACCCCATAAAGGAAAAGGAGCAGTTTTTCTTACAACAGTTTTATAACACTGTGGAAGACTGAGGTTGAGTTTAGGACCTTCTGCGAAAAATGCAGACTGATCTACTGGCAGAGAGAGTGTTCCTGGAGCCCAGAGCCCATCGGCTCCAGTCCCTGGCCAGGCTCTGACCTCACAAACAGCTGTGGAATCCTGGGGAATGTTTTGTTTCCTAGGAGATCAGGTGAGTTGCTTGAAAGGATTCCTGGCTAAGCTGAAAGCCCAGTCAGTTGGAGCAGTTAGCAGCCATTCAGATCCCTTCTTCTGTTCTTGTCTTGAAAGCTGTTCAGATGGATTGACTGACTTTCTGGACATCTTCGGTTTTCTACCCCCATGGAACAATGTGCTACTGGTTGCGCAGAAGGTAAAGTCATGGGAAAGAGGGAAGACATCCTGAAGATTCGTGCCCCCACCACATGCCCAGTTTTTAAAGATGCTCCTTGGTTATTTGACCTTTCTAAATCCCATACTGGATGTTACATGAGCCAGCAATTTCCCCAGGGTGTTTTCTGATGAATTTTGAGTTCCCTTTTTGGTCACCATCCAAATTGCAGCAGAATTACCACCTCCACTCCAAATATTCAGGAGAATGCCCACCCCACCCCCAATCATACCGCCTACAAACAGGATGGGGAATTCTGGGAGATCATTTTTCACTCAACCCCAAGATACACACCCTACCTCTGCAGGGCTCCCACCTGCACCCTTGGGTGCTTTCTTCCTCAGCTACATTTCCAGCATCTTGAATTAGTTTCCCAAGTCCCATCAACCCTAGACAGCAGGTCCAGGGGGGCAGGGAGAGGGGGGAGGGGAGTTGGAGTCCTGCAGCAACATCTGGAGGGCGCCAGGTTTGGGGAGGCTTGATGTAGAAAACATCAGGGTAATCGGAAAACATTGGAAGACACAAGATTTGCCCACCCTGGAAGAATGGCAGATGCAACTGATAGACTATATGGAACTGGCAGAAATGACTGGCAGAATCCGAGACCTGGGAGAAGAGATAGTGGAAGAGGACTGGAAGAAATTTAAGGATTACTTGCAAAAGTATTGTAAACTGTATGAATGTTAGAATGATGCAGGATATAAAGACAATATGGCATTAGTGACATAGCTGAAAGGAATATGCAAAAACTGGTTTAAAAGAACAAAGGTGAAGCTAGAATAATATGTCAAATTCAAATAACTGATAATAAAGGGAAAAATTGGAGACATAATAGTTGAAATGTATAACATAAAATAAGATTTGAAGGAAGGTGAAGTATTGCTGAATAAGGTTTTGTAAAAGGGAACACAGAAAAGGGAGATGCGAGGGAGTCTGGAAGGAGGGTTTTGAAACTGAAGAAACTGAAGAAACTGAAAAAGAAACTGAATCTTTTTCCCCCCCTCTCTTTTATGTCTTTTTTATGCTCTTTTTTTTTCTTTCTTCTATTTTGTATGGGGGATTTTCTATTGTACTTTTTCTCTTTTTTGGCTTTTTTGATTGATTGTGATGGTGTTTTTCCTTTTTTGGTTGTGAATGTGAAGTTTGTTTTATTGTCTAAAACTTTAATAAATATTTTATATATATAAAAAAAGAAAACATCAAGGTAATTTAGCATCATAACACTGGGTGACTGGCCAGGAGTTTATTTTGGCCCTGATCAGGTGAAGCCAGAATGAGCTATTTGCTGTCCAATGTGGAAAATGGAGCAAACGGTCTTGCTAGTCATCCTCAGGAGAGCAGCCCTGGGGATCAGCTCTGCACTCTTTGCAAAAAGAGAAATGGGTTATGAAACATGCCTGATGAAATGGTGCATGCTCTAGTTATCTCCCACTTGGACTACTGCAATGCGCTCCACGTGGGGCTACCTTTGAAGGTGACCTCGAAACTACAACTAATCCAGAATGCGGCAGCTAGTCTGGTGACTGGGAATGGCCACCAAGACCATATAACACCAGCCCTGAAAGACCTACATTGGCTCCCAGTATGTTTCCGAGCACAATTCAAAGTGTTGGTGCTGACTTTAAAGCCCTAAATGGCATCGGTCCTGTATACCTGAAGGAGCGTCTCCACCCCCATCATTCAGCCCGGACACTGAGATCCAGTGCCGAGGGCCTTCTGGCGGTTCCCTCATTGCAAGAAGCAAAGTTACAGGGAACCAGGCAGAGGGCCTTCCCGGTAGTGGCGCCTGCCCTGTGGAACGCCCTCCCATCAGATGTCAAAGAAATAAACTACTATCTGACATTTAGAAGACATCTGAAGGCGGCCCTGTTTAGGGAAGTTTTTAATGTTTGATGTTTTATCGCATTTTCAATATTCTGTTGGGAAACCCAGCCAGATGGGTGGGGTATAAATAATAAATTATTATTAAAATGAAACCCATTTACACTAGATAGACTATTAACCTCTGTATGGAGTTTAAGCATGATCATGAGTCAGTGACAATGAGTTCTTTATGAACTACTTTTAATATAAGATGCCACCCGTGTAGAGTGTAGTTTGGCCCCAAGAATGAGTTCGCTATGAAGGTTTTATTTCTTCTAATATTTAAAAGGCTGCTGGCTCTTAAAGGCTAGGAAAAAAAGAGTGAGCGGCGCAGGCAACCTCCACTGCACTGACCCGCATTAAAAGCAAGTCACAACTATGCTGCCTAAGCGAAATCACACTTATTCTGGGGTAGAGATGGGGGGAGAAGAGAAGAATTAGAGCCT